GATTGAGGAGATCATTGGATATGTATCGATGATAGCCAGAAAAGGATGAACATAGCAGTACTGCTGGTGGTGCTTGGCGCATTTGTGCTTAGCCTGTAGGGTCTGAACAGCAAGGATCCTTTTGTAGCGTTGAGGATCATTCGCAAGTTCATTCGAAATGCCCTGGAGAGCAGTGTTGGTAGCACTGTGCCTAGGTCGAGGGATGAGAGGCTTTCGGGCCCTGGACTGAGTCTGAGAGGGGTGCAACGGGGTTTGCTGGTCGAACTCGAATTGAGAAGCAGCCCTTGTAGGGTCGTAGTGTGTTTCGATTAGGATAAAAGCTGACCATTCGACCTTGGGTGTGTTGCGCTCAGTGTGGACGGCATCAATGAAGCCTTCCCAGTCGTCCTCCGTTCGTAGTCTGCACCATGGTGCATCCCGGCTCCTTCCACGGCAGACTTTCCAGCTGATATTGGGCTTCAGGGAGGATTTGTTGACGCCTTCGACGACCATATGATCATGACGGAGCTCCTCGAGGGCGACATCGATCAAAAGCTGCTCTTGGTCGGCCCAAGACTTGAATGGATTGACCGTCCAGTGTGCTTGAGGATACCTGTGGTTCTTTTGCCTAGAGACGAGAACGAAGACCTGGAAGTCGTCGAATCTGCTGATAGTATCAACCGGTGCGTCTTCGTCTTCGAGTTCGATGACTGTCTTAGGCCATTTTTCCCTCCGGACTGTATTTGTAGGTGGTGGTGAGGCTGCATCTTCGAGGAGACGGGAGGGCGGTTTGGGGGTACGAGACGATGCCCTGCGCTTATACGAAGCCTTAGCAGCTCCTTTCAGCTTCCTTGGAGGCATTTTCAAGGTTTGGCGGCGTGTTTGGTGGATTGGTCGTGTCCTGCACGAATATGCGGTAAAATGATGCGCGTCAAGAATTTTGCACACAGCAGTAACCCCGGCCGCGATCCCTGCACTGACCCACAGCACCGCACATACCGGTAAGACGACGTCAGTGCCGATAAGCATTTGCAACAACAAACCACCAAACGATGGCCGATGCTCAGGCTCTTCTTCAAAAGGTAGGTCGCTCCCAAATGCTGAGAGCTGCGTGCTTGGCTTACAGAACCTTCAGGCAGACAAGAAAGCCGCCTCCGGCGGTGGTGGTGGATTCAGCCGTTTTTTCGGCGGAGGCACGACGAACTACGAGGATGCCGCGGAGCTCTACATTCAAGCAGCAAATGCTTTCAAGCTTCAGAGAATGAGTACGAAACTGAAGCATTGTTGGTGCGGGTGATGCTGACCCGTGGTTGTAGGCAAGGAAGCTGGGCAATCGTTCGAGAAAGCCGCGGCGATGCAGTTGAAGACGGATGAAAAGGATGATGCGCCCAACACTTTAGTAGAGGCATACAAAGTCTACAGGAAGACAGATCCCGAAGGTGTGTTGGCGAAACTTGATCTTGCTTGGCAACGCTGATCAATAGTGTAGACGCTGCCCGCGTGATGGAAAGCGCCATCCAAATGTACACCGCCAAAGGAAACTTCCGCAGAGCCGCAACCAACAAATCTGATCTCGCAGGTCTCTACGAGCTGGAGCTCAGTGATATTCCTAAGGCGCTCGAAGCATATGATGTCGCGGGTGAATGGTTTTCCGGTGATCAGGCCGAAGCACTCGCGAATAAGGCGTGGCTCAAGGTTGGTGAGTTGGCGGCGCTGCAGGAAGATTATGCTCGTGCGATTGCGAGATTCGAGGATGTGGCGAGGTCGAGTGTTTCGAATAACTTGACCAGGTATAGCGTAAAGGAGTACTTCTTTAAGGCTGGATTGTGTCATATCGCTTCTGGGGTGTGTTGGATCAACTTTGTAGGGTATGAGCAGGGCTGACTTATGAACCACAGGATCTCGTCGCAACAAAGCGAGCTTTCGACACCTATCTCAATCTCGATCCTGGCTTCATGTCCACGCGAGAATTCGAGCTTCTCCAGGTCAGTCAATTCACATGAACTGGTACCGCCCATACTGAGATATGACCGTAGGATATTGTCACAGCGATCGAGTCCGCTGACCAGGAGCTCTTCACGGAGAAGGTGTTCGGTTACGATCAGTTGAGTAAGTTGGATAAGTGGAAGACGACGCTGTTGCTGAAGATTAAGAATGGCATTGAAGATGAGCCTGATTTGACATAGGAGGAGCGCTGGTACGAGTAGAATAGGAAGGGTGGTTTTATGAGACGGGGATGGACTCTATTCGGGTCATGAGTCCTACCTTATAATGAATGCTATATTGTCTTTTTGTGCACAACTTCACAACCCGGCTGACTAGGTAGCTAAGGTATCGACATCGATATCAATCGGCGGCATGCGTGTGTCGCCGTGACCGCATGCAGCTTTCACCAAGAGCAAACATCAAGAATGCTTGTCAAGGAATTCAACGGCAACGTTTTGCGTTCATCTCGTCTGCTGAGTCGTTCAATCAGTCACACTGCTCAACATGAAACGGACCTAGCAAAAACAGTTGACCTGATACACCGGTCAACGACAACCACTCCAAACCACCCGTCATGTTTGAAGGGCCTGAACCTCAGGCAGATCCGTTCTGTTATGGGTTCGAGATGGCGAGTCGTTTACAAGGAACTCTACAACATCCGAGTAGGTCCTCGAGTTCCGGATATGCCGATGCCTCAGCCGGCTTTGCCAGAAAAGTGGAAGGGAATGCAATTCCGCGGTGAACTGGCCAAACGGTACGGTGTGGGGATACCTTCGACAGAGCCTGTCCAGAAGTTACCGCGAGTGTGCATCTTGACAAGCAAGAAACAGGCAGGTGCAAAAGCGGTTTACCGAACCATTGCAAGGAAACGAATGCGTGCTGCTGTGTTCAAGAGTATCACGGACCCTAAGAGTCCTACGCACGAGTTACTTCAAGCAGCAGATCGGGATATTATGATCCAAGTGACTGCAGGAGGTCCTGTACTTGGAGGTAAAAACTTCGATGTCCCCCACCTTGAAAAAGAGATCCACGAAACACTGTGCCATATCTTGGAAACACTGAAGAACACAGCATCTCGTGGGCATCGTGGCCCAACGGTTCATGGGCAGAGAAAACCAGCATTTCGTGAATACCGTGAACCACCGATTCATGGGCAGAGAAATCCAGCATCTCGTGAATACCGTGAACCAAAGGCCGATGAGCGGAAGGTTGATCAGCAGAAGGTCGATGAGCAGAAGAATCCAGCATCTCGTGGCTATCGTGGACCAAGCATTCAAAAGCAAAAGGTTGATGAACCAAAGGATGGGGCGTTGTAATCAACTTGGCAATAGTCAAGGCATAACCACACAGATGAGGGAAATCGTCTGGTGACGTGCACAACCGTCGGAATCTCAAAATTAAAGGCAGAGGAAAACCGAAACCAGACCAGCTGCGGATTCTGCGAAAGAAGTCCGGCACTGTAGCTGACTGCTGTCCATGAGCAAGGAATTGACCAGATTAGAAATAGAATGTAACGCCTGAGCTAACCGAAAATAAAGCCAAGCAAAACTCCTCGTCAATCAAGAGACAAAAATGTTGTCATCCCGCAACCTTTACTGCAGGTAGCAGCTTCCTGTTCGCTGTATCAGACGCTTCCTTCTTCCTGCTTCCCATCCTCAGCGTCTTTAACATATTCTCCTTTCTTACGGTAATTTTGCTCCACTCCTCGGCATCCTTGAGGACTTGCCATCGCGCCGTCTTCTTGACTGGAACCCACTTCCTCCCATGACTCCCATCAAATACGGAGGACGTGGAAAGATCAACCACTTTCGCCTCGGAAGTGAACTCACGCAGTGTACAGAGCAAAGCACGTGCATCCCGGATCATTGTTGCTTCAGGAGGATCGCGGCTGATAGGTTTTACCATGAGCGGCTCTTCCAGCCATGATTTGGTTAAGAGAGCATCACTAGTCATAGCTTTGTGAGACTCCGCACGGAAACGAGCAACGATGGATTGCAGCGTCTTCACTTCTTCCTCAAGCGCATGTAGGCGCTTGACCTGCTTGTCGGCTTCAGCGGAGGAAACCGTAGTAACTGTGCCCCTTCTTGGCCCCACATCCTCCACGGCCTTTCTCATGAGATCAAGGTCCCTCTCCAACCTTTCGACGTCCTTAGTTAAATCTTCCACAATGACGGTGAGCTCGCGTTCCCGTAACGCAGCCGCCTCACCCTGGGTTTTCAACGTCGCAATCTCGTCACTTTGTTTCTTGACATCCTTCATGCGGGCTTCCAGCAACTCGATCTTGAGATGTGCTTCCTCTAGATCCTTATCCTTAACCTTCAACAGTGTAACTGTGTTGATAAGCTTGGCCTCCGCACGCGTGATGGCTTCCTCTGCAGCCGTGGCACTTGCGGCTTCGTTCTTGAGTGACCTGGCATGTAGAACCCATGGATGAGCTCGTTTGTCAACCTTCGCTGCCTGCTGCGCATGACTGGGTCTTACATCTAGTTGTTCAAGAGCAGATGTCACCTCCCCTAAAACACTCCGAGCCTGGTCCAAACCACCAAGCGCAGGCGAGACTGCATCGGTAGTTAGTGGTATGCCCTTTTCTTGAGCATCATCAGCGGCTATGCGTAATTGCTTAGTAACGTCGCGGCAGAGGTTTAAGGCGTTCCGGCACAAGCTAGCAACCTCTTCAAGAGTGGCGAGAGCATTTGTGTCAGGCGTACTTCCATTGGACTTGAGGCCATTTAGAATACTCGAAACCCTGCCGATGACGACTTTAGCGTTCCTCGCTTGACCGATGACCTTTTCGAGCTTCTTCAGGGTATCGGAACCGTCCACGTGAGTCTCGTCAGAAGGCGTGATACGTTCGTTGACGAACTGCCTGACAGGCGATATAATCACCTCCACGTTTGATACAAACTGCTCGATAGACCCAGCCAGGGAAAGATATCTTTCTGGAGAGGCGTTGGAGGTGCTGCCAAGCCGGACTTCACTCAGATGTGAAAGCAGAGCGACGTTCCCACGCAGCTCTTCAGACAATGGCCTTTCACGCACCTCGTCCTGCCTCATTGCTAGGATCCATCTATCGAGCGTCTTCTCAACGGGCTCCAGCTCGAAAAGGACAGCGCCAAAAGAGAGGAACTGTTCCACATCGCACTTATCCAGGTAGGCCATGAACTGCGTGCTCAACCCGTTGATGGAGACCAGGTGTTCCAAAACCTCGGTGAAAGCGGCAACGTCGTCCTCGCTGCGCAATGTTGTCTGCACTGGTCTTTTCTGAAGCAACTGGTGCAAGAGATTGGCTTTGAATGCTATGCGCTTGAATTTCATCAAGACATCCATGGCATCACGATGCTCGGCGAAGCTGTCGGGAAGGTACAGTTGCACGATTGCCAGTTGTTCGCCTGCTTCAAGGGCTTGCAGCTTACCCAATTCAAGGTCGATAGTCTTCGCTTGAGAACCCGTCGAAACCGCCTGGAGTTTGAGATTCAGATCCTCGATTGTTCGGGTTCTTGCGTTGAGTTGATCAGTCTCAGTGTCACTCATCTCCCTTGCCCGTCTCAACGAATCAATGTCTGCCTGCATCACGCCCACAAGATCTCTGAACCGCATGATCGTGCTCTCATAGTCGAAGGTAGTTTCCTCCATTGCGTGAATACGCTTCGTCTGATCACGGACCAACATGTCTTTGTAATCGATTTCCTGCTGCATCTGCTTCTCTGTTTCGATGTGATCTTCCTCGAGCTGGTCAGCCAACTCCTTAAGCGCTTCAAGATCCTCAATTGTGGATTGCATTTGCGCAAGCTGTTCCGACATCGTGAGGTTCTTCTCTGTGAGATCCTCCAGCATTTCTTCCGCGCCCATGGCAGCATCAAGTTGTTGCCGAAGCTCATCGACAATTGATTCACTCTGCTCTAGGCGCTCTTTGGTGATATTGTACAGCGGCTTTACTTGCTGTGCTTGCTGCAGTTCTTTCTCGGCACTCTTCAACTGTGCTTTCAGCTCCGCTTCAGTCTCAGCCGAAATGTCCCGCAGCCTTACAAGTGCCTCCTTCAGACGCTCATTTTGCTTCTCCATCTGAATCCACCCAGAGCTTCCCTTTTCCTCCTCGGTGGTACCTCGTCCCATTCCACCGTTTTCTTCCCGCAATACTTCGACCTCAAGCTGTAGCTCCTCAAGCTTCTCTTTCAGGATTTCCAATTCGCTTGTAAGGACCTCGCATTTCTCCTCTGCCATCTCCTTGTCCAACGTAGCCATTTCCACGATTTCGTCATGATCCACATCTCGAGCCTCCATGGTGATCTTTTCATCTTCCAACGTCTTCAAGGTGCGCTCGAGGGCGCTGTTCCGTTTCCGCAGTGAAGCAATCTCCTCCGATAAGCTCGGTAATTGACCCTCCAACTTCATTTTTTCCTTGGCAAGTTTCACATATTTGGCACGAAGGTCGTCAAAGTCTTTCGAACTTGCTGTAGAGGTTGAAGATACGTTCGACTCTAGACGGCGGGCGGCAGACGTACCTGTCGAACTCGGGGGCCGCACCACAGGTGTAGTATCACGTTTGTCGTCTAACGCTGGTCCTACTGGGGTGAGCCTGCGGACTGTTGACGGCGGCCGCAGTGCAGTGGCAGAGGGTGTACGACTTGACACAGGTTTATCTGCGGTTGGTATAGTATCGCTGGTCTGGGATGGCGTCCGTGACAATCTTCGCCCTGCGACTGTCGTAGGCGTCGTACCGCTCGTCCTGCGGACAGCTGATATAGGCGGCAGAGCTGTGTTTGTGTTCATGGACAATCGCGGACCAGTACCAGTCCGTGGCAGCGGAAGAGCCGGTATCTTGAATGGCGACGTTGCTCGAGAGTCCGATTGACTGGCAATAGAGGACTGGCGTCGCGATATAGACGAGTCTCTGCTAGGTGGTGGGACCGGTGACGCCCTACTGCTCAACCTTTCTGTGCTGGCAGCACTCCCTGCATCGCTCTTCGCATCCTCGTCCTTCAAGGAGGTCAATGCATTTGCACGCACAAATACACCATGTCCTTCTTTACAGGTGAAGTACGTTACGCCATCTTTTGAGCCGTCGTTCAATCCCACTGGTTGGTCCAGTTCGACGCCGATGAAACGACCGGTTGCGAAAGAAGCGGTGCCATTGAAGCGGACAGTGCCATCGCAGGGGCCTTTCTTCCCGCCAGCGTAATGAACCCTCGCTCCAGGAAGGAACTTTGTCGGAGAAGAAGGCCTATCGGCCATTGCTGGCGATGTCGGGGGGGTCTATGTCGTCGTTGTCGTCCGGGAGCCCACGCTATCGATAAGGCGTGGATGACCAGATGACGACCAGAACACGCGAATCTATAATGCAAAAGTTTAAACCTGTTTCCCCAATGTTTCCACACTCCCGTCTGCCCAACTTGACGCGGTTGGGTCCCTTCCCATTTTGACAGGCAATGCAATTTAGGCGCGTCGTCCTCCCCGCTGCTTCCCTGAATTTGGACCCGCGCTCCCTTCGACTCCCCACCCATCTCCATTCTTGCTATTTGCACTCGCTTCGAGCAAAGCATACATTCCTGTATACAACTCGATATTGCTCTCAAAGATGTCGCAAATGGAGCTTGACATGCCGTCGCCCGTGCCTCAGTACGTTCACGCCTTCCCGAGCGCATCGGCAACGACGCCAGCATACAACTCCACAAACGCGTTCTTTCACACTCCTTCGAGCATTCAGACACACAACGCGACTTGGTACGCTCCATACACGCCCTCGCCGTCTTCGGCATCGCGGAAGCGTCGACAGTCGGGTTATGATGATGAAGAGCCCATGACGCCCGTCGCTACCAGCTTCTCGAACAAGAGGGTCCTCAAGCCAGTTTCATCCAGATCCAGGTTTCAACCACAGCAGTTCACGAATATCGCTGCCGCGCGTCCATCTTGGTTGACAGCACCGGAGCATGGTTTGATGCTCGAAGCCGCTGATATGGATGTCGCGTACCCTACAGGCAAAGTGCAGCGCATCCCGCACGCAGAGCTCCTCGAAAGCTTGTCAGCTTCTACTGGATGCACAGTGTTGGTCTTGTGTTTCTGGAGCGGTGGGTGGGCTACTAGCACCGCCCTCGACGGCCCTGAACTCATTTTCGCCATGTCGAAGGCTCACACTGCCTTCCGCCGTCTCGACGCCCGCGTCTTCGCCGTTGGAACTGACTCGCCCTGGATGCACCTTCGCTATCTGTCTACGCTCCCGGTCAACGCCGTTACGCTTCCCATCCTTTCGGACACGACGAGGACGATGACATTGAGCATGGCTGCTATGGATCCTGGTTGTGGTACGAGGTGTATGGACGCCATCGTATTGGTTGACAAGAATGGCAGGAGGAGAGGGTTGGTTCCCTTCCTTCCTGGAAGTCGCGTCGAAGACGTTGTTGAGAAGGCTAAGGAGGGTGTTGAGTGGTTGAACGCCGAATGAGTTATGGCGCAACTCCTACAATATCTTGATGATATGTGGCCACCGGATGGGACCAAAGGAAAGGACAATGGACACGGACATGTGTGGGGAGTTTTCACTATATTGCAATGAGAAGGCGGTTTCGTCTTCAACTGGGGTTTTCATGGGGTAAGTAACAGGTAAGTATCTAGGTAAAAAGATACAGTTCATTCTTTTCTCTTTATCAGTTTCTCTTGCTCCATTACAGAGTTTGTGCGCCCCGGTCCCCGATGTACGGGCGTCCCCGCAATCCGGAATACGGCCGCGGAAGTCCTGGGAGTACGACAGGAAGGACTTCGGGAGAGAAAGGAGCAACGACAACGATATCCAAGGAGCCTATCGTACCCGTAAAGCTTCGATATGGATCCAGGAAGTGATAAAACCGACACGACATCGACAGAGACCACTCTTTCGCAGCCTCCTCCTCCACCGCCCATCATCCATATATACCCTGAAGAATTCATCCCTTCGGCCGCCCAATCGCCATCACCATTCGCTATCCACAAGAGAATCAGTCAAGACCTTGTACTGCTAGCAGCTTATGCTGCCGCGGGGGCTGTAGCCGGAGCGTATGCTGTCGACAAGGTTCGTTCTGTCTTCAGGAGTCGCTCGATTGTAACTGACATTGGCCTAACTAGCTTGTCCTGAAGCCCATGATCAACCAGCTTACAGAAGCACGGAGAGACTTTCACCGGCATGCCATCGATGGAGTCAGTTCGCTCAACGAACAGCTCACTGCAGCATTACGACAACCACCTCTGCCGCCGGTGGAGACGGAGGAAGTAGAAGTGTCAGGAGAAGGAGAAGGGCCAAAATTCGTGGACGCATCGACGCAGACTTCCACACAAATACAATGGGAAATCAACGAAGATGCACTCGATGAAGCTCTTAGAAAGACCGATGGGTTGGACTTCCCGACACCCGCCAAGTCTCTCCAGTCTATATCAGAAACATTACCCGATATAGCGCCAGCACCTTCCTCGCTATATAAAGAGATGTCTTCGACAATCGACGCCTTACGCGAGTATCTCAAGGAGGAAATCACAAAGAATGCGTATCCTACATCGTATGGAGGGTTCAAACCACTTGAAGGAGACGATTTGGGAAGCAAGGTCAAGAGCGAGATTCGGAGCGTGAAGGGCATGTTGCTCAACATCAGAAACTTCCCGGGTGCTGGCACCAGCAGGCTGGCGAGTCTTGTGGGGGTTTGATACGAGTAGGTTGCGACGCATGGGTGTACGACATCATTAAGTGACTGTAGAGGTACCTATCAAGGGAGAGCGTGAAGGGAGTCTTGCATAAGACATATATTTTCAGCATAAGGATGCAGTTATACCACTTTCGCCAGCGATTGGTAGTTTGGTGTTGCGTTTTCATAGGTCTGCAAGAAGAAGTTCGACTGATCCTTTGCGAGAAACCTGTCAACATGTTAGTGAATTCAATCACTCAGCTGATATCATGCATGAACTCACTTCAAGAAATCCTCGATGTAGTCCTTCAAAACCTGCACACTTTGTGCGTCCATGTTCGTATGTGCCATAAGTTCAGGTAGGGATACGAAAAGCCGTAGCAGATGCTCAGCACCATACACATCGCTCATCTCTTGGTCGCCCGAGTTCTTCTTGATATCGACGTATTGTTGCCTCTCGAATCTGTAGAGTAAAATGCTTCCCAGACATCGGTCAAAGTACAGCTTGATACCGCCCAAGACCTCCTCGAAAATATCCGCCTCCGCGCTCCCTGCTCGCTTCTTGGTAGCCTGTTCACGGTATTGGTTGATGATCTCCGTGACAGTCGGCGAACGCGGCAGGGTAACGAGCTGTTGGTTCTTGGTGATGTTCTCCCAGTCGTCGACGAGAAGAGCTTTGAGTGTATCAGGAACATGGATGCGGACTTCAGGCTTCTTCATATAGTCTTCTTCCTGTTCAATGCTGTTAGCGACCATGCGATAGACGAGAATGCGCAGCAACAAAACCTTCTCCAGTTCAACATCAACCCGACTTCTCTTCTGACTCCGTGATGCAGTTGCAGGTGTCGCATCGTCACCTGCTCTCTTCTCACCCGGGGCCGGCGTTCCCTTATCCTTCTTCTCTGGCTTCTTCTTTAACGCGGCTTGTGCCTTCTTCAAGTCTTGCGCAGTCTTCACATTCTCATCCGTGAACTTCAAGACATTGTGCTCCGGTTGCCATTCATCCCACGACGACTTCCAGCCTTTGTAATGGACATAGTAGTAAGGACCCTGTTCTTCTTCAGGACGGTCGTTGCCATCTTCGGTTTTAGGACCGCGGGTTTCGACCTTCGTGATCTTGGCTTCGTAGAGAAGATTCATAGTATGGCAGAGCACTCGCTCATCGGCGGCGAACTTCATCCTGACGCGTTCTTCCTCTGAAACTGCGAGCTCGGTAGATTGTAAGGATCGACTGCCCGTTAACGAGAACGGTGTGCTGTATGCTTCGCGTGTTTCGCCGCGTCGACCTCGCGCTCATGCCGGATCCAAAGTTCAACGTTACCGCCAAACCTCCACAAAGATAAACAAAACCCAATACAGAGATCGACAGCTCTGAACTATCGTGCAATCGGCCCGACCATGCCTCCGTCTGAAGCAACCATCCTCAGCTCATTTCTGCTCTCCAAATCCTCGCTTCAAGATGTTGTTACCCTTCAGCAGTTCACACAGTTCTTTCCGCAAGCCAAACGGTAAGATATCGAACGGTAATCGCTGAACTGTGCTAACAAATCGACAGGAATTCTCCCTTGATCAAGCATATATACAATGACATTCAACAACGACGAACACATACAACCGACCAAATACGAAGGAACATCCAAGTGGAAGCTAAAGTCGGTACGAAAAGGCTTCTGGCAGCACGGAGAAAGGCAGAAAAATCCAGGAGAAAGGACGTGGATAGAGACGAGGTGATGGTAGGCGACGAGTTGTACGCTGCGGGCCAGAAGCAAGTGGATCTGCGGGAAATCGTCGCGAGAATGGAGGTTGCAGAGGATTTGCTTAAGACGGAGCTGGAGGGACTGCATGAAGAAACAGACAGGGTTCTGGAGGAGATGAAAGACATCGGCGGAGGACTGAGTGATCTGAGGTATGGCAAACTGCCTGGGGAAGGGCTGGAGGATGATCTTGTTGCTTGCCTCAAGGTGATACTTACCCCAATATCTTGCGGATATCTTATGGCTAACCGTTTCAAAGGTCTTGACGGACCTCTGTGAAAGAACGATGACCACAGAGAGGTAGGATTTTGCACGCATGATGTACTGTTATTACCTATGTGATGGCCAGTAAGGTGCAAGTCGAATGGGAATACCTTTGATACCAATAAAATACCCGCTATGCAAGCCGGAAATCCAATGCAAAACGCCTGCCTGAGTTGAGTTGATTTGTCCCTTAAATGAAGAACCTTGCCGTTTTCTTCGATACCACTCTGTGAACTTTGTTAGCCTCGGCTTCCTTCCTCATCTGCTTGTCCTTTTTAGTGACGATAATCCCGTCCTCGCGCCACTTTTCAAGGATACGTTTTCCTCTGGCTTGCCATCTGGCCTCACGCTCCTTCTGTTCCTCCTCTGTTGCCGGTCTCCATTTGCTTCTCAAGATTCTTCTGATTGCCTCGGGTGAGATCTTGAATAACTCAGCAAGTCGATTTATGGCAAACAGTTCCGGGTGCTGGACATGAAGAGCGCGAATACCCTCCATCGTTTCTGGCGAAAGCTTCTTCCTTGGGTTCCATCCTTCCTCTCCAAATTTTTCCAGCAATGCGAACTTCTGTCTTTTCCATGCCGGTAAATCTGTAAACTCTCTCCAATTCTTCGGGACTTTCCCTAAAGCAGTTATCGCAGATTGCTCCTTCTCCTTCAGCAATTTCTGTTCATCACTCTCCAACGCCCAAGCCGAAGGGTGTGACTTTGCCGAATCTGAATCCTCGTTCTTTACCACTTGTTTCGTCTCCGCGGCTTCCGAATCCTCCTTGTTCCGCCATCTCCTGGCCGTGGCTTCCGAGTCCGCCTTCGCACCCCACCTCCTCGCTGGACCTTCCAAATACTCCTTGTTCCCCCATCTCTTGGCCGTGGCTTCCGAGTCCGCCTTCGCACCCCACCTCCTCGCTGGAGCTTCCGGATCTCTTTTCGTTGCAGCTCGTTCGGCAGCATTGCGTAACTTCTTCTTGTGTGGTTTCTTGATAGGAGCAGCTGGAGCCTCTTCCCCAACTTGCACTGCCCCAGCTGGAGGCAACTCTTGTGATACTTGTGCCGCTGTGGACATACATCGGATAGGCGGTGCAAGTTGGTTATTTAGCAGACACGGGACAAGAAATAGCAGGTGAGGAGGCGCCGCATTGGAAGCAGCAGTCAGCCCCAAAGCAGTGTAACGCTGACATTGCTGCAAAGGTCTGGTGAGCATTCTCTCGTCCAACGGAAATGGCAGGTTGATGTTTTCCCTGTTCTGCTCCCGCGGCCGTGTTCTTGGATATTTCGACGGCGGACCTTCTCAGCCTCAATTAAGAGTGGCGGTGCCGACGTATACGGGACTCAAAACAATCAAGAAGGACAACAACCAGCGGTTCCATCAGTCAATCACCGCCAGGATGTTCATGTTGAAGAGCTTGGGAAAGATGATCTGGGGCGACCCGAACAAGTCCGAGGTCGTCTCGATCCCCTCCGGGCAGCTCTACCTTGTCAGGCCTGGATCGTTGAAGGGGTTGCGCGAGTGCATGTAAGTAAATGCTCGCTGCTCGTCGAGCTACCAGCTAATCGGGTTCTGCAGCTTCAAGGATGCTGCCGCCTGTATTCGTCGTACGACTACCGAGTATCACTATCAGTTGGTCATCCAAAGGGTGTATGAAGAGGGCGAGGAGGAGTTCGACGAGAATGACGAAGAAGACGATCTCTCTGACGAGAAGACGTTCTTGGTTGATGAGTCTCTTCAGTTCCGTACCGGTACGAGAGACGGCTGTGTTACCTTTGCGTGGCGTGACCTCTCCGGTGACAAGGGTGATCTCTATGAGTTTGTCTGTGACAAGACCTCTCAGACGGGCTCTACGCAAACATTTGAATTGGTCATGTACCAGTGTATGTTTGAAAGAAAGTACAGGCGATCCCACGAGAATGCAACGGATGCCGATTTGGAGCAGTTCACCTATGTTGCACCTGAACGACAGGAACAACCGGCGACTCCGCCTCGCGCACAAGCTCCCGTTGCATCGACGACGCCCACCAAGACTCCTGTGACCAAATCTCCTGCTCAGCCCAAATACGAAGCACCGCCGCCGGAGCCTACTACTGCGCCTCCTGCTCGTGCACGCCCTGAAGGCGGCGAGATTCTTGCCGAAGTGACGGCAGAGTTGCATTTGTTTGATGCGGCTCAGGGCGTCTTTATGCTCCAGGACCAAGAGGTTACTGCTGTTGTTACGGAGGTCGATCAGTGGCAGTACTGGCTTTCCATCGATGGCAAAGACAAGCCATGGCTAGGCCAGCCGTTGGAGGCGGAAATGAACCCGGTTTTCAATTACGAGCACACCTCGTTCATCTGGAATTACTATGATGATGAGTCTCATGCATACTCATGGCTTCTGCGCTTCAAGGATATTGAAACCGAGGAGAAGTTCCAGGAGGGTGTCATGCGGGCATTGTGGGAGCGTTTGAACGAGGTGAAGTGGACCAAGGTCAAGGATGACGAGCGCGATTATGTTATGGAAGCTTTCCAAGAAGACACGGACATGCCGGACGTTCCCGAGGAGGATGAAGAGGAGGAGGAGCAATACGCCGATGCTCAACAGAGCGACGATTACGATATGGACGAAGAGTGGGATAATGAGGTCACCAAGATGGACGCCGCTGGTGAAAACAGCCAGTTGGCCGTTGGTTACAAGCACGACCGCTCCTTCGTCGTTCGTGGAAACAAGATCGGAGTATTCAAGCACACCAACGATAACCGCTTGGAATTTGCTACGACAATTAACAAGGTCCAGAACCTTAAGGGCGTGGACTTTGACCCCTCTAAGGTTATGCTTCATGAGGAAGACAGTGCTATGCTCTTGCAGAACCCCAACGATCCTACCAAGATCTTCCGTATGGACCTCGAGTACGGCAAAGTTGTTGACGAATGGAATGTTGGTGAGGACAAAGTCGTCAAGACCTTCGGTCCGTCTAGCAAGTACGCACAGATGACTGGAGAGAAAACCGTCCTTGGTCTCGGCCCTAACTCGCTTTTCCGTATTGACCCTCGTTTGTCCGGTATGAAGCTGGTCGAGTCCGAGCACATGCAGTACGCTACCAAGAACGACTTTTCGGCTATTGCTACAACGGAGACTGGATTCGTTGCTGTCGCTTCAAACAAGGGCGACATCCGTCTCTTCGATCGCGTCGGAATTCGCGCCAAGTGCCAGTTGCCCGCTCTCGGTGAGGCTATCATCGGCATCGATGTAACTGCGGATGGTAAATGGATTCTCGCAACGTGCAAAACCTACCTTCTCCTTATCGATGCTACCGTCAAGGACGGCAAGTACGTTGGTGAGCTCGGTTTTAAGCGCGGGTTTGCCAAGGATAGTAAACCCCGTCCTCGCCGTCTCCAGTTGAAGCCAGAGCACATTGCCATGTTCCCTCGCAATGCGCCGCTTAGCTTCACTCCCGCTAAGTTCAATGCTGGTACTGACACGACGGAGACGTCGATCATCACCAGTACTGGTCCTTACGTCGTTACTTGGAACTTCAAGCAGGTGAAGAAGGGCCAGCTCGACAAGTACCAGATCAAGAGTTATGGTGATGAGGTGAGGCATTTCTCGGCTACAGTCTGCCATTCCAGTGCTAATTCCGGTTGTTTTACAGGTTAAAGCAGATAACTTCAAGTTCGGATCCGATAAGAACGTCATCGTCGCCTTACCCCACGATGGTGAGTAGATCTATTCGCTAGCCGACGGGGATGCGGACACTTTTCTGACGTCGGATGATGCTAATTGTGATCGTCTTTTAGTATCGATGGTTGCAAAGCAAGCGTTCAGGAAGCCTACGAGGGAGTCGTTATCGACGCCTATCAGAAACCGTATCAACCGCAGCCATATCGTCAACAGCCCCTTTTAGACAGATGCGGCACAGCTGCAGTGTATGGAGGCGCAAGCTGCAATGCTTTGACAGGAGGAAGACCGTTTTGTATCTCTTTGGTTCGTCACGCGCGGTGTTTCTTATTCTTTTCTGGCGGTTTTCAAAGCTATATCGCTACCTAATACTTCCACCATGACCTTCCTAATGTCCTAATCGGGTGGGTTACCGAGCACATGAACATTCCTGCTGCCGTTCTACCGGAACATGTCGGGTATAAGGACTCCTTCATTGCATGACCTTGGGGGTGTTTGTGTTTGGTGTTGAGACGTCGACGCGCGCAATCTCGCACTCACCACACAAGCAGCGCAACAGTCGGATCCATTGCCGTATCAATTGCAAATGAAAGGACGACGGGACTGATAGATAAGCTAAGACCTAGTCTCGCCTCGAGCTCTCGTAGATGACAGAAGATAGCCGGTTGTCGGACATTCAAGTGACGCGGGGCGATATGATCTGTACATGTGCACGTCCCGTACGCGTCGGGTTGCGATGGCGATGTTCATCTTACGCCCTCCTATCTCTCCGGAGCACACCATACGCGGCTCGCAAATCGTCAGACGAGGCATCATCGGCTGATGACTGATGACATGCCCACCGTCGCACTTGGACCACCGGGTGGAGCATCTCCAGTATCTTCCGGACCGCCTATCAGTTTAGCTTTGCGTAAGGTTGGTCGGCTCTGATCTAAATTCAACGTATGCCCATACAAACTGCACCCCACAGTAGACCGGTACAAAAAGCAAATGGCCGCCCGTAGCTATGCTCCATTACGTTCGACAAACTTCATACAGGACGTTACAATGACCAACCTGCTGAACAAGGCGACACCTGCTTCGCCTAACAGACAAACAACAAACACCATCGTACTCGACTATATGCTTTTCCAGGCCACGGGTGCTCTCATCAAAGACTATACAGCACGCGTTGAGGAGGAAAAGAAGGCCCGAGCGCAGTTGCAAGCGATTGGTGCGAGTCGCAATCGAAAGCGTCAGACCCAGGACTCCTCAAGCAGGCGGCTCGTTGGCTTGGTCGATGGATTGATTGCTTCCTACCATGGTTCGCCAGGTTCGTCACTCATCTTGGCGCCTATCCTTGTGCACCGGATACATCTGTGTACGTTACTCTCCGTCCTCTCCGGTCGGTATGAGCCACAAGTCAGCTCTGCCTCTCTGGTCTCTCCGGCCAGCTTGCAGAAACACAGAAAACGGAATCGTGATCGGATGAGGAGGTACTGCTTGGCAAATGAAGAGCAAATTAGATTCTCGAAGGAGATTACGGACACATGGACGTCCCGACAGAGCGAACTTCCTATTGCCCCTAGACATCGCCGTGATCGTACACCCCTGTCAAAGGATCCATTGGCGAATTCATACAGAGCCGTACCAGGCCTACGAGATGCCTTGGACGATTTCATGTTGGTATCAGCAATGGCAATGAAGTCTTTAGGAAGCAGTCTTGGTGATCTGTGGCTGGAGATCGCCGTCGAATTCATGAAGCAGGCTGCACTGGAAGCATTCCTGTCAGACGGAGCCAAGGACTTTGGTTCTTTCAAGGAATGTTTCGCATGGGGAAGGATCCCCGAAGACAGACCAGAACTACGCCTGCCAGCAAGCGACCGAAGTGCTGTCGTTCAGGAGATCTTTGATAGCTTCACGGAGGAGGAGATGGCACAATTCAATACGTCAATCGATCAAGCCGTTTCGCAATTCATCCCACCAACAGAAACATCACTCGAGGTGCATCTCCTCAAACTTGGCAGCTGTGATAATCTGCTGTCATTTGAAGGAAAGTTGGTGGAATTCCTGACGACGGTGAATACGTTCATCGGGAAACCTGAGTTGGCGAAGTATGAAGCTGGCCTTCACATTCCGCCCACCACCATTTCGGAACAGGTCGACACTGTTGCTTGAACTTGGGATAATATTCACTGTATTGTGCGAGGATTTTTGGGGGAGTTCTTCATCTCAGGTGTGCTGCGTATTTTCGGGCCGGTTTCAATATACTCCTAGAACCAAGTCGCCTCGCCCTAGATGCACTGTCTGCCCGCGTCTCAACCAGAACTTAGATATCCTGTGACATGTACGACCTCGCCCCCTATTCGTCCATGTACGCTAACGCCATATCTGCGGCTACAATGAATCTCCCTTGTTCACTGTCGTACCGCTTGAAGAACTTTCCTATTTCCCTGAGTTCGCATAAAGCTTCCACATCAGCCGTAGTATGGTTGCTGAGCCTGATGTTCTCCTCTGCCACGTACCGGTGGGAACTGTCTTCAACCAAAACATGGTAGAATGGCTACGAAGCACGTTAGTATCGTTCTGTTGCGATCAACAAGAAGCATACCTGCTCACGACCTTCGTTCAATCGATCTACACCCATCATCTGTATCCATTCCTCCGTTGTCTCCTCACTGCAGTTCTTACTCCAGCCAGTAATTACTGCTCGGTAACTATGATACATGTCAGTACTGCCACTGCTGGCTGTCTCTCCTGATAGACATACTCGTAGCGCTGATGCACAAAGATCTGCCCCACTCTATACTTTGGTTCTCGCTTCAAGTTCTTTCGGCCTTTGGGTCCTGGCTCCTTTCGGTCCTCCTGCCTGATAGCCGAACATGCTTCGGCCAATATACCCGCTTCATCTTCGTCCTCCACTGAAGGCAACACCTTTGTTTCGATGAAGCCGATATCGCTGGGAAAACTCGTCTGGACGATTCGACTAAGGAATTCTCTGGTTCGCATGCGGTTTAGTCGAGATGTCCAAACACCGGCTTCCGGGTGAAGTTCGCGAATGACCCACCTTGGTTGTCCCATGAGGCCATTGCCAATAATATCGAGTGCGGCAAAGGATGCGTAGAGAGCTGCGTCGCGATCATGCTTTGGCATATCATGACCACGCTGCAGTGCATTAAGGATGTTTCTTCCCGTTCGTAGGATCATGTCTTTAGTTTGTGCCGGACCTGTGTATTCCGGAACGCCGGGAGTCAGAACTCCCATATGTAACAGCATGTCGTGGAGATCTTCCACTCGGAGGATACGACCTCCACTGAACGGATCGACATAGACCACGTCTCCTCCGTTGGCCGGACCAACATATGCCAGAACATGAGTGGGAACGCCCACAGCTGCGAATGTAGCATCCTGGCGTAACCGGCGACCTAAAGCACAAAAGATTGTCACGAGAGTGATGGGTAGAAAGCTTGTGCGGTCGCGCAGAACAATATGAAGGAAGGAGTTGTCAAGATGATAATAAGCCGAAGAACCTACCACTTCAGAGAAAGTTAACGAGGCAGAAGCTGTGTGCTCGCAGATACGCACCAGGGTCCCTTGGGGGCGTGAGATTATGCTCTCTCATGAACCGGCATAAGGCCTGGGCAAATGCCGGTAATGGCAGTTCCGCGTAATTCAGAATCCATGATTTGGCCTGAAGTGCCAGACAATCGAACTGATTAAGCACCTATCGAAGCACCTGTCAACAAGCGTAGGGACTGCAACGGAGGGACTACACACGTCCTCGACGTCGCCACTGCGGAAAAGTCCAAACAGCGCCAAACCTTCTTCAAGAGGAGGGTCATATCCATCAGCAATCTTCTCCAACCTTTCCCATGCTCTTCTTCGTCTTATATGCTCCTACAAACTTGTAAGCAGACCATCCGGGCAGATCACGACAAAATCCGCACCAGCACTTGTGTAGCATGATACCGTCTCGATAGGTAATCTTCCGCTGTAGCGGTTGTGTTGATGTTTCTCTCGAGGTACTCCTTGACATCGTAACCGAGTCTTGCCAGCGTTTGCGTTCTCTTGATCTTGTAGGTTGGTTGGGCAAGGATTTCCTCGAATAACTCCTCGGCCATCTGCTCTTTTCCCCAGCGCACAGAGCATTCCCCTCGCCAGTTCGCCTCGAGAACCTCTTCCTCCTCGGGATACCTCTCCCACCACTCCCAATTCTTGGCCGCCATTGACTTCCAATACAGGTTATCGTCCACTACTCGCGCCCATGAACGGCACACTTGAGAAACGCGAGCGGCGTCATCTGGGCGATCCAGGCGACTGAAGATATCGAACAGGATCTCTGCGGGTAGATCAGCCATCGTATGAGTATTTTCTGGTGTTTTCGTTCTGTCGCCTCCCAATTGTCGATGCCGTACGTACATTTCGCTGGGTACGTCACAGTCGCATTCGCGCGCAGCCGCTCCATGTCGCTTGATCTGTGCGCGAACGAGGACGAGGGAGGAACACCATGAGAATTGCTAATGGAAGGAGATTCCTTATGTATAGATAAAGAAGATAGATTGTAAAGAACGTTCAAAGATAAACGCCGTTTGTGACCGGCCACGTAGTCCTAAATCCTTCTAAACACAACTACTTGAGAAAAAGAAAGAGAACGCCAACCTAACCCACTGCCTTGACCATATTGCAACCTGGTATATCGTTAGTATCGTTAGTATCCTCTCATACAGCCATTACTACTCCTTCCTCCTGCTCCATCGTACATCCACTTGCGCCCTCACGGCATCGGCTCGGGAGAAGGCGAGAGGGATGACCGGTAGTCCTCCTCCTTGATCCCCTCGGGGCAAGCCGTAGCACTTCTTCCTCGTCTTTTCCTTATATCGTCCTCTTCCGTTGTGAAAGCTCCGACACAGATGCCGCGCTGTCTGTGTCTTGTGAGCGCATCCATCCTTGCGAATCCCTTCGAGCAAGCGCACATGTATGGCTTCTCACCCTCGTGGATACGCGCGTGACGGCGGAGATCATGGCGACGAACGAATCCAGCGCGGCAAATCTCACAGCGATAAGGGCGGTCAGACAAGTGAGTCTGGATGTGCGATTGGATGTTGTACTTGCGACCGAATCGCTTCATACAGTTGTCGTACAGACAGACGTACTTGCCGTCTTCTTCGGGACCTTGGATGTAAGAAGCGATAGTCTCCGGATGGACGTGGGAAGGGCGGGAAGAGATATGCGGTGTACGACTGGGAGAGCGGTTGCAGCTAGGTGTGGAGGATCTGGGAGCAGGAGTGCAAGACTTGCGGGAAACCTTGACAGGAGGCCCCTCAAGGTTAGGCATGAAGCGAATTTGCTGGCCGCCGAAAGGTTTAGCGTGCAGCTCTGGAGAGGAACGGCAGTGATCCTCCTCGTCACTGGTAGGCGCTGAAGGAAGCATGCGTGGGTTGGCGATCGCAGGGAAAGCAGCGGAAACCGGGCTAGGCCGAAGACCGGGAGTGTTCTGACACATAGTGGTCAAATCCAAGAATGCCCCTGATGGCGCCGAAGTGTACGGGTTAGGTGTCATGAAAGCTGCGGTGGTCATCATTTCGGGACTCGGTGTCTGCTCGGTACCACTGAAAAGGTCGGTGTCCGAGGGTGGGAACGAAGGCGAGTAGATGCTCGAACCAGAAGAGTAGTAAGCAGTAGAGTCGTAAGCGTCAGAGTTAGCGATATCATTCGAGTCGATGTTGGAATACTGGCTAAGAACGTTCGACATTGGCGGAGCTGTGTAGATTTGGATAGGAACTTTAGGCTCAAAAGTCGGGTAGAGCGACCCGTATGGAACCTCCGCCATGTTAAGCATAGAATCCATGAATAGCTGATTCTGAACGTAAGCTGGTGTTGATAGAAACTGAGCTTCGTCCATGTACGGTGATGGCGCCAAGTACATGGAGTGTTGAGCAGGTACAGCGGCAGGGATCTCCGGAGCGAGGAGACCATTGGAGACTGGCGCACTCGCCAAAAGGTCTTCTTCATTCAGATAGGTCTCCACCTGTAAAGGTCCACCCTGCGCCAGGTAACGCGGATCAAGTGAAAAGCCGTCCTGAGCAACGTATGGTGAGTCGCCAGTCAGGTCGATGAACTGTTGCATGGGTGGGACGTAGCCGTAGCTCTGTGCCAGTACTGGTGCGAGTAACGGCTGTGATCTTGTCTTAAAGGCAGCTTCGTCGGCGAGAATGGGAGAAGAGCGGTGACGGACGCTATGAGTCGCTTGTCTCCGTTGCGCGGGCATAGCGACGAGTGTATATATAAATTGACGTGGGAAAGGTGTAAATAGTCGACCGGCGACCTGGAGAGATGAACTGTCAGTCAATAATCACAAAGAGGTCTGAGCGGCGCGACGGTACTGTAACAAAACGGGGTTGAGAGTCTGATCTGACCGGCAGATGTGGTAGTGAAGAAAGGCGGATCAAGAAGCTCTCCAGGAGCTTGATCGGCGGATTATGAAGAAGCAAAGCCTTGATCAACAAGGACGGCTGAGGGTATGGTTGTTCTCAAGAGAGAGGGAGGGGTGTTAGGAGTAGTAGTGAGAATTGGGTCATAACCGGTCGCTGACCATCCTATGTGCGGCAGGCGCGACAAACCGACGGGACGAGCGTTTGTTGTGGTTTGCCCACATTTGGCAGTATAAGTTGGTTAGCCAGTCTCAGCCGTGGATGTTGTTCTGATAAAGCTGTAAGCTGTAAAAGGTCAAAAAAGAGACACTTACTTGTTATCAAAGAAATCCATGTATGTTACAGAAGGCTCGTTCAACACAGAACGCGCCACTTCGGACTGCGGCAATGCATATTGGGGCAATACGACGAGCAAAACATCCTAGGAAGAACCCGCTCGGTCCGACCCACATCCCGCACCGACTCATTCATTGTCACCTGAGTATCCTCTCTGCTCATATTGAAAGCTTGTCAGGATCAGCCGGGATCTTTCGGACGCCAGCTCTCTTTTGCGACGCTGGGACACATATCGGCAGTGAAGGCTCCTTAATCACAGCATACACCCTCTGAGAGTGCATTCATCCTCCTGCAACATGTTGGATAAGTCATCATTCAGCGCAATGTCATTCATCCCGTCAATCCCCTCGCCCTCGCGGTTATCTCAGAAGTTTCGGGCACGTTTAGCGCAAACGGCCCCATCAGAACTGACCGGCATTGAGACCTCGTTCTCGCCGAGAGTCACTATCGAGAAAGTCAAGAACCACGAATACACCATCTGGGACTTGCAATATGTTCTTCTGGCTTGTCTCGGTGTGTTTTCGCTGTGCATGATTCAGAAATTTGGTATTTTGTTCAAGCTCTTCGTCGTTACTGCACTCGGTACTGCGCTTCTCATCCCCATTACCAGCCAGTTCTTCTTCCCCTTCTTGCCAATCGCAAGCTGGCTTGTCTTGTTCTACGCATGCAGCTTCATTCCGGCAGCATACAGACCGCACATCTGGGTTCGCGTTTTGCCAGCTTTGGAGAACATTATGTACGGTGCAAACGTCAGTAACATTCTTGCAAAGCACACGAACTCGTTCTTGGATGTTCTTTCCTGGATCCCCTATGGAGTTACGCATTTTGGTTCACCGTTTGTCGTCAGTGCGGTCATGTTCGTCTTCTCTCCACCAGGGACTCTACCTGCTTTTGCTAAGGCGTTTGGGTACATGAACCTGACTGGTGTTCTGATCCAAATCTTCTTCCCCTGTTCGCCGCCTTGGTACGAGAACCTCTACGGGTTGGCTCCGGCAAACTACGGAATGCCCGGTTCGCCTGGTGGTCTTGCTCGCATTGACGCTTTGTTTGGCACTGCCACGTATACGTCTACGTTCACCGCTTCGCCTATGGTCTTCGGTGCATTCCCGTCGCTTCACTCTGGCTGTGCAACAATCGAGGCTCTGTTCATGAGTCATGTCTTTCCTTCAGCTACCCCGTTCTTCATGTTTTACGTCATGTGGCTCTGGTGGTCTACTATGTACTTGACTCACCATTACTTTGTCGACTTGATTGGTGGTAGCTGTTTGGCTGTTGTTTGCTTCCTTATTTCTCAGCGTATGTTCTTGCCTCGCACCCAGGAAGGTAAGTACCTTCGCTGGGAGTACGACCATGTCGTCCGTGGCGACACACATGCTTCGGGCATTAGCGATGGTTCAGCACCATGGTTCGCAGTTGCTGAGCACGATCTGGATTTGGAGATGGGCGAGTTGGAGGATGGTGAGGGAGACTGGGCGTTGGGAAGTAGCTCTTCCGCAAGTGTAACAGGAAGTTTGAGTCCTGTGAGCGAAAGTAGCGGACAGACGCTTGGCACGCCGATCAGCTGGGAGCAAGCGGAGGAGTTGGAGCGACAAAGGCGACCGACGCCGTCGAACATTGATCGTTAGGTTGGGCGTTTTGCAACAGGAAATGGACCGTTTGATCGCCATTCTCGATTTTGGAGAGATTAATGAACGATGTTATCAGGTGTTTTGGACGAATACGGTAATCCTACCCGCGTCTCGTCTCTTTTTGCTAGCATAGATGGGGTTTACGGTATCGGTATCGGTAGCACAGGGCTATTAGCGGCATGCATTAATTCATAATGACGATTTGTCGGCGTCTTACACAATCATCGACATTCTTTCAATCAAATTCGATTGCTTATCTCAAGTGCAACTGCTTCTGTGGTCCGCGGGCTATCAGTCTCCGGAGCCGCCGCTGCTTGCTTTGGTGGGGTTGTATTCGTAACGTCTAAGTAAAACAGGTACATACGCCCAACTTTATCCCGGGATTCAAGCAACCGCATACACTCCAGTACAAGGCCGTGAAGGGCCGTTCATGCCTAGGACTGTGCTCTCTACGTCTGCCGGGACATCACAAACGATGCCAGCGCCAGAAGCACAGCTGTCTGTTGTTCAAGGGACTACGCCGGACACTTCAAACACTGTAGCGCGACCGGAATGCTACAACATCCCCTCCATACAGATCAAGGAGCTCTTTTTTGAGTTACCACTTGATTACGGTCACCCGGAAAGGGAAACTATCAGAGTATTTGCGCGACATTGCATTTCGCTGGATAGACTGAAGGATGCGGAGGCCTTGCCATACATTGTTTACCTCCAGGGCGGGCCAGGGTTTGAATGCGCACAGCCATCCAACACAGGAGTTACAAAGGTCCTTTTGAAGGATTACCAGATTCTATATCTGGATCAGCGAGGTGTGTGGACCTGACGACGTGTTCTGATCAGGTGGACTGACCTGAGTATAGGAACGGGTTTGAGCACGCCAATATCAGCAGGGACCTTGGAGAAGAGAGGGTCGGATGAAGCGAAAGCCGAGTATCTGAAACATTTTCGCGCCGACAACATTGTAAGGGATTGCGAGCGAATACGAGAAAAGCTGCTGGGTGAGCATGCGGAAGCCCGATGGTCGATTTTGGGACAAAGTTTTGGGGGCTTCTGCTGCCTCACTTATCTGTCACAGAGGTATGATACCCAATCCCACGTTGTCAACCCTCCTACTTACGACAGTCTAGCCCACACGGTCTTCGTGAATGTTTTATCACTGGCGGTTTAGCACCAATTCTGGAAGTCACGCCTGACAATGTCTACAAGTCGTTGTACAAAAAGCTGCAGCACCGGAACGATATGTACTACGAAAAGTACCCTATGGATGTTGCACGAGTTCGGAGTATTGTGAAGTATCTTGGAAACAAGGGCGTGCGACTGCCGAATGTATGCTACAGTACTCCGCATGCTCAGACTGTTTACTCATATGTTTGATAGGACGGACAACTCACTGCTCGGCGTTTTCTGCAACTCGGGCTGGAGTTTGGCCTTCATGGTGGTTTTGACAAGATTCACGACCTCGTCTTCCGCGCTGCGAACGACCTACAAACATTCCGGTGCTTCACGTATCGGACTCTCGCTGATATACAGAATATGCAATCGTTTGATACCAATCCCCTCTACGCAATCCTACACGAAGTCATTTATTGCCAAGCTGCAGCTCCAAGCTGGAGTGCAGAACGGACCTTGTCCCTATATCCCATATTCCAATGGGGACAGCAAATAGAGGAAGGAGATGATGCCAGAATATACTTTACAGGAGAAATGATCTTCAGGTGGATGTTTGAGGATTACGCCGAGCTCAAACCGCTGGCAAAGGTCGCAGATATGTTGGCGGAATACGACCAGTGGCCACGACTATATGACCCGGAACGGTTGGCGAAGAATACCGTTCCGGTTGTGGCTGTGAGTTACGTGGACGACATGTACGTCGATTTGCAGTCGAGCATTGACACGGCGGGCCGTATCGGGAATTGCAAACAATGGCAGACGAACAGGTACGTGGTGCAAGGGGAGTACCCTTATTCATTCATACTGACCCTGATATAGGTACCTCCACAACGGCATTCGACATGCCCCAGACGATGTTCTCCCGTATCTCTTTTCCCTAGCTCGTGGAGATGTGGATATATAGCCGTCATGGCGGCTTTCCCCATTTGCAGTCGTCCCAAACATTCAGCGCCCATTTGCTAAATTCACTTCCCCTGATCTTGCTGTCTTCGCAGTCGCACACCCTCATTGTAAATCCTTGCAACATTCACTTCCATCACCGTGATCTGTTCTCTCAGGTACTCGGCGTCCTCCTCACACTGTGCCAGCGACTCCTTTGCTGTGGATAGCTTCGACGTGAGAAGCTCGATTGCCTCTGGAATGGGATAAGAGAGCATGACATTCGCGCCGAGCCACAGGTAGACCGTGTCTGTTGGTTCAATGGTTGCTTTTGCGAATAATGTGTCGTTCAACTCAAAGCTTGTACCAAATGATTCTGAAGTTTCCTGCAAGAGATTGTTAGCACGACCGTCGTGGATCAATGGGCGGTCCGCATACGTTCTTCGACTCAATGAACTTGACCATCTCCAGCGTCTTCTCAATATCAGGAATCTTTTCGCGCAATCCAGTTGCTCTTCTCAGAACGTTCACTTCCATAAACTTGTACTTCGCGACGGTCTCTTGGAACTTCTTCAATGTAGGGTCAACTTCGTCGTATGTTGAGACGTACTCTTCGATCTTTTCGACGAAAGGCGCTTGAGGAATTCCTCGAGGATTTGACTTTACTGTGTCCATGGATTCCATTCTGTCCTTCAGCTGGTCTGAGGTTACGTTACGTTACGCTTCTCGAGGGTCTGTTGACGTCGAGGTCTAATCCGGTAGGCGCACGGTTGAGTTCAGTTACAAGTCCCGTTGGGCGGCACAGGTAACGTCGATTCCACCGTATGCGATCACAGAGAACAATCTTTGCATTCAGATCATTCTCCTTCGTCCGTTCAACTTTCCTGACACGCCCAATCTCGCATCACCATATCCGCACAATGTCTTCCCGTGTCGCAGAGAGCATGTCATCGTCCAACAGCGGCGATAAGGCATCATTGATGGTGGATCTTGATTCAGTGATTTAACCGGGATGAAACTGATATTTTGACTACAAGTACCAAGTTGGTGTTGCTTCTGCCACTTCGCATAGCACCACATCCAACGCTGTCGAGACCGTCACCTCCTCCAGCCTCACCTTCCCTAATCCCGAGTCCCTTTCCCCCGTGGAGAAGGCCAAGCGTCTCGCTTCCCACCGTGCTGTCGATGAGCACTTCCCCGAGAATGCCAAGGTTGTTGGTATTGGATCCGGATCAACAGTCGTCTATGCCGTTGAGCGTATCTTGCAACGCAAGGATCTGAAAGACATCATCTTCATCCCTACTGGATTCCAATCCAAGGAGTTGATCGTCAATGGTGGTCTTCGTCTTGGTGAGATTTCTGGATACCCTGTGCTGGATGTTGCATTCGATGGTGCCGATGAGGTCGACTCTGCCTTGAACTGTATCAAGGGTGGAGGTGCTTGTTTGTTCCAAGAAAAGCTCGTCGCATCATGTGCGAAGAAGTTCATTCTCGTTGCTGACTACCGCAAGAACTCGTCCATTCTCGGTAAGGAATGGACTCAGGGTGTCCCTATCGAGGTTGTCCCTCTCGCTCATGCGTCCGTTCTTCGCATCCTCTCCAACATGGGTGCCCTGGACCCTCAACTGAGAATGGGCGGTAAGGCTAAGGCTGGACCCATCATCACTGACAACGGAAACTTCATCATTGATGCTCATTTCGGTCAGATCCCTGTCGAGCTCGTAAGACAGCTTGCTGCGGAAATTAAGGCTATCATCGGTGTTGTTGAGGTGGGTCTCTTCGTGGATATGGCTGATGCTGCCTATTTCGGTAACGACGACGGTTCCGTCTCTGTACGGGGCAAGTCTGATGGGAAGGACAAGAACGACATTGGCAAAGCCGAGTGATTGCACGAAGTGTCGGACGCCGATGGCGAACAAATGCCGGTGAGAAAAGTATAGGATTATAGATTAGTATCAAAAATGCCAAAGAAAAACTAACGCCGTGCACCTATCCCGGAATGATGCCTGCCTCAACTTCGGCCAAAACAATTGCACCTGCTTGATCCTCATCATCGCTCCACGTTTCGTCCTCCGAATGCTCGAACTCCATTTCATGCCAAGGAGCTGTATCACGCCGGGTCATAAATTCAGCAGGTGGGAGTTGTGGTCGGATTTCGGCTGAGTCGGTGATATCCTCATTCTCCCTGGATGTCACATCTTCCTCGTTCACTGCAAAGTGCTCCTGCACTAGGTGCTCGACAACACCCCAACCAAAAGCGTTGGCAAACTGCCTCCTCACGACGATATTGTTGTGGGCGTCAGGCTCCAGCCGAACAAGTACTTTCCTCCACTCAATATCCTTGTGCCACGCCCGCGCAATTTTCTCCTCCAACTTGAGCTTTTCCTTATGCTTCTTTGCAGCAGAACTCTCACCTGGAGAGCCTGGTCCCGCAGGTGCATCGGGTTCCGCGGGTGGAATATCTGAAGGCCGGTAAATTCTGTCGTGGAAAATAACGTCGCGACGGGACTTTGGGTTCACCAACCATTCAGTGGGAGGTAGAGGCGGATTTATCATGATGTGGGCGCTTTCATACCAAGTACTCTTAGGCGGTGGCTCGCTGCCAGATCCCTCGAAGTCCTTGGAGGCAAGCTCATCGGGGGTAGGCTTAGTCTGAGAACGTCGGTACATCTTCGGAATGTGTTTGCCTCGTGACGATCTTCCGCCATGAGGGCGAAAGAGTGTGAGTACCGAAGTCAGGGGATTTGACTCGGATTGCTGGGTCTCAGGGGCGGCCGTTACATGCGTCTCACTAGTTGCGGAATCGTCATTATCCCCAGGCTTAACCTCCTTCCTGAACTCTGTCGATTCTGTACCTTGACCTGGAATGCGAACATCCATGCGGGCATCATCAGGGATTGGTGAACCACATGGGGTCGACATGGTTGACCTCGGCTTCACGGAATTCTCCGCAGGACTATCCGTGTCACTGCCTAGCGCTGCCTCGTAGGCAAATGCCGATTGTTCTGATATGTATCCAGGAGGAGGCATGGGAATCCCCTTTGGTTGAGCCAACTGGAACGTAAGGTCCGTCGGTGAATTTCTGCGCGTTGACCCGGGAGAAGGGCTTTTCGTTCCAGGCAAAATGTGGTGCAATAGCGTATCCCAACCACTCTTTGGGTTTTCCGGCGTTGCTTCTTCGATGTTACCTGTCTTCGACTGAGCGTCCTCGGCATCCTTCCGGCTCGGCAACGGGAAACGCTGTTTCAGAAACTCCCATCTCCTGTTCTGAGATTTCAATTGTTCTCCTTCCACATTTTCTCTGTCCGACTCGTCATCTGATCCTCTAAACTTGTTTCTTACGAAGCCAGTTAGGGTTGCGCTTCGATGACTAGGGCCGACACCAGGTCCGAGTGTATGCCATAATCCTTGTCCTGTGTGCCAGAGACTCTTTGCCCGCGACTTCTCTACCCTTTCGAAACTAGCCCAATCGAGGAAAAAAAGCGAGGCTGTTCGCAGGGGCACAATGCCATCGTTGACGACGTTTGCATACAGCGTATGTAACTTAAACAGCCTCACTGCAGCATGACAAGGTCCATCCTCCAAAGCCATGATGCGTAATAAAGGGCGATGGTCACGTATTCGCACTGGCTTATCTCCAGATAGTTGTTGGAACTGCTGGTTAGGACGGAAAGTAAGTCCGAGGTCTTGTCCCGTCTTCCCAAGGACTCCGAGATCAAGGGCGAGCTTGACGTATCCAGGGTTTTCAGCACTCACGCCAAGCCATGGACTCGCAAGAGTGACAAAATTAACTGGTCGAATGCGGTTAAAGAACTCCCCTCTTGTGCGATCATAGATATAACCAAGGGCGTATGTCTGCACAAGGCCTCCGAGGGAATGTCCAATGAAGCTGATGCGCGAGTACGGTACCCAGTCTACTTCATCCGTCTTCTCAAGCTCGTACCACCGCGTCTCCTTGAGTACCCATTCAGCAACTCTCCGGCCAAGGTATTTGACCCCTCTCAACGTTCGACACGAGTTGTCCGTGAAGCCACTCACTACAACTCCCCCCTTGGGAAACTTTTTCACGCCAGCTTCGTGTTCGATCTGCTGCTTCATGTAGAGCATATCGGCGCCCGTATTTGATTGCAACCCGTGGGAGATAACGACGAGATGAATATCATCATGTACTCCTCGTTCCAGTTCAGGTGTGCGCCATAGCTCATGGGTATCTTCCATCTTGACCGAAACAGCTTGATGAGGTTCGGTCTTGGATGGACGACGAAGTGCGGCGGAGGAGGACGCCAGCGTTATCTCGTACTCTACATGAGCATGTGTGAATAGTACTTGAGTTGATAAGTCAAAAGTAAACGTCCGATCTTCGTGAGGCCCTGCCGCGACGGCAGGCGAAGCGTATAGAGTTGTGTAAAATGAGGATCCCGCTTTGATGTGCGGATCATAGGCTGGAGTATCCCATGGAGGTGTCTGCTCACGCATCGAATAGGTAGACGATGTCACGCTTGCCGCAAGTACGTATGGTCCTAGATTACGGATCAGTATGGTGCATACTCGCAAATGGCACCAGACGAACCGGTAAGATAAGCTGCCCGCAAGACCTTGCTGCAGGCATTCCTGATACGAACCCATATCTTGCCCTTCTGTAGGGTGATACCGGCTTCCTTAAGCTTTTGCGTAGATACTGTGACGGTGTATCGGTTGACTTCGCCTATGGTGAGCGCAGCCGTGTGACAGTAGAGGATGGACATCAAGTCGGGGTGCAATATATGCTTTGCAACACACAAGGATGAAGCCACTCATGCAAATCAGATTTTGTTCACGGTTGTCAAGTAGGTTCTTGCTGATCCGTGACCGCCGAGTTCAATGGTCCGATGTCGAGCTTGACGTTGACCGACTCCTTTTTTCAGTTTCTTTGGACCTTTGGACGGCGGGACGTCAGTTGCTGCACCTTAAGCTTCCTTGTCGGCATCCCCGGATATTCGGCCGCTCCGATAAACGAAAAGCTTAGCAGAGAGGCAGAATCGAAAACGGATGATGGATGGTGGAGACAGCTGTAGTAGTCCTCCCTCGTAACACTCGTTTTCCAGTCATAACGTACTCGTGAATGCTGGTTGAATCTTGTCGTGCCCACACGTGCAACGCGTCGTTACATACGTGGTACGCCGGGGCCGGAAATACGCGAGCTCTAGAGTCTGCACAGGCCAGCCCGGTAACAGCAGAGGCGGCAGCGACCCGCAACGTTGAATGCTACATAGAAACACCAGAGCACTTGTATTCTGGACATCAACGACTACAATCGCAGTTGGAGCTCTGACGTATTACGCATATACTCCGGCATTCACCTCCAAAAACAACGTCGCCTCACCCAAAGAATCATCTATCACACGTCCATTTCCGATTCGCACCATGTCGACAGTTCAACGGCTTCCAGGTCGACCAGGGAACTTGACCACCGAGCAGGAAACCAAGCTTAAGGAGCTATGGGCCGAGGCATCCCGTGTCTTCGGTCTGACGACTACCCCTGGACCTTCCTCGTCCGACTCGACTGATACCAAATCCATTGAGAAGAAGAAGAGTGGACGGTTTGGATTACTCTCTCGCAAGTCGACCAACAAATCCACCGATCCCGATAACACCGACGACAAGTTTAATCAAAACAAAGATTATCAAGACGCTATTGCCAACCAGACACCAGATGAGCTGCGGAAGTCCTTTTGGGGGTTAGTCAAGGCGGACCATCCTGATGCTCTCATGCTTCGATTTCTCCGGGCTAGGAAGTGGGATGTTCAGAATGCTTTGATCATGCTTGTTTCTACAATTCACTGGCGTTCCACGGAGATGGATGTTGATGAACTCGTCTTCTCCGGAGAAGAGGGCGCCGCTAAGGCTGCTGACGACGGTACAATCAAGCAGTTACGTATGGGTAAGGCATTCGTTCATGGTACAGATAAGCAGGGCCGACCTATCTGTGTGATTAGAAGTCGCTTGCATCACGCTAAGGACCAAAACGAAGAGTCCATGGAGCGATTCACCATTCTTTTGATGGAGAGTACGCGATTGATGTTGAAGGAGCCCGCAGATACTGCCACAATCATCATGGACCTTAATGGTTTTTCAATGGCTAACATGGATTACACGCCGTTAAAGTTCATCATCAAGTGTTTCGAGGCACATTACCCCGAATCCCTGGGAGTGTGTCTCGTTCATAAGGCGCCATGGGTTGCACAAGGCATCTGGAAGATCGTCAAAGGTTGGCTGGACCCTGTCGTGGCCTCCAAAATCCATTTCACAAATTCACAAGCCGACTTGGAACAATTCATCTCCCCTAACCATATTTACACGGAGCTTGGCGGCACGCAGAAATGGGAATACACCTACATTGAGCCTGTTGCTGGCGAAAATTTCAAGCTTGCGGACAGCACAACGAGGGAGAAGCTCCTTGCCGAGCGCAATGTCATTGAAGCGAAATTTGAGGAGGCGACGAAGAAGTGGGTTGCCGGTGTCGACACAAAACAGGAGAGAGAAGCTTTAGCTGCTGAACTGCAACATCAGTACTGGGCCCTTGACCCCTACGTCAGAGCTCGTACGGTGTACGATAGGTTGGGGCTGTTGCATGAGTAATGACTAGAGAAGGTATGGGCACGGGTTTGTACGGATAAGACACAGCATGAGCATTCTTATTGGGTAGTTCACTTTGAAGAGATATTCTGTGACGAAAATCATAATTCCGTTTATGCATCGTTACACATCTTGCCAGTTCGTCTGTTGGCTTTCTTCACAGTATCTTCCGCTCACGACTCCTCGTAATCGCGGCCCACATCCCCTGCAGTGACCAGGGCGACTGAATTTTGTCGGTAGACGACGTTACAGGGGTAAATCCAGAAATCCAGAAATACGTAACACGTACCGATGCCTCCTCCGAAGGGTTCATCATCCGGGCCCGTAGGGCTCGGTGCCTCAAACGCGACGAGACTGAAGAAAAAGCGGCCGACAGTGCCGAAACTGGTGGGAACGACTACGCATATCCCTCTGGAGATCCCAAGAGAACCCCTGCCGGAGAAGTTCATCGTCCGTCCCGCGCAAACTTCCTCAACCAATTCGCGAACCGTACAAAGGATCGGCATATGCCCGAGCGTTATGAAAGGTCTGGGCGTGGGTGCGGGTGATCTAGTGATTGTTCGGCAGGAAGGAGATGATACCGGACGTGCTGCTGTTGGGACGGCTTGGACTGGGAATGCTTATTCAGAGCCGAGTTTGGTCTACGTACCGGCAGTCCTCAGAGCATGTGGAGGGCTATCTGTAGGCGATGCCGTGACTGTACGGAAGTTCACGGATGACATCTTCGAGGCATCCGAGGTGCTCTTGGATGAGACTACCCCGGACGTCGACCATTCTGCAGATGAAGCACTTCATCTATACCTGACTGAAGCCCTCATTGACCTGAAGCATGTCACGTCAGGGATGAGCATCGAATGCATCTATCGCGGCGTCACGAGATCGTTCATTGTTGACTCGATAGTTGCTGCTGAGCCCGGAGACATGAGCATGAACATGTCGCAGGCGGATATATCCGTCAACATGTCGGCACTTGATTTGGATGATGAGGACCTGACGCCCGCCGGGCCGCACGTTTTCCTGATAACGCGTGCTACCTCCGTTAACGTCGTTTCACATGAATCAGCTGAGGCTGATCTTGAGCCTGTCGGACCGGCGAGAGAGGTACCAGACGTGACGTATGCCAGCATCGGTGGTTTAGGAAAGCAGATTGAGGTACTCAAAGACATGGTTCACCTGCCTCTTTTACAGCCGGAGATCTTCACCCGTTTCGCCATGCGGCCGCCCAGAGGTGTCCTCCTGTACGGCCCTCCTGGAACCGGAAAAACCATGCTTCTGAGAGCCGTCGCTAATGAAACAAAGGCTCATATCATCCGCATCTCTGGACCTAGTATCACGAGCAAGTATCTGGGAGAGTCAGAGCAACGATTACGGGATATCTTCGAGGAAGCCAATCAGAAACAGCCAAGCATCATCTTTATTGATGAAGTCGACGCCCTCGCACCTAAACGACAAGGCGGTGAGAGTGGCGAAGCTGAGGGTAGAGTTGTTGCTACGCTTCTGACGCTCATGGACGGCATGGAGACTAGTGGAAGGGTTGTTGTCGTTGCAGCTACGAATAGGCCCAATGCCATTGACGAAGCTCTGAGGAGACCCGGGCGTTTTGACAAAGAGCTTGAAGTGGGCATTCCGGATGCCAATGCACGATTAGAAATCCTCCATCTGCAAATAAGTGGTATGCCGCATGAACTACAGATTGATGATATCGAAAACCTGGCTTCCCGCACACATGGATACGTCGGTGCAGACCTCGCTGCTTTGACAAGAGACGCCGCAATGAGAGCGATCAAACGTGGATTATCGGAAGGCATTGGGCAAGATCAAATGAGGATCCGCAGAGACGACCTTGAATCCGCTTTGACGACAGTCAGAGCAAGCGCTATGAGGGAGATCTTCCTGGAACCACCCAAAGTACGTTGGTCCGATATCGGCGGTCAAGAGTACGTGAAGCAGAAGTTGAGAGAAGCGGTGGAATGGCCACTCACTCATCCAGATACTTTCAAACGTTTGGGTGTGACGGCTCCTAAGGGCGTGCTTTTGTACGGTCCCCCTGGATGTTCGAAGACACTTACAGCTAAAGCCTTAGCTACGGAGGCTGGACTTAACTTTATGGCCGTGAAGGGTCCGGAGATTTTCAACAAATACGTCGGTGAATCTGAGCGTGCAATCAGAGAGGTATTCCGGAAGGCTAGGGCTGCTAGTCCCAGTATTATCTTCTTTGACGAAATCGATGCTATCGCTTCGAGTCGAGGCGGCAGCGAAGGCTCGAGTGACCGAGTGCTGGCTGCTCTACTCAACGAACTGGATGGTATTGAAGCATTGGTCAATGTTACTATCCTTGCCGCTACTAACCGACCAGACGTCATCGATGCTGCGCTTATGAGGCCGGGTCGTCTGGATCGTATCATCTACGTTGCACCGCCAGATCTGGATGCGCGTAAGCAAATCTTGCAAATCCAAATTTCAAAGATGTCGGTCGCTGGCGACATCTCCATCGAAGAGCTGGCAGACGCCACAGACGGCTGCTCTGGTGCGGAAATCGCGGCCTTGTGCCAGAGAGCTGGTTTGAAGGCTATGGAGGATAACATTGACGCGGAGAGAGTCGAGAAGAGGCATTTTGATGGCGCTGTCAGAAGCTTAGTGAAGAGGATCACGCCGGAGGTACTGAAGCCCTATGAGGATTTTCGAAATGGTATCACTACCGGTGCTAGTTTAGAGATATGATTATGCATTCGAAGCATCGAAGATACCCGCATGACAGAAGCCAGCTGCTAGAAAGATAGATTTGCACAAATTAATCATAGTCCTTGACCCTCTAATACTTTTCAAGCAATGCTCCAGTCCGGTAACTCGTAATAACTTTCAAGCCACATATCGTGAGCTCCCAATCCTTGCGCCGGTAAACACCACACTTGCTCTGGAGGTTTGCTGCGCCATGTAAGCTTCTCGTTGATTGGTTCCGGGTATGGTGCCTTCCACCAGCGTTCAGGCTTCCAGAGATCGCCGTTCCGCATGTTTTCCGGCAACGCGCCCGTCCGCTCGAACCAGCCCGAGAATCTAGACCTTTTGAATCCTTCGTCCGCAATGCTGCTGTCAAGCTCGTAAATGTACGGATCAGATTCCTCGTGTACACCTTTGAGCAGCTCGTAGGTCTGGAGCTCATAAGAAACAGCTACGCGAGGTACCACGGCTATCCTTCCATGTCCCGACTTCCAGAAATCTCGACAAATCAACTCGCATTCGCTGGCTTTGCACTCGCCTACGTCTGAATTACCGGACCTGAACCGTACATTCTTTTCGTCCATCTGGAACGGTTTCGCGGACATGACTGTCACGCCGTTCCAGCACGACATGACCTGCACTGGTCTTCGATCCAACCAACGAAACCGTGATAAAGTTTCATCCGAGAAGAACGTCTCTGGATCGTATGTATCAAACTTCGGTTCTCTCGGGCGATACGCAAGCTCGCCGGTCATGGTATGCAACACCCAGGCATCGTACAGAGCTGGATAGGGATAGCCAAGGTTAACCCAATCGACGGGGCAAACCATGTCTGCACCTTGGACTTCAAACTGAAGCAAAAGCTCCAGAATATCACTGGAACAGTGATAGATATCGTTGTAGAATATCACACGATCGTACTTCTTGTCGGATTCATATAACGGAGCCAGCGCCTCGTTACGGTAGTCCACCAACATATCGATCCGGTTGCGCCCGTTCCAATCAGTCTTCTCTGGCCTTGTCACAATTTTGTTCGATATTCCCCAGTCCTTGAGGGTCTTGGCAAAAGCACGTAGCATTTCAGGGGTTTGGTCATCTGAGCCATTCTCAACAATAGAAACGAAGATTGTAGCACCCGCAGCTACCAACAAACTAATGACATCACCCATCTCCGCCATGACAGTGGGCAGAACTTCCTCGTTGTTGTATGCATTCATGGCCAAGAAATACCGCTTATCCTTCTGGTTCGTCAGTGCCGCGTATCTGGAGGGCGTATCATGTCGGCATTTCGCTAATCTCAAAGGCTTTTCTGGTGCTGTGAATCCTTCCAACATGGTCACGATTGCGACCCTGAAATCGGTTCTGTTTGCCGCCTGGAGATCTGATGCAAGAGCGAAAAATCCCTCTGGCGGATCTGACCCTTCTGGGACGTAAGGCGGCTTCGGACGCGCAGCAGGTTCGATCGCGTAGATCGCTTCATCAATGGTATTGCCAATTTTCGACCCTATTCTTGATCCAATTGCCGCAATCCGCTCACTGTTGCTGTGTGCCGCTGTGTAGTACAAGGTAATAACAAGGACGAATGTGAGGACGAAGGCAGCGCGTAGATGCTTGCCCGCCATGGTGCGAGCAACATCGACGACAGTGAAGCGCAACTCGCCGTTAACGAAGCGATGGATCATGAACGGTAATCTCCAACCCTGGTAAGAAGCATACGTATCGAGCGGTGTTATGTGTCTCCTTGGTGGTTTAGAGAGCACATGCTCGTAGGCCCGCCCGAATAAGGTTGGCATGCAGGACGGAGACATGCCAAGCTCAAGGGTCCACCAGGAGCGCGACGAGGAAATTATGCCCTTGACCTTTGATTACAATAAAATTCGAGACCGGACGGCTGCTTCGATGCTCTTGTCATCGCTTTGCTTTCTATAGTGAGCCTGGCCATAGAGGAGGGAGTGTCCAGGTTGTGTATCTCCCTACTTATGGTTCGCGCATTGTGGTGACCTCTGTCGCGTAACTTGGGCGAGTAAGGTCTCACTGGTGGCCACCGTCGTCAACGGGGCTCTGCGTATGCAGTTGATAGATGCTTGTTGAGGATGACATAGCTTCAACTTGAATACATTTCTCAGGAGCTGGAATGATGCTGAAGTAAAGCTTCTACTACTCAGTTGCAGTATACGGTACGTATGGTCATGAATGCCGCGTGAAGCAGCAAGCGCTGCCCCAACCTTAAGTTTGTGCAGCTGCACGTGAAATTTCTGCGAGCATTCACCTCGTAGAGAGACTGGCAGCCCTAGAATTTCGATCGTGCTTGACACGAGCCCGCCCAGTCCGTTGTCGTCTTGTATTATAAATGCCTGAAAGAGTCAGGGAGATGCTAGTATCCAGGATGATTCTTACATCTTTCTGGTAGCATGCCAGCTACAATTATATTCCCATAACAGGCGTGAGAATTTCACGACCGGCAAAATCAGCCAGTAAAATAACAAATGACACGGATTATGCTGAACAACAATTGGCATTGAGTCTGATCTCTCAGGAATAAAGCGAGATCAATCATGGATTACGCCCGAAGTTTTCAAGGATTGTGCCGGATCTCGTCAAGGATCAAACCCAATCCTTATTAAGGATTAAGCCCGGTGGGTTAACCTCAAATTTGTAATCTATGATTTTCGCGATGATAGTGTAATCTGGGATGAAGCCCGGTACTTGAGAACACCAGTCACCACAAAATGTACGCTTTCGTGTTTCTGTTCAGGAAATTTCTGGCAAAGAAGTGCAGATAGAACCGGGTTTTTCCGCAACTTCGTTTCGTAAAATCAGGCATTATTCACATTTTCATGAAGCTGCATGAGCGCAGGCCCACGCGCTCCATTCATGGTCAAAAATCATGGATTAAAGCCGAATTCCATTAGGCAAGTGCGCAATTCACGTCAGAATCGTGGATTCGTCTGGGATTACACATGGAACACTTACTTCATCGTGGGTGACTATCCTGGCAGAAATCCTAGACAGGATTATTGATAAGCCCAATGGTCATGTCATGGATTACAATCCCAGATACAATCATGGATCACTGCCAAAAAAAAGTCGAAGTAAATAACTTGAGAAAGCTGCAAACATAATTTGTACATGTCTTAAAGATTTGAATGCTTGCTATACACAACCTATTTCATCTATTTCACCTAGGCTTCCTGCTTTGTATAGACATGCTCAACACATATGATGTGATATATGATGTCATACTTTTCAAACATCTGACTTTGATGATCAGTCAGAAGAACAATGCGCGTTTAGGTCTAATCTCACGCGGTTTCTATGACGACAGGCAAGTAAACTTAATCAGATCATTTCTTCACAAGATCTGACTGCCCCTATTCCATGATTCAATCTGGCAAACCCAATGATAAATCCATGTCACGTTTTCGTCTCATGAATATTTTTCCTTGTATATATAATCCATGATCAAAGCACAATTTGATCCCGCGTCCGTATAAAACCATGGTTATCCTTGATACTGTTTCTCATGATTCATGATTCACTTTCTTACAATTCATGTTACTGTTGTGCATAAGCCAGGACAAGATTCCGCAAGATCCACTGCATTGTTCAGATTATAATCCATGCTTCGTTACAGCATAACACATAACTGTGTTGGGCGTAATCCATAATCTGATTCGCTATGATCCGCGCCAACGTTTGGGATAATCTTCGAGATTGCTAAGCAAAGTTTTAGACAATTTACGGGAAGGCGTCTGGTATTTGGCCCGAATGGCGCAGGACCGATTCACTTCGCCGAGCAATCCTCGACATCATCATGGATCGTTATGTCACAGCAGTCAACTGACCTCGGTTGCCCGAAGCACATCACTTCAATTAAAAGCCCCAACAGCATAAAATACGAGACATCAATACCTCACGCATAAAACAGTAGCTTGCATTATGTCACACTTGAAATCTTATAAGACAATAACGACACATATCAACCAACCATGCAATGCGTTCGTGGAAATCATGGATTACAAAACCTCATTTAATCCGATCTTTTTCAGTCGTGGAAAAACCATAATCGTGTTCTTGATAACAGGACGCAAACCACGATTTAAGTCCTCATAATCCATGATCTGATTCTGAATGATGCACAATGAGTTTAGGCTCAATCCAACAGGAAATCTTGGGAAAATGCGGAAGAGTGTGCGGGGACATTCACATCCATATCAGACCAAAGAGCGACATTACCAGGTGAAAAAGGTTTATTAGATTTCTGCCAGAATATTTATCCAAGATGAAGTGTGCATAATCCACGTCGGAATCTCAACCGCTCAGAATAGAATTGGTAGTACCCTGCGCTGGTCAACATCGTGAATTTGAACTCACGAAAATTCCACGCGTAGTCCACGTGCACAATGAGGGATTGGTATGGTCCTTGGCACCACGCCAGCCGGTTTGTAAATTGGATGAACGCACAGAATACACTCCACCCTGTGACTTGGGAAATCATGCATTAAACCCGAATGGATGTGCGCAAGTGCAGAATCATGGAGAAATTCGAGGATTTGACTGGGAATAGTCACATATCATGCTGTTTGTCATGGAACACAATCCAAGCAGAGATCTCTGAAAAAACATGGATCACAATCCCAGACAAGATCATGGATTAAGTCTAGCAATAATGTCAAGGATTACAATCACAGAATGAAATTCAGGATTATTATCAAACTAGAGTTGCAGCAAAATACCTTAGAATATACCCAAAATATCGTTCAGTCTGTAAACCAAGACCAGATAGCAGGTAAATTACAGAATAGCGATCATGTAAATGACAAACTTAGACCTTACCAACCGGGTGCTCGTGAGTTGAGCGCTCCTCTAAAGATCACTCATGTTATATCTTTTTACATCTTACGAAGGGACTTTACGCACGATTGGGAGTTGTGCGGACGTTTTGGAGTCACAGATGTGTAGATGAGCTTCGGATGACGTGGATCTGTTGTAGGAGTTAAGAGAGTGGGACGAGTGGACGCGTGTACAATTGGGTACGGTGAGTCGGCATAGATGCAATGAGAAACCGTTGCGAGGGTAGGGATCCTCAATACCCGATAGTTTCGGACGCTGCAGCGGCTGTCAGACAGCGTGGGGAAGGTGCACGAACAATGCACGAGTTGAACTGTCAGCATACACTCGTAGAGTAGATTCTCATTACGCACACGCAACGTTACCTCTTGATACGCACAGAGCGCCTTTGGAAGTCAGGCTTGGAAGCGAGCGACCTCTTACAGCATTGATGGTGCTGTTTCGTCGGTGTTTAACGAATGAGGACGCAGTGGAATGAACAGAAGATGGCGCAATTCTGCGTTGATAGGGAAGAAGAACTTTCCATGGCCAGACTCGGTGAGGGCAGCCCAAGCGCAAGTCTGGTCACCCCGCAAAGAGCATATTGAAAAGTGAATGCACCACCTGGGGATTGAATGGAGTTTGTTTGTTTCGTCCACAACGCTGAAGATGACGACGCGTACGCGTACGTATATGGTCGACCACCGCATGGCGCTGCTACTTTCGAGCAATTACCACGAGCGTTGGGTGCGTAGGGTTTGGTCAAGGTCCATGCTTGCTTGGAGGCTTGTAAGCAGTATCTCTTTCGGCTAGTACTCTGGCCACAGCTGCGGCGTCTTATGTCCAGTGCAGGTATATCGTACAACAGTCCGTTGTTGTCCTTGACCTGAGACGCTCTGGAGTGGCGGTGTACCTAGTAAACCAGCGTGAATTGTTCAGAAACATACGTTGGGATGGGATAGGGCTACTAGACTGCTAATCGACCCATCTATTTATGATAGCATTGTACATGGTACACTTGACAGAAATCTGTAATCAGTCATAAATTACATGACCCAGTGGTCATGTAATCAGTATGTTTCCATTGTTTACATGTTGATTACATGTTGATTACATGTTGATTACATGCTGATGTCATGTCAAATACATGAGCTGATCGTCCGTAGGGCAGGTATCACATGCAGATTATGTATATGTCAGGTATATATATAGAGGTCCTTTATGAATCATAATTTGGTCTTCATTTTCATCTGTAGTTAAGAGCATAAATCTGAAGTTCCTACATCCCGGGCTCTACGCAACAAGATTGCAGACACAGGATTGCTTTGAATATGTCATGGGAATGCCATGATGATTTTCTCGGGAGTCAGCACTTTGACTCAGGGAAATCTCACGAAATTCCCATTAAAGTTTCGTGATAAATCCCAATATTTAATGCCCACGATTAAATCTCATGAAGCTGTGATGCTCGGTTGAGATAGACCGTAGTTTATAACTTGATACTAAGATGAGAATAGTAATTGCGTGTGTAAAGAGGTATATAGGATATATACTTAGAAATATCCCTACAAAGTCAAAATCATGGACTAAACGCGATTTCTCTTGGGCGCGAGCGTGATCCATATCAACTCGTGGATTCGCCGGGGATTAGACAATGGCCACCGATTGGTCATGGATTAGAATTCCTCATAAAACCGGGCTTTATCCATAACAGATAATTAGGGGTAAAATTTGACCTGGTAATCCATGGTCCTCACATATATATGTTCATAGGGCCATGTTTGCAAGCTAGTCATTCATTCGTAACCTTGATCGGGCTTTTGGAATAAAAATTTTATGGAATACATATACGCTCTATGGGAAACGGTCAATGGATCTACGTCCGGACCTATTCAATACAGGGCGAGAATGGAGATCCATGTGGATGATCAACGGACATTAATACACACATATTACACGTGTTGACAAACCATTTTAGTTTTCCTTACGAATGTCGAAGCCGTGGATTAAACCCAAATCTGCTTAGGCAAGCACGTAAGCCATGTCACCATTGTGGATTCGGCTGAGATTAGTCGCAAAGTACTCAACATTCTATCATGAATTACTATCCACCGAAGATTTTTAGACAAAATCTTACATTGCAATCCTTGATGTTGTCATAGATGAAGCCCGGCAATCATGTCATGGATTACAATCCACTGTTTTTGCATGCAAGTATTTTGCCTGCAGCTGCATATATTTTCAGCTGGCACCTGCCCAAGATACCCTACGAGCCCCCCGAATTCGACTTGTCAATCTAGATTGTGCCCAGAATATCCCACTAACTCGAACAACTCTATTCGTGATACTCGATAATTTTATTCGGGTTTTATAATCGTGTTTAATAGAATTTGGGGATCTCGTAGGGATAGTTGAGGAGCATTCTCGAAAGGCATGATAGCCTCTGACGAAGCTGAGCAACCCGCCTGCTCGTAGAATTTCTGCGAGCATTCACCTCATAGGGAATCTCTAACATTTTGCAGAATATTTTCAAGGAATTTCCGTGACAAAATATGGGATTAGGACCTATTCCACCTGGAAATAAACTCAAACTGTCATGGTGAATAGTCGAACGTTCCCCGAAATCTTGGTTTCATCCCAGATCAAAGTGTTGCAAATTGAATACGGTGATAATCCAGGATTTTCGCAATCAAAGGCTACCGTGGGTGCATGTACAAGGATGATCAACATGCTGTCGGCACTCTGACCACACCAGCACAGCGTATTCCGGGTTTTATGGCCATAGCAGAATGGAGACCGTGAATTTTGCGAAAACCGACAACGTTAGAAGCCGGTTGGCTTTACACGTACGCAACGCGCCTTGTCGCAGTAATATTGTATGACCGTATGGTAACGGTTTAGTGTTCTTTGTTTAAGTACTTACTTCACTAGCATAGCGGATATAACTAAGAAGTCGTCGCAACAGGCACAGCCTCCACGATACCTGCCTCGGTTTGACCGTCATCGCCAGCTTCAGAGTTCCCAGCAGGAACCTCGTTACCTTGTTCTTCCTCTTCACAACCGTCGTATTCTTCCTCCGCTTCATCCTCTGCATTCTCACCTTCCACAAGTTGCTTTCGTTGAGGAATGACCGCCTTGCAAGCTCTGTCCCAATCTTTGAGCTCGATTGCCTTCAACATGATCTCCAGGACCTATTCGGTACACGTTAGTATGCGCAATTTTTCAACCACAAAGCATGGGACGTACCTGGTTGACGGTAAGTACTTTAGATGCTTGCAAACGTCCAATGGGAAGTTTTGCCGTAGGAATTCCTTGCTCCTTAGCCTTGTTGAAGCAAAGGCTCTTGTAGCGGTTACGATCCACGATACCACCAATAATGTAAGATTTGTTCTCGTCAAGTTCGGTGATCGTCGTCTCAGAATCGGCCGTAAGATAAACCAGGTTACCGTCGGCACGCTGTTCCTGTGGAGGAAGCTCATAAGGTTCAGATGTGACCTTGACATCCTTCCAGTTCTTGTGCTGATCTCTGAAGACGGTATGCATACGGTCGCCAAGTCTCTTGTCCACGGATGTCATGGAGAGTCTCACCGGATGTTTGGCTTTCCGATTGTCGGAATAACAGCGAGTGAGTTGAGAGCATAGCGACACAATTTCCTGTTGATCAAGCAGGTTAGCATTTGTACGCTGTTCGTACGAACTCACTCACTAACCTTATCTGTCATCTTGTCGTCAAAACTACAGTCGATAATGATACCAACATTACTCGGCTCTTGCTGGATAAATGGCCTCGGCGTCTTTGCCTTCTTAGCGGGTGGTTCTTCCGCCAGTTCACCGCTCTCAATCAAAGTACGCTTGCGAGCCTTCTCCTCCTTCTTCTGTTGCTTCTTCTGCTTCTGCTGCTCCTTGATCCGTTCCAACTTGATGGCGCGCTTTTGCGCACGCTTGCTGATAGCTGGTGCACCAGTGGATTCATCGTTTGCCGTAGTTTGCTGTTCTGAAGAAGACTCAACGGTTCCGTCGGCAGCTTTCACGGTTTCTCCTGCCACAGATGCCCCAGCTTGAGCATCTGAAGTCATAGCAGTATCGTTTTCGACAGCGGTCTGGTCAACAAACATTTCCTGAATGGCAGGTTCTTGTCCGGCCATTTTAACGAACAGACGTTTATAAAGTGTGTATGCGATGTAACGTCGAAATTCGGGAGTCGACGTGCCTGCTGGCACGTATACCGGAATAGGCATGGCGTTGCCTGACCGTGCTATTGATACGGACCCATTTGAATGTGAATTATCCATTATGTACTCTCAATAAACAAGTATCGAAGCTCCGAACGCCTAACCAAATCCTCCATATATAACATGAATTGTGTTCAGAAGAGCAATCAAGCAGATCTTCTAAGGAAATCCTTATTCTCGATGGTGATACTTTTGGTCTAGTACCACGCGTCAGCATCAACGTCGGCAGATGATACCAAATAGTTCACTTACCATGTTGGCCGTCTTGTAAATTCCAACCAAACGTGAAGCAAGCTCAAACATGTTGTTACGTAGCGAGATAACAATGAACTGCGCATTCTTCGTTCGTTCCTGCCTCAGGAATTAGCAAATATATTCCACCAACGGTAAGGTCATGTCAGATATTACCTTGATGTAATTGGCGACGATAGACACGTTACGAAAATCGAGTGCAGCATCAATCTCGTCCATGACATACAGAGGAGTTGGCTTGAAATGATGCAAAGCAAAGACCAAAGCCAAAGAACTGAGAGTCTTCTCACCACCCGAAAGGTTGGAAATGTTTTTCCAACTCTTTTTTGGGGGCATGACACTGAAGAGAATACCTTCGGAAAATGGGTCCAAACTATCCACCAATTCAAGTTCGGCATTACCGCCCATGGTGATCATTTGGTACATCTCCTTCAAACGGAGAGAGATGATGTTAAACCCTTCCATAAACTCTTCGAGTCGACGCTTTCGCAAGTCGTCATATCGTTTCTTCGCAGTATCACGGGCGCTTGTTGCAGTCTCCAGGTCTTGCCGGCGCGCTTGGTATTCTTCGAGTCTACGACGATACTCATCCAGAACAGCGAAGTCAACCTTCGTGTTTTGGGTCTTCTCTTCGAGAACAGCAATCTCTCCCTTAAGACGGCCCGTCTCAACGTCTTCAAGCTCGTCTTGACTGTAAACAGGCAATTCAGCCACTTGCTGCGTTCCGCTATCTTGGAAGTCCGAGATGTTGTGGAGAGACAATTTTGCAAGACGCTCGGTCCAATGCACAAGTCGCTTTTCGTTTTCAAGGAGTACTTTCTCGTGCTCCTTGAGTTTGTTCTGCATCTCGATTTCCTCCGCCCGAATGGCATTCAGAGCCTCGGTCTTCTGGTCAAAATCAGCCTTCAGTGCCGAAAGTTCTTCAGCTTTGGTTTCCAACAGGTCGCGAGCTTGCGCTGCACGTTGACGGGTTTCACGAGATTGCTCTTGCTGAGAGAGCATCCTTTCTTCGATAGCCTTGAGGTCATTTGCAATGTTATCGAATTCTCGCTCAGAGTTGTCTAGAGCCTTCGTGTGCTTAACAGAGTCCTTGTGTGCTTTGGAGCGAGCCACATCTGCTGCAGTAATGCGCTCGTTCAACGTCTCGATTTGCTCGCGAAGACTGTCGACCTTAGCCTTCTGAGTACGCAGACGAACACCACCCACTTCCATAATCTTGTCTTGCAGAAACTTGATCTCGTCTTCAACACCTGACATCTCAGACCGGATCTGGGCAAGCTCCTTTTCAGACTTGGCTATATCAGACTGAAGCTTGGTCATGCGCTTGACTTCTGAGGCGGACTGCTGAGGCTGAACACCGAGTTCATTCAGACGCGTCTGCGCATCCTCGAGGTTCTTTTGCAAAGATTTCAGCTCCAGGTCGATCTTAGATACGATCACTTCCAATTGCGGGTGGCGCTCTAGAAGTTCCTGCAAGTTTCGCTCATGCTCACCGTGTTCTTTCAAGAACTCTTTCTGCTCAGTTTCAAGTGCATCACAATCCTGTTCTAGCTTGCCAACCTTCTCTCGCGACACCTCGGCAACGAGCTTGCTGCTCATACCACCGCGGGCAACACGAGTGCCACCACCAGTCATTGTTCCGGATTTGTCAATCAATTGACCATCAAGAGTAACAACCCGCCATCTCTGCTTTCCATATGCGATACGGTTCGCCTGCTCGAGATCAGCGGCAACCAGAGTGTTCTGTAGGACACTGTAGAAAGCCGGAGCAAACCTTGGGTCCTTCGGCTTTACGAGGTCGAACAGACGAGGAGCATTCTCAGGCGTTTCAATCGGGTTCATGTTCCTTGCCGAGAGGCGATCCAGCAAGATGAACATGGCACGACCGAGATTGTTCTTGCGTAGGTAATCAATGCACTGCTGACCGACCTCGACAGAATCCACAACCATGTTTTCCAGGGCTGGACATGCGGTGGAGATTGCGACATCGTACTTCGCATCAATTGTGCCGAGGCTTCCAAGGCGGCCGTGGAAACCTTGAACACGGCCTGATTCCTTCAACCGCATAAGACCTGAAAGAACATTTCCTTGAGTCTGAGAAGCAGCTAAAGAGGCCTTGCCTTCGGCAGCACTTTGACGTGCCTTTGAAAGAGCATCCCGGAGTTTGGAACCACGAGCGTCAGCTTCTTCAAGCTTTGCTCGCACACTCGCGATATCTCGAGTTACTGATCGACCTTCTTTTTGCCGAGCGGCAAGTTCCGCTTCTTTGGCTTGACCCTCTTCGATGATACGACCAATTTGCTCGTTCGTCTCCTCGATGGCCCGTTCGGCTTCGGTGCTCTTTTCTTGCAACATGTCAAGTTCTGACTGCATGACCGCAATCGCAGAAACCTTGTCGTTTACACGTGCAGTCCAAGGCTCGAGAGACTTCTGCTTGCGCTCGATTTCATCGGAAAGTCCTTGGGTCTTGCTCTTCAAACTTTGGCGGATGTCTTCCAACTCTTTTTCCTCTTCAAGAAGGTTCTTCTCCAGAACAGCCAGTTGCTTGTTGTGCTTTGCGTTCTCCTCCTCGTAATTCTGTATCCAAGTGGTCGATTCTGAGAGCGAGTGCTTGCTAGTCTGCATGGTTTTGGCGGCCTTCTTTTGTTTTGATTCGGCGTGCTTCAGCTTTTCCTGCAACTGCACCTCTTCCCGATCAAAATGAGCCAATTCTTTGCTGACCTCAGTCGCCTGTTTCTCAATTTTCCCATACTCTTTAGAGGTCTCTGCATGCAGTTTTTCCAACTTCTTGATCTCGTCTTCGTTGCCTTTGTGCGCCGCCTGTTCCGCCTCCAACTCCTTCCGTAGTTCAGTCGTGATTTCCTTTGTGACTTCGATGTTCTGGTTGCATCCGGCGATGTAAACTTGATAGAGTAAAGACTGCTTTGAAACAAGTTCATTCTCGTCGCGAATGTATTCCAAGACTTGATTCTTCTTGTCCTCCAATGCAGCTTTCTCCTTTTCAACAAGGGCAACGCGGTTGGACTTTTCGAGGAATGTCTCGCCAAGGGCCTCGACCTCTTGAGCGGTCTCTTCGATTGGCTTTTTGTATTTGGAAGTGCCGATGATATCTTCCAAGTATTCAAGCAGTCCATCGTCGTGCTCACCCTGAGCTTTGGGCTTCATCTGGGCGATAGACTCGACTTCACCCTGGAGAATTAAGAACCGCTTATGGTCAAGGTCGATGCCTTTTTCGCGCAACAATGCCGTGACTTCCGTGTAGTTGCTGGTTCTTCCGTTCAGGGTGTACCTACTTGAGTTGTTCTTGAAGGCTTCACGCGCGACAATGAGGCGAGAATTGGGGACGACCTCAGTCTTGCCGTCACTGACATCGATGACTTCCTGGAAGTGAACTTCGACTGCGCAGGAGTCGAGGTCCGGGTGCTGGGCAGAGTTGTGAATCAAAGCCGAGATCTTTCCTTGACGCATCTTGCTCGCTCGGAAACCGAAGACGAAAAGGAGGGAATCGATCACGTTGGACTTTCCAGATCCGTTGGGACCAACAACGGAGGAAAAGGAGGTATGGAAAGGTCCGATTTCTTGTCTGCCGGCATATGATTTGAAGTTGTACAGAACGAGGTGCGTGATAACAACACGTCTTCGTGGTCCTTCAGACTCGGTGATTTTGGGTAGAGTTGGTGTAGTCTTTGGAGGAAGAGGCAGAGACGTGTTTAATGGCTTGCTGGTTGAATCTGATGGCTGTTGATTGGGGTCGAGTTTCAAGTTTGCGAGCTTTTCGGCGTTTTCCTTGTGGTCGGTTTCGATATCTTCTTCCTCCTTCACGTGCAGCTGTGTAGCCTCCGCTTCATCCATTTCGATATCCGCATTCATCTGCGTCTCGGCAAGAACGGTTAGAGGCTCTTTCAAAAGAACACTCTTTGTACGCGGTTCACGCGGCTTTGGAGTTGCCGATGAAGCGCGAGCCGAGGATGCTCGAGGTACGCGTTTTGTCGGTGCCTTTGGTGTATCGTCAAAATCCTCATCGTCATTATCATCGGCAACAACGCGCCTTCGCGATATTGTCGATGCTGGTACTACAGGTTCTTCCTCACTCGACTCCTCCGACTCTGAAGAGTCTGCGACCCTCCTTGATGCAGCCTTACGGGCAGTTCTTCGGACAGGCGTAGCGATCTCCTCAGCAGCGGCCGAGGCCGCAGCCGACCGTCTCGAAGTGACCATTCGCTCGGGAGTATATGCGCTCCTTAGCGATTCAGCAGGTGTTGAGAGTTGTCTGGCACCTTAAGCTTCCAAGGTTCCAAGGTTGTATGCGATTTGCTGGCGGTGTTCTCGAAGTGTTTGTTTACATGTAGCGTGATGCAGGATACGAGGCGAAACGGGGAACACACGTGATCTACGCTGGTTGTAACAGATGGAGTAGTAAGAAGTGATTGCGATCCCCACTGCATGCACTCCAGACCTCTTCGCAGCATCCAGTCTTCCCTTACCCCCCACGACGGGGTACACCGCCGCATACCTACCGGTAGTAATCTCATCCGCAGTCGGGAGCGCTGTTGATATTCGCAGGCGGTCGCGATCGAGGAGTGCATGCGCGTACGTGACCAGCTGCGCGCCTGGCTTCTCCCTGCACGCCCACAACACGCCTCGGAAATTCGTACCAGGGGTTACGGTCACCCCATCAACCATTATCCATCTGAGTACCCTACCACCAGTGACCGATTTCACCAACCAGCAGTGATACCCAACCTCTCACTCGTTATTCTCGCCGTCGTCAACTAGGATCATTCTCTTTTTGTCGGCAATTACCCTCTTTATCCGACTCGGCCCTCGTCCTTCTTTTTCGGCATTCTAAGACCCACCCCTGTTTGTATCTCTTACAGACAGCGTTTGGGCCTTCCAGCTACATTATCTCAACTGACTGTCCTTCTGGCCTTCCTGGTTCGATTCTCTACGTTTTCCACCGCATACACCCTACACTCTTTTCGCTGAAGACAAACAACGCACGGCTAGTTCGACTCTGGTAGAAGAACGCAACCGACTTGAACAACGTCTGAATACGTGCATACACGCTCTGAACTTCTCAAGGTTGCTACAATGATGTCGAAAAGATCAACATTACGCGCATTCACCGCAGTGTTTGCCCTTCTTTGGACATTTCAGACCGCTTCAGCACAGTCCACACGCTCCTACAAGGGATGTTACGAAGTCGACAGCAGTCTTTCTTTAAACGATACATATACATACCAATCTTATGGACACTGTCTGGGTCAATGTCAGTCAATGGGCCAGTCTGTATTGGGTATGACCGGAGGCTCGGACTGTTACTGTGGTGATGAGATTCCGGGAACTAAGGTCGATGACTCCTACTGCGATACTTCCTGTGTCGGATATCCCAGTGATACATGTGAGCTTCTTCCAACATGTGCGATTGAGTCGTGATTAACGTTCTTTCCTCTAGGCGGTGGATCCAGCTATTGGAGCGTGTACCTTACCGGCACTGGCTCCAACCCGAGTACTGCATCCGGTTCGTCCTCCTCCTCATCATATACATCTTCTTCCGTTGCTTCGAGAACATCATCTGACTCTTCTTCTCCCAAAGAAAGCTCCGACACCGCATCATCCACTGCGACTTCCACGACATCTACCGGCGCCGATGCCACTCCTTCCGTAGTTTACATTACCACCGGTGGATCGACCGTTACTGCTACACCTACTGCAACCGCGTCTTCGTCAGCAGACAGCGCAAACACCTCTACTACCAGCAGCGGAAAGAGCAGTGGTGGTGGAGGAGGAGTGTCTGCTGGTGCGATCGCAGGAATCGTGGTCGGTGTCGTTTTGGGAAGTTTGCTTCTCGGTCTTGGAGCATTCTTCTTCTGGCGACGAAGACGCAACTCCAGCTTTGAAGACATCTCGAGCGTCGGTCCATCAAGCCCACCACGCGCTGCAGCTATGCCAGATCCGCGATTGGAGCCCGCAATGGTGCAACGACGATTGAGTGAAGGCAGTTTGGCGGACGAGCAGGATTACACGCGCAAGATTCTGCGGGTATGTTCTGCCATCGTATTTAAATCCCAATTTCTCCTGCTAATCTCTGACTCATAGGTGGTGAATGCGTAATGCGCCGTAATCCGGAGTTTTGGGAATAGCGTTGCCGTGACGAGATAAGGTTGGGCCATTTGTTTATTTGTTCATCTGAAGGGTTTGTCGTTGCTTGACGTTGGCAGCTGAGTAGCATGGGCGTCTCTGGTTTCTTTCTTAGGTACTTGACAGGAGGACACATCATCCTATTGTTATCCAAATACTTGCCGTTGCACCTGATCTCCGCGCGCGGCCAACGTCTGGACCACCGGCGTCAACGGCGAACCTTAAACCGGCACCGTATCGATAAGTAAGCCTGGGGCACGTCCAACGACCCCTTCAACATTCGCTCACAATGATCTCTCCTGAAAACGACAAGTCTATCAAGTACCCAGCAAAGGCACACCTCCGGAAGGTTGCGAGCTACCTGCCTGACGCTGCCGGGCATGCTTCAGCCATTGTTTACATGAAAGGAACGCCGGAGCGACTCCGAGCAACCGACGCTGACAGTGTCCTGCCATTCTTTCAGCATTCCAATTTCTTCTACGTGACGGGCATTACTCAGCCTAATCTTGAACTAATCTACCACATCAACACTGGGAAGCTCGCTATCTTCCGACCAGCGAGAAGCGTGAGAGGTGACCATTCTTGTTACACACTTGGGATGTATGCTCATACTTGTTGTGCTAGAAATCGCATTCAATGGCCGTCCGCCCTCTCCGAAGGAAGTGATGGCCCAGTATGAGGTTGATCACGTTTACGAGGCTGATTACTTGCTGGATCATATAAAGGCGCTGAGCCCATCCGTTATCTACACGTTGCCGGATGAGTTGCCGCCCGTGGCACGTAAGGGAGTCATTAATGACAATGCGTCCCTGATCGAGGCACTGCATGTCGCTCGTGTTGTCAAGGACGACTTTGAAGTGCAACAGATCATCGAAGCGTGTAGAATCTCGACGGCGGCTCATCATGCTTGCGGCAGACGGTTGAGGCGGGCGACGAATGAGAGGGAGCTGGAAGCAACTTTCGTGTACGAATGCATTCTGAGAGGCGGGAAGAACCAGGCATATGAGCCTATCGTGAGTCTCGATATCTCCTGACTAGATTGCGCCATTAATACTTTGACAGGTTGCTGGAGGCTCGAACGCGGCCACATTGCATTACATCAGGAATGACGAAGATTTCAAAGGAAAGGATTTGCTTCTCATCGACGCAAGCTGCGAGTTTGATCATTACACGAGCGATGTACGTCCGCGTTCTGCTCAATCAAAGTCCTTACTAACTTGTTCTCAGATCACAAGGACGTATCCAATCTCCGGAAAGTTCTCAGGAGAAGCAAAGACCGTATACGAGATTGTATTGTCTACTCAGAAGGGCTGTATTGATGCGGTAAAGCCGGGCATTACCTTACGCATCCTTAATGATATGGCGGCGAAGTCCATCGGAAAGCAGCTGAAGGGCGTCAGTATAATTAAGGAGGATGCGGATTCGGACACGGTGAGGAAATTGGTATCCAGTTTCATGCCTCACGGTTTGGGTCACCATCTGGGACTGGTAAGAACATATATCACGCGCATTGAACGTATCGCTAATAGTTCGTGAAAGGACGTGCACGATGTTAGTCCCGCGACAACCAAGTTCAAGCAATGTTCGAGGAATCGTCGGCAGATCCCTGCCGACTCTCCGGAATTTCAGGCTCTTGCAGACCTGGTGCTGACTCCCGGGATGTGCTTGACGGTGGAACCTGGTGTGTACTTCAATGACTACCTTTTGGACTTGCTGAAGGAGGATGCCGAGCAAGCGGCTTGGATAAATTGGGAAGTCTTGGAGAAGTACAGGTCGGTGGGAGGGGTACGGATTGAGGATTGCGTTCTGATCACGGAGGACGGCCATGACATTCTGAGCACGGCGGTAAAGGAGGTTAAGGATGTAGAGGCCCTCGTCCAAGGGTGGATGTAGATTCGTATAACTTAACCCCTTTAAAGACGGCGCCTGTTCCTTCGCCTCCACCGTCGTCTGGGGACCGCGCATTCAACGTGGGCTCAAGGCGCGCGCCTACTGACGTCGACATGGAAAGCGTCGATCCGTACCGTTGCAAACAAAATGGACCAGGAGGACCCTGAATCAATACGAGCAGCACACAGAGAAAACCACTACACCAGCAAGGCGGATCATTAGTATTCGACAGATGTCGCAGTCTGTTGACTACTTCGAGTACGCTCCTGCTGCTCTGATCGTGTTGGACAGTCAGCGGATCGTGCGCCAGATCAACGAGAAGGCCCGGGAGCTTCTCGTGCTGACGAACGCTTGTGTCAACAATCCGTACAATGAACTGCACCTTGTGAATGATTACAAGCGATTAGACGAGGTTCTCGACCATGTTACAAAGCTGAAACTCAGCTCGAGCGAAAGTGGGCGCCTGGAAGTGACCGTGGCCGTAGGAAAGAAAGGGTCCGACCTGGTACATTCCGTCGATATATCGGCATATTACGACACAAAAGGTGGAGTTATGTTCACATTCGCAATCGACAACTTCCCTCTGCAGCTCAAACCATTCTTCACCGACAAGCAAGTCGACCTTCTGAGTTCCGAGCCGGTTGCGCAACAGATCAGTCAACCACGCAAAGGGCGGCCGGCGGAGATCGACCAATTCATAACGTCTCTACCGCAACCAACGAATCGGTCTGATGAAGAGGCGACAGAACCACCTGTACCTCCGCCGCCAAACAATACTGCTTCGCATGACGATCGCGAGGCTATGGACGCTCTGTCTGCGGCAGCTGTCGACTCAAATCCGGATGTTCTTCTCGAAATGGTAAACAGCTTACACGTCAGCAAGGTGATCAATTCTTTTCCCGGTATCAACTATGTCTTTTCGCGACTCGGAGTTCCCTTCTACTACTCAGCGAGTTGGTACGAGCTGACCGGTATCGAACCTGGAGACTTGAATCCGCAGACGATCGCAGGCACCCTTCATCCCGACGATGTCGAGCTATGGGCGTATACTTTCATGGATCTCCTGAAAAACCCGACAAAGCGAGTCGCGCACAAGTGCCGAGTCAGGAGCAAGAACGGGACTTACCGGTGGTACATCAACCGTGCCAATCCCGTACTTCGCACACCGCCTAGTCGTCCAGATGGTGAAGCTGAGGTGATTTGGTACAGTGCAAATCTGACCGACATCCATGACCTTGTCGAGGCACAAGAGGAAGCAGCGCAAGCGCAATCCAGACTCAAATCCGTGATTGACTATTCTGGTATGACGTATTACGTCGTTGACCGCAACCTGAACTTGCAGTATTTTGCTGGACCAGAGTCTCACGGAAGCTTCATTCATCTTATCAGGGATGCCCTTGGCGGCGAAGGGCCGTTCCTTGGTCAGTCTCTTGCGATGCCCATAATCGATCCCGTCGCTATTCACTGCATCCGAAGAGTTCTGGAGGGTGAGTCAGAATTCGAGACTCACGACCTGCACCTCAGCGCGGACCGCGACAATCGGGTATGGCGGAGGCATCACCGGCCCATCATGGGCGACGACAAGAAGTCGGTTGTTGCCTGTGTCGGATGCGTTTTCGATGTCACAAACGAGATACGGAAAGACCGAGAGCTTGCAAAGGCCAATGAGGAGAGAGCTCGGCTAGCAGAAGAACAACTTGCGCTGAAAGCCAGTGAAACTGCTGCTCGAGAAAGCTCCCGGATGAAGTCGGAGTTTTTGGCCAACATGAGCCATGAAATTCGAACGCCAATTGCCGCAGTCATTGGCATGACAGAAATGCTCAGCGACTCAAAGCTTGACGAGGAGCAGCAACAGCTATGCGACAATGTACGAACAGCTGCATCATCGCTCCTTTCTGTCATCAACGATATTTTGGACGTCAGCAAGATAGAAGCAGGGAAGCTAGCAATCGAGAACATGGATTTCGATTTATGCGAGATTTTCAACGATATCAAGAAAATCTTCGTGTACCCAGCAGCGAGGAAGGATATTTCCTTTTCTGTGAACTGCCAAACAGGTTCATGTCCGGTTTGGGTACTCGGAGACAAAAACCGTATCGGCCAGATCCTGACAAACTTATTATCCAATGCGCTAAAGGTTAGTTATGACACCGGCGTCGATTCGTTCATGATGCTGACATTTGGATAGTTCACGCCTGCTCAAGGTACCGTGACACTGACCGCGACAAGGCAAGAGCGCCCTGGAGCAATTGCAGTCACATTTGCCGTCACCGATACCGGGATTGGCATGAGTAAAGACACTGTCAAGAAGCTTTTCCAGCCCTTCAGCCAAGCGGACTCGAGCACTGCAAGAAAGTGGGGTGGTAGCGGACTTGGGCTCTCAATCTGCAAGAAGCTTACAGAACTGATGAATGGTACTATCAACGTCACTTCCGAGCCCGGTAAGGGTTCAACAGTCAAGGTCTGCATTCCTTTCGTCAAATCACAACGAGAACCCGGTGAAGAAAATGCGAAGGGTGACGAGCATAGTGGTAAGTTGGCTTCCACGGCGAAGAACTACCAACTCAAGCGTCCACGGGATGATTATGCGATCCTTATCGCCGAGGATAACTTGATCAACCAAAGAATTGCCGTCTCACGATTGAAGAAAATGGGATTTGGCGCCAAATGCGTTGCCGTTGATAACGGTAAGAAAGCGCTTGATGCATTGCGGGCGAGGATTCAAGAGGACGATGGCGAAAGCAAGCCATTTGATCTTTTCTTATGCGATTGCCACATGCCGGAGATGGATGGCTACGAAGCGACGAGCTTATTACGACAAGATGAGAACGAGGCTATTCGAAACGTGCCGGTAATTGCGATGACAGCTTCGGCGATCCGCGGAGATCGTGAGAAGTGTATCGCAGTTGGCATGTCAGATTATGTCAGCAAGCCGGTCAATGTGCGAGAGTTTGAGGAAGTCGTCTTGAAATGGCTTTCGAAGATGGAGGGGGACAAATAAGAGGAACATATATCGGTAGCATACAGGTTGGACTGCATTGGCGTTTACGTTATGGTACTTCGGACTTTGGGATAACACGGCTGTTTTACACACATACAACAGAGCATTTGATTGCACAAATAAGTTTAAGAAACAAACGTATGTCATTCATCACTAAGCTAGTAGTCATTTGAGGAGGAGCAATAGGGAAAGAACTATGAAGATGTCAGCGATCCGATCGAACTCTCGCATAAAGTCCGATTCGCGCCGCCAATGAACAACTGTTGCAGTTGTTGGGTTTCCATAAGACATCCAAGGAAGTATTGGGCCGTCACCGAGCGACTAATTAGGTTCTAGCGTCGCCTACAGAGGAAACTGCGAATGTTTGGTGTGTCTTCATCATCTGGAAACCCTCGTGCCTGGGCACGACATCGAAGCGTCGAATTGGACCGGGCAAGGCTGCTTACCTTAAAAGCAGAAGAGGGTCGAGGATGGCGCTGAAGTTGTTGTGAATGGTGCTGATCCTATCTGAAGTGCGAGTTAGCACACTGTTCAACGTTTCAACAAAACAACAAGCTGAAGAAGGTCGAGAATGCGTCAGACAACAATATACTGGCAAGTATGTTAGACCACATTGAAGTGACCATGTTTGGTGACATCGTAGTCGATCAGTCATGGTAAGAAGTGTTGTTTTAAATTGTCATCACTCGCAGTCGCTCGAAAGCGACAAGAAACCCTTCCAGCATGTAAAAGAACTGTACCAACCTTATCGAAAGAGTCGACCAATGTGGTTTGGCGAATGGGTGGTTTGTTGGCTGATTGGGAGTTGTTGTCGTTCTTATACCTCTGGGACGATGCTAGAAAACTTTGCGCAGAGAATCTCGAGGAACCGCAGCGAAGGTGTGGGAACTGCGATGGAGCCGTAAAACAGAACTCGACACCTGATACATAGACCATCGTGCTCGCAAAGGGAACTGTTTTTGATTAGACTGAAAGACGCAATGGAAACAGCAAACTCGTCGAAAACGCCGATCGGCTATTCACGTCGGTGTCGGTCGCGGCTGCTGCCCCGGGGAGCGCTGCGCTTAAGCACAGAGCCGACCTGTACGTAGAGGGAACTTTATATACTGTTTGATCATCTTGGCGAATAAGAATCTGCTTGCTCGATTCATAGAGAACGACATCGGTTTGCTGCTTCAGGAAGTTCATGTCCCTTGTCGCCTGACAGGATCGGCGTGTATACAACAAACATTCAACAGCCTGCTGCGTCTCGAGTCGTTTCAGCCTGTCCCGACCCAGCGATCGAAAGGCCTCCGATCATTCGTGTTACTGGAAGACAAATTGAGGTGCGTTAAAGACGAGGTCACATTCCGTCGGAATAATCATCATGGCGACGCCTCAGCCAAGTTACCAACTGGGGCAGCCAATTGTACCAGGGGGCCAGCCCATGCCACAGCAGCACGGTATCCCCCCTCATTACTCTGCCGCTGTTCTTCAGTTACAGCAACAGCAACAGCAACAGCAACAGCAACAACAACAACAACAACAACAACAGCAGCAGCAGCAGCAGCATCATCATCAACAGCAACAGCATCAGCAACATGCAGCACAAGCCCAGGCAGGTGTCGTTGCTGCTGGAATCAGCAATCCACAAAGTCAACTTAACATGTACAATCAGTTGATTCGTCAAAGAAATGAGCAGCAGGTTCGGCAACATCAGGAATACATGCAACGACAGCTGCAGCATGCTCAAAATCAAGGTCAGCAAGTGCAGGCTGCGCAGGTGCCGGGGGGTCGTGGCATCCCACCTCCACAGCAACAACAGCAGCAGCCTGGTCAACAAACACATGCTCAAGCACAAGCTCAGCAGGTACAGGCGCAGGCTCAGCAAGCACAGGCTCAAGTTCAAGCCCACACACAAGAACATGTTCGTCAAATGGCTGCCGTTCAAGCCACGGCGGGTATGAGTGGCATGCGAGCACCAAGCCTGGCACCTACGTCGTCCGGTGTTGGTGCCAACTCGGCTGCAATGGTTGGGATTACTACTGCAAACCGGAATAGTGGTGCTGCTATTCTACGGCTCTTGAATTACTGCAATCACCTTTCATCTCCTGGACAAGATCGATCGATAGCTTCCTGGAAGAGGTTCATCTCGGAGTATTATGCAGACAATGGTGTGATGCGCTATACGCTTTTCAACACTCTGCATCGAGAATCTAAACAATTCGAAATATCGACTGCTGTTTTGCCGCGATATTATTGCACGACATACGAGAGTGGAGTCAAACGCATTCAACTTATCCTTGAAGACCCTTCGGAACACTCAACAAACAATAATGGCTATTACGTCGAATGTTCCCGTGCTAGTATAGTGTATTGGTTTGCCACTGGCTGTCAGGTTTGTATTTGTCTCCCTGTTCGAGATATGAATAGCTGCTAAACGTTCCCTAGGTGGTGGCGACGGGTAACCTCCGCGTCTACTTTGGTGCTTACCAAACCGGCATTAAGATCGAAGCATTTGAGTTTCTCACCAATCACCACGAAGAGTTCGTGCCGATGAGACCTCGTCAATCACCCCGCGTACCGGGCGCAAGTCCCAATTCCCCACCGGTGAAGTCAGAAGAAAATGACAGAGACCCTCGCACTACGGTTTCTGCACCAGAAAGCGCCATCAATGAGTTTGGAGTTACTTTGAAGACGATGCGGTGTCTGGAGATTGCCGAAAGTATCTCGCACATGAGCGATCTTATTACCTTTTCTCGGCAGCAAGGCAGTAGTCCCATTCAGGCGCTGAAGCAATATGTCGCACAGCTCCAGGCCTTGCAGAACGGTAATGGTCAGCAACAAGCTCCGCCACAACAGACGATGCCAGCCCTGCCACAGCCGTCACGCATGGGCACGACACCTTCTCCTGCGATGGCTGCAAAGAACTTGCCTCAAGCAAGTCCACAGCAACAAGCCAGTCCCAATGTCATGGGAAGTCCTAGCATCCCACATGCAGCCAAACGGAGAAGAGGTAGCACAGCTGGACAGAGCGGCCTCAGTGGCGCACGTATCCTGGGTGAGGTCGAGGATCTGGACGACGGTTCGGGGCAGGAAGGCAGACCCCCGGCTAAAAAGCCAACTCAGAAGCAAGCAGGTAAAAGGAAGTCTGGTTGAGACGGCTGGATTTGCAATAGGACGTATGGATGAAAATGTTGGTTATGTGGAATGTCATTGGCGTTTGCGTTTTCGGGTCATGTTTGTAACGGCACAAGATTTTAATTATCTTATAATATCTGAAGTGAACCCTACATCCCTTCGTATGATATGTTAGTAACCCAGCTGTCTGTGCTCATGATCAGGGTTGGATAAACCAGTTATGCTCCTTCTCCTTCGCGTTGACATGGGCGCGTTCAGTAATCTCATCCGTACAAGCAAGCCTGATGCGCTCAGGCGTGGCGGGCGAATGTAGTGCAAGAAGACCAGTGTTGCCAGCATCCTTCCTTGCCGACTTGATGGCATCGCGCATTGCGAAGAAAACTGCTGAACCCATGAACAACGGAGGCTCTCCGACTCCCTTGCTTCGCTGGATCGTTCTGAGATTCTTCCACGGAACGCCTTTCAGCATTGAGAGATTGAATGAAACCGGTACATCCCGGAATCCAGGAATCTTATACGCACCAGGACCCTTGGTAAACAGGTTGCCGTTGTGACGCAACCATAGCGATTCTTCCATCGTGAACAGCCCCATACCTTGTACAAACGCCCCTTCAATCTGACCGTAGTCGATCGCCTGATTGATTGTGCGTCCGATGTCCATCTTCACATCAGCACGTTCACACTTCCAATCGCCAGTCAACGTATCAATCTCCACTTCAGCGATGGCAGCACCCTGCGTAAAGTAAAAGAACATAGGCTTGCTGTTCTCGTTTCCCCACTCATAACCAATTGTGGGCGTCTTGTAGAAGCCGTTCGCGGACAAGTTCACACGGTCAAAATACGCTGCTGTCGCAAGTTGTTTCATGGTTGCATCGGGCCCTAACTTTTCCCGGTAAGGCTTCAGACGTTCATTGATTTGGTCACAGGCGTTTTTGATGGCCATGCCGTTCAAGTCGGACGATGCCGAAGCTGCCGTAGACGACGTATTGGCAACCGTGTTAGTTGCAGTCTCGGATATGTGCACGTTCTCGAGAGTAACACCGAGCTCCTCCGCAGCCACCATGCACATTTTGGTGTGCAGACCCTGACCCATCTCCGTACCACCGTGAGCCAGCAGTATACTTCCGTCATGGTAGATATGCACCAAAGCACCGGCCTGGTTCAAGAACAACGCTGTGAAACTAATACCAAACTTGGTAGGAATGAGCGCGAGACCTCTCTTCCTCCATCGATGAGTCTTATTGAATTCATCGACTGCCTTTCGCCTCTCATCATAATCAGCCTCGACCTTAATCTGCTCGTAGATCTGAGGAACATGGAAGTCTTCCAAGACCTGGTTGAAATGCGTCTTTTGACCCTCTTTATAGAAGTTGATTTCCCTCAACTTGTCAACAGACATATTCAACTGATCCGCAATCTCAGACATGTAACTTTCACAGATGAACATCCCTTGCGGTCCACCGAAGCCTCGGAACGCCGTGTTAGAATGGATATTCGTCTTGCAGACCCGTCCTCGCACGTTAACATGAGGGATGTAATACACATTGTCGATATGCGACAATGCACGCTCAACAATTGCACCACTGAGATCCTGCGTCCATCCGCCATTGCAGAACACGTCGGCATCTAACGCGACAAGCTTGCCATCATTATTTACGCCGACTTTCCACCTGGACAAGAACGGATGACGCTGTCCACTCGTAGCCATATCCTCATCACGATCAAGCATGCACCGAACAGGCCTCTTCATCTTCTTCGCAGCGATGGCACAGATACTGCTGAGCTGGACACTTCTCGTCTCCTTACCGCCAAATCCACCTCCCATACGCTTGACTTTGCAGACGACGCGATTCGCCGGGACTCCGGTGACTTTGGCTGCGTATGTTTGCGTCTCAGTCGGGTTCTGCGTGGAAGAATACACATCCATTTCGCCATCCTCCGGTTTCCAAACAGCCATAGCGGCGTTAGTCTCGAGATAGAAATGCTCCTGTCCACCCATTCTCGCTACACCCTCGAAGACATGATCGGCCTTTGCGAACGCGCCATCCATGTCATCTCCATCCCGCTTGATGAACCTATAGTGAGCGAAGAACGAATCTTGCGCAATCGCTTCCTCCATAGTGAAGATCGCCGGAAGCTCCTCGTATTCAACAACCACCGCTCTCGCCGCAGCTTGAGCATGTGCCTTAGTGTCAGCAAGGATGAACCCAATGGGTTGCCCAGCACAAAAGACTTCGTCTACGGCAAAGAAGACTTCATCGCAGCGGGGTGCACCCCACCAGTTCGCTTCTGGTGAAGGCAAGTCGGTATGATCGACATATCCTGCAACACCAGACATGTCCAGCGCAGCATCAGTATCGACACGAACGATTTTGGCATGGGCCTTGGTTGAGAGCACGAGGCATCCATACAGCTCATTCGAGAAGCGAGGCAAGTCGTCAATATACTGCGCTTCTCCCGTAACCTGCTTCAAAGCAGCAACATGGGGAAGGGGTTTACCCACGATAGCATTGTTCCCATCGTTAGGGATCTCCTCGTCCCTCCACCCCGCTGAGATGTTCCTTGTAATCTCTGCATGAGGAAGGTCGTCGTCTTCGGAGGCAGTTCCGGTCATGGTCGTAGTCACCTCCGACCAAAACTTAAAGAAGAAGCTGAATGCAAGACTCTTGCGATAGATGGGCATGCCGCCAGGCACACCAAAAGGCAAATTGAAGTCTTCCTCCAACGACTTCATGGCACCCTCCAACACGTCTTTCTCTCCCCACACCTTCCCCTTCAAGAATGCCATGGTTTTCTTCGAAGCAACCGTGGTGGGTGCCATACCTCCATAACACAAATCAATTTCCTCCACGACATATCCTCCACCGAGACGGACGCGCATACCGGCATTCACAATCGCGATGTCATCATCCTTCCTCTTCGCTTGCTTATAACTTTGCACCCACTCCCCTCCTTTACTCGCTGGGATAACCAACTTGGTGATCACAGCTTCAGGCTCCAACGCTGTACTCCTGTACCCCTTGAAGAAATCACGAATGTAGCACTCGGACGTACCGCCATTAACGGACTCCATAACAACCTTCGAACCCGTCGCCATTAGCACAGGGTTCAAATCCGAGATCGGGGACGCAGTAGCGATATTCCCAGCAGGCGTCGCAACATTCCTGATCTGCCTTCCAGCAAACCCACGCAACGTCTTCAAAAGCGCACGATACGGCGCACTACCCTTCTCTGCAAAGTGCTCACACGCCTCATCAAGCACGCCCTCCAACGAACTGAGCGTGATGTTCGCACCAATGACTAACCCATCCTCCGTAAACTCCACTGTCCGAAGTTCAGGAATATCTCCAGTGTAAACACTCACGGCGAAGTTCACACCCTTGAATTTCGTCTCGATCTGGACTTCGGAGCTACCGCCCACAATCTTCGCGCTTGGACAGATCGCCTTGATTTTCAACAATTCATCAAGGGTCGTGGGCCGGAGCCAGCGCCTGGTAGGGGTACCGAAGGCGAGGGCGGAAGGGGTGAAGCTCTTCAGTTTCGCAGGGAATGCGAGGTCTTTTGAGGGTTCGTATGGAGCGAAGGTGGGAGTTGAGGGAGGTGGCTGTTTAGGGTTGGACGGGGTAGTACGACAGCAGTTGGTCTTGCCGCATGGAGATGGTGCAGTTGTAGGTACCTTCTTTGGCTTGCTCGTAAAGTCGATCTCGCCGTCCAAGAGACCATCTCCATCCACTTCGCCATTCTTGACTGTAGTACTGTCTCCATTACCGTTGCCATTGGCATGGGCATCCTCCTTCTTCTGGTCCCTGCAGCAACCTCCCGCCCTTCCGCACCCAGTAGCAAACGTCTTGCCCGCATCAAGGATCGGCCGATATCCAGTACACCGACATAAATTCCCATCCCAACACTCCTCCACCTCCGCCTCCGTCGGCTCCGGATTCTGCTGTAAGAGTGCGTACAACGACATCACAATCCCTGGCGTACAGAACCCGCACTGGGATCCATGCATTTTCGCAATTCGCTCTTGCACCGGATGAGGTGCGGTACTGTTTCCGATGCCTTCGACCGTGACGACGTGTTTCCCGTCTACGGAGATCAGTGGAGCAATGCATGCATTCACGCTCTTACTGACAACCTTTCCGTCTTCCCAGCTTTGGACCAGGACGGTACATGCTCCACATCCACCTTCGGCACAACCGAGCTTAGTACCGGTGAGTCCAGTGGATCGAATGTACTCAAGGAGGGTGATTGTCGGGTCAGGAACTTCGAGGGAGACGCGTTGGGCGTTAAGGTAAAAGGAGAGTGTTGAAGTGTATGTCGCTGTCAGAGCAGCCAATGCAGCTTGGGTGTCTGCTGTGACCATAGTGGATGTATGCTGGTTGTCATGTTGGTGAAGCAGCACTCTGTCATATGAAGGGTCTGGGCAGCAGCTCGGCTAACGTGTGCTCGATAGGACGACCAGTTGAGTGTATCGGGTGCGGGGGGCCAACAAGGTCACGTGAGATTGAGAATAAACGTCGGGTGAAGCGTACTGCAATTGCAAAAACAAACTTTCCCAACAGATGTCGTTACCCGTTTTCTGGTATCCTCAATTTACGGCGTGTGTGATCACCGGCTAATATGCTTACCGGTACTCAATGCTGCAAAAAGGTTCCCCCGCATACCGGTACTGGAAACAAGGGCATACACAATATCGCTTGGTTTATCAGACAGAAGAGGGCGAGCATGTGGCAGGTGATCTGGCCACAGCGTAATCGGTTGCACGCTCAGAGCGGTTCTGGGCAGTTGGATGCGGGTGGGGTGCTCAGAGTGTACATGTGTCCATGAGGTCGGCAATCTATGTCCCATGCCTGCGACAGATTGCCTTGGATCCAGAATCATTTGGGCTATCAATCACGATTTGAAGAGCAACGACAATCAGGCGTTTTCAGATGGAGCAACATGGACCGAGGCGAGGTTCATCCACGGCCTCCACCGACGCAAAGAGCGCGGCTTCTATCGGCTATAGGACCGCTGTTTGCAATCGACTCCTGCGGTCCCTCCCGCGTAAGTATAGAGAGAGACTGGTCAATTCTAAAAATAAGGTTTGGCGGCAAGTTACATAAGTCTACCCCGGAAAGCGCCGGCGGGTGAGACCCTCTGCCGTTGCTGCACACGGTCACCCGCTGCAGCCAACTCAAATCCCGTAGCCAGCAATCTCTGAGAGGGAGTGAGGGGGAGCATTGTGTATTGTGTATTTCCTTGTTAATTGGCATTGGGTGGAGATCATGATCCAGTCACTTACGGCGAAACCATGTCCGACTGTTGCGAGTCCTTTGGTTTACACGGCCTATGTCCGAGACACGGACGAGTTCAGGCCCGACTGACATGCACCCTCGCGAAATCTTCGAAGTCCAGGTTTCTGACTCGGTCCAGCCGACTCAGCCTTGGCTGCAAATGAGGTCGGGAAGCCTACCGCGGGAATTGCTCGGGTGCGTAACAAGGTCCGTCACATGCTCTCCTCGTTATGGTATATGAGATAGGCCAAATCTATAAAGTCATCCAGTAATCCCTCGATTGTCGGAGCCTCTTAAAAAACCATCATTCCATAGTTTTCATCTTGTTCGACAGCAAAACATCATACCAACATGGGCAAGAACGGGACGAACGCTCCGATACCGCTATCCAGCGAGCTCCACCTTTCAACCAGCGTCACCTACCCGCCCTACCGCAGAGAACGGCCCAAGTCTCAGGGAAACACCACCGAACATATCGTTGCGGAGAAGAGGGCTTCCAAGGCCTGTGACAGGTGTAGGATGAAGAAGGGAAAGGTTGGTACTCGATCGGCCGCTCTTGCAGTGCGCGACTGATCCACGTTTTTTTTTTTTGCAGTGCGATGGAACACAATCAGGTTGCAGCCGTTGTTTGAGGAACAATCAGCTTTGTACGTACAGCGAGCGGGTCGTGATCAAGGAAGAGCGTGAGTATCCAAGAGGGTGTGTACTCCCACACTGTCGATCGAGAACTAAAGCTGACCAGAAGCATAGCTACGTGGAACTGCTCCAAAACCGCATCAAAGTCCTGCAGACCGCCCTCGAAGAACTCCTTCGTCGCCATACCGGTGATCAGTACCGCCGCGCCAACCCTGGTCGCAACGGTGATATCGCCATCAACCAAGCCATCGCCGAACTCGATCTCCTCGGAAGCGTGGGCCAGATCCCTGATCGCGAGGGCGCCATTACACCTGAGATTAGAGTGTTCCAAGACAACGCAGACGAGTCGGGAGGATACGACGAGGAGACGGCTGGTTCCAAGCAGATAACTCCGCCCTCGTCCGTGTGCACCGGAACACCCAGTCCACGTCTGGTGTCATCTGCTCTGATCAGTCCCAATTTGACACACTTGAACGCGGATGAGTACCCCTTCCAGAGCTCCGCAGTCTCTTCACCCTCATACTTCCCGACCTCCGACCCCTTCGCACAATTGAACACCACCAGTCTCCACCAGTCTGTCCCCGTGGGGGTCGTCTCTTATGAAATCAGCCCAAACAACCTCTTCGTTCCGATTCCCTCCTCAAACTACACCACTCACGACTCCACTACCTCCAGAATGATCCGCGACAAGTTTGCCCAGACAAACCTCCACCCTCCTCGCGATGAATTGTTACAACGCCATGACTCTGGGTACGAGTCCGGCGTCAAGGCCGAATCATCTAGTCGTCCGCACTCTCGCACACAGTTCCATACTATGCCGACCCTCGACGTCCCGCAACCGAGGCCACTGAAGATGAAAATGAGGTTGCCGGCATCGGGGTCTTACACCGTGACGTCCGTGAGCCAGATCCCGGAGGAGTACAAACAAGCTTATCAAGCAGCTGTTTCGATGCAGACGGTGCCGTCGACGGAGTACCGCGGGATGAGTGTCTATTCGGAGTATGATGATGGGAGTCTGGGCAACGTGACAGCCATGGGATGGGTGCCGACGTAAAGGGATGGGCGGGTGGATCGATATCGGATGTACGTGGGGAAGATGGAGAAAGCGGCTAAGGAGTTATGGCGCACATTACTGGGTTTCAATCGTTACGTGCCACAATATGAACAATCCTAGGCATGCTCTTATCATATTTTTTGGGTAGTGAATTAACATCCTTGGAGGCGGTTACAGTCCAAAACCGTGGGAGCAACTGTCAGGGCAGGAGACATGACAACGGCAGATAGTTCAGATGATATCTTTTTAAGAAACGACAATGAAAGTAAAACCCAGAAAATCCTAACCGATCAAGCATTAACTCATCACTACGCATCGATCAAATTCGGAGTCTGCGTCGAGTTCTGCGCGGCAGCACTCACAACCTCATCATCCTCATTATCCCTGGTATCCTTGTTCCCCCTCCTAGCAGACTTCCTCTCCCTCTGGTAGAATTCCTCGATCAATTTGGGACTGACACGGTTAAGCATCTCCTTAGGGAAGATACGCAACAAACTCCATGCCAAGTCAAGGGACTCGAAGATCGTACGCGACTCGTAAGGACCCTGGGCAATGAAAGTGTGCTCGAACTTTTCCAAGAACTCAAGAGAGAGCTTGTCCTCTTGTGAGAGAGCGTCCTCTCCGACGACGGCCTTCATGGCTGCTGCGTCACGTCCGATGGCGTACTTGGCGTACAGCTGGTTGGAAACGTCACCGTGGTCCTTGCGGGTGAGACCCTCACCGATGGCGGACTTCATGAGACGGGAAAGGGAGGGAAGGACGTTGATTGGAGGGTAGATCTGACGGTTGTGCAGCTGACGGTCGACGAAGATCTGGCCCTCAGTAATGTAACCAGTCAAATCAGGAATGGGGTGAGTGATATCTGAAGCCATGTTAGCATGTGCTGAAATAGGAGGAGCAGGCGAAAGAGCTCACCATCGTTAGGCATAGTCAAGATAGGAATCTGAGTAATAGATCCGTTCCTTCCCTCAACACGTCCAGCACGCTCGTAGATGGTAGACAAATCAGTGTACATGTAACCAGGGTAACCACGACGTCCAGGCACTTCTTCACGGGCAGCAGACACCTCACGCAAAGCATCTGCGTACGAAGACATGTCGGTAAGAATAGTCAAGACATGCTTCTCGGTCTGGTACGCAAGGTACTCGGCAGTGGTAAGAGCGAGACGAGGAGTGATGATACGCTCGATAGTAGGGTCGTTTGCCAAGTTGAGGAAAAGGGTGACACGATCCAGGGAACCGTTCTCCTGGAAGTCTTGACGGAAGAAACGGGCGGTTTCCATGTTGACACCCATAGCGGCGAAGACGATAGAGAAATTATCCTCGTGGTCGTCGTGAACACCCTTGGAGGTTGGAGACTTGACGAGGCCGGCTTGACGACAGATCTGGGCTGCGATTTCGTTGTGAGGGAGACCAGCAGCGGAGAAGACAGGGATCTTCTGGCCACGGGCGATAGAGTTCATCGTGTCAATCGCCGAGATACCAGTCTGGATCATTTCTTCGGGGTAAATACGGGAGTAGGGGTTGATTGGTGACCCGTTAATGTCGAGGTGATCCTCCGCAAACACCTTCGGCCCCTTATCGATGGCCTGACCGGATCCGTTGAATACACGACCCAACATATCCTCAGACACCGGCAGTCTCATACTCTCTCCAGTGAACTCGACCGTAGTCTTCTTGACATCGACACCCGAAGTACCCTCAAAGACCTGCACGACGGCCTTCTTGCCGCGGACTTCGAGGACCTGACCAACACGCCTGGTGCCGTCAGGAAGAGTAAGGTTAACGATCTCGTTATATCTAGGGTATTTGACATTGTCGAGAATGACGAGAGGACCGGTGATACCGGAGACAGTGTTGTACTTGAGTCTGGGATTGACGCGCTGGTCGTAGTTCTGGGTGACTGCCTTGGCATTGATGGCGAATGCCTCAGCAGCGCTCATTCGTGGGTCGGACATGTTGATTGTAGCTTCTGTCCGGGGTGAATGCTGGATGAATGCTGCTTCGATTGTTCGTCGTCTTTATCGTATGGGTCTCCTCGTTGCGCGCAATCGGCGGTGGTGAGGCTGTGACGTGCATGGATGACGCTCCACAGCCAGAGGCATGATAAGGGGGTTCAGTGGATCATGGTAGCGATGCTATTGCTATGAGTTCTTATGGTTATGATCGCTCCTCATATACAGTTTACTGCAATCTGAGCTTTCCCTCCTTCTTTACTCCCTCCAGCAGTGCACTACTCGTATCACCAGCAGCGACCCTCTCCAATTTCTTCTCCTTCTCAATCTTCTCCAATCTCTTCTCCGTCTTCTTCTTTCCACTTCCCTTTCCGTGGAACTGATGACTGAGATGCTTGAATGCCTCTTTCTCGTTCATATTCCGCCCAAACTCGTCCGTGTAGGTAAGATTCACACTTGGCGTATAATTCTTAAACCGTTCGATCTCGAGACGAGCCTCAGCCGCCTCACGCATCCTGTTCTCCTGCTGACCGTACGCTTCACGCTCACGGGCTGACATCCTGTCAAATTTGCCAGACTTGCGGTCAGCTTCACGCTTCTTCTTAATTTCCAGTTCAGCGACGGCGCGGGCTTTACGTGTTTCCGCGATCCATTCTTCACGTTTTCGCTGTTCTTCGAGGATCCGGGCTGTTTCGTCGTCGGCTCGTGCGACGAGGCCTTTTGATCGGAGCATGTTGAGGGTTGCGCCGAGGCCGGACGCTACTAGTGGTTCCTCTTCCAATCCGGTCATTTCGTTCCGTGTCAGCTGTTCCGACTCGGTCGGCTCTTGCTTAACTTCAATCTCTTCTTCTTTCACGTCGGCCATGTCGACGTCTTCCACGGGCGGCTCGACAGGCTCGTCTATATCCATCCGCTCCCGTCTCTCCTCCTTCACTGGCACCTGCAAGCCACGGACAAACTCACTCGTGTCATCGATAACCAGACCTCCCGTCTCCTCCTCCGCTTCAACAGCAGGCGTCGCCTCCTTAACTTGCTCCGCAATGTCTTCCGGCCGTAGAATCTTCCGCTTCTTCATCGCTAGCCTTCGTTGCCTAGCCAATGACGCCTGAAGATCCTCGTCGTCGATGAAGTTGACATCATCCAGGTTCCTCTTTGGTCGAGCTACGCGCACTGCTGGTGCGTCATCAACCTCCATAGCACTCGGGTCCGCAACTGGCAGCAGCGAGTCCTCATCAGACTTCTGTCGCATATTCTTTGGCCTCTTCTTCTTTCCCTTCCTGATTTTCAACTCCGCGTAATCCGAACCTGCCTCAGTAGGGTTGTCATAGTCCAAACTGACGACCGTCCTCTTCAGCCTCTCCGCGATCACTTGTTGTCTCTGCTCGGGCGTCTCGATCGGTCCAGCCGTTCCATCCAGCACGAAACCACGCTTTTTGGGTCCTTCAAGTTCCTCGTCATACTTTGACAGAATCTTCCTTTCCGCCCCTGGCTCATCCTCAAACTCGGCGTCGTCGTAGCCGACATACGTCTTCTTCTTCTTGTTCTCCAGGTTCTTTTCCACCTTTGCCCGTTCCACCATCGCAATGTTCTCCAACTCATCGCCGTCCTCCTCATCGAGAATTCCCTGATCCTTCAATGTCAAAATTGCGCCCTCTCCAGCCGCAAACTCGTCGACATCATGACCGACTCTGACACCTGCCATGTCCGCCGCCGTATACTCCGTCTGCTGAAACACCTCATCCTGCTTCTCCAACTCCTCCGCTCTCCTCTTCGCCATCTCCAATTCCTTCTTCTTTGACCGTTTGATCCATTTCTTAACATCCATCGCATCCTCCTCCTCTGCATCACCCAACGTCTTCCCCTTCAACTTCTCATACCGCTTCATCCTATCCCTCGCTTTCTCAATCCGGTTCTTTGCTGCACGCGCATCCGCCTCCTTCTGTTCCTCCTCACGAAGCCTTCGTAGATTGGCAACCGCCCTCTCCTCCTCCGTCTGCGTACTTGGCGGCGCATCCGTCCTCACTCCATCCACAGTGGCGGCGGCTCCAGGAATCGGGATAGGCTTTAATCCCAACGAAATACGTATCTTGTTTGTCTCTTCGATGGAGAGGGACTCCGCGGCTGAATCCCTCTCAGGCTGCTCCGGTACCATAGCACTCATACTGCCTTACTCTTCTTCTTCTTGGTGAATGACTTCTCGTACGTCTACGTTACTGCAGGCCTTGAACGCGTCCGCAGCAACTCGCAGCTTCCTGCAAACCACCAAAACACCAAGATGTGACTGTGATATAGTATCATCGACAACGATGAGTTTACCACCAGCTCCTCAGATACTAGACGCGAATCCGAAGTTTGAGGAACTTTACAAACGGTTATGGGAGCGATTGGATCCTGTTAGTGGGGTTGTGGACGATGGGAAGGATGCACGGATCGACGAGGAGCTTGAGGACGCGACGAAGGAGTGGGCAAGGGAAGCTTTGCTGTTGCAATATCTGAAGTCGCTGTCAATGGAGAATGGACTACCCACAGAGGTAAACTGCCTCACGCGGGCCTTATTGACCTCGCTAACATGATGCACAGCTTCGACAATATCTGGACCTGATCATCGGTTTCTCAGAGTTACGACAGACAATCTCACCGGACCTTAATCTTCCCGAACCGGAACTATCTGCGGTAGTTTCGGCACGCCCATCGATATCGAAGTTGCTATCGAAACGGATCAATCATGACTATGCTCTGCTCGTCAGGACACTGTTCCCAGATCCCTCAACATCCCCACGAAAACCCGACCTGCGTGACATCTTTTCGTCCTTCATCGCACGCTCCTCTCATCTAGAATTCGAAACAACAGCCCTTCAACTTGAAGCAATCGCTCTTGCCGAACGCTGTCTTGACCTAACATCCTGGATATCCACAACCCTCATCCGCAATACAGACGACATTCGGCATGGAAGCGCGGATAGAGCGGTAAAGGCATACCAACAGTATCTTGCTGCTGTCGGTGAGGGAATGGAGAAGAAGCTAAGGGTGGTGCATTATGGGACACTACAGGATCTGGTTTCGCCGGTGGTAGTGAGAGCGCTGGAAAACTTCCTGGAACATACGGCGCGACTGAATCGAGATCTGGAACGGAGGAAGGAAGATGCGGAAATTGCGTTCAAAGGATACCAGGCTGCTGGGCCGAAACTGGAGGGAGCGGTCGCGGAATACGCGGAATTACTACGAGAAGAAGAGGCGATCAAGGCGGATATACGACGACTCGATCCGGATGCATTACAAGATCTCTAGCCGTAGCTAGTACCATACCCTCCATACCCAATAACCGACTTTTATTATCCCAACAACCTCATCGTCATCTCCACCGTCAAGAACGTACTCGCACTCGCCGGTCCAGCCCTCATAATCGTCGGCACAATCCCCCTCCAAAACGCACCAACACCACCCTGGGCATACGTCTGCCTAACACAATCTATCACGCCCTTATACTTCGCATCACCCCCAAACCCTTGCATCTTACTCTTGATCACGTCGAGGGGGTATGAGGAAAGCCAGAACATCGCACCGGCGGAGGCACCGCAAAGGCATAGTCTCCAGGCTGGGAGTTGGTCGCGGGTGGTGTTGTTCGAGGAGGCCATGTGTCGGACCAAGAATTCGTATGTCAAGAACCAGAACCCGGAGCCTTGACCTTCGCGGAGGATGGTGGGTACGAGACCGCGGTAAAGGCCTCTCAGCGTTCCTTGCTCCGCACCAATCTTCTTCACACAGTCCAAGGGGCCGTTAAACAATCTCGATGGGGACGAAGGCTGAGTCTGTAGCAAAATCCTGACGCGTTCGAGGGGACCGGCGATGCCGGAATTGGCGATACCGGCCGCGGCACCAGCAACATAAAACTGCCCATACGTCAAATCCTCACTCCTATCCCCCCTCGTCTCCGCGTTTTTCATCGCGAAATTCCTTCGTACTTGATGAAACACGGCGAACTGAACACTAACACACGCACCAATCCCAAGCAATGGCGCAAGCGTACCCTTGTAGAACGCGAGCGGGCCCTCGTTCGCTGCGATCTTCCGTGCGGCGTCGGCGACACCGGTATATTGTGGGTTTGTGGTTGACTGAGTTTGGAGACGGACTTTGATGATATCGAAGGGTTGGCCGACGAGGACTTGAACCATGCCTCCGGCGGTACCGGCCGCTGCATCTTTCACTGATCGAGGCGATTAGTAAGTGCTTTGAGACGGGGAGAAAGTAGGGAAATACGTCTTCGGATGTTCTCGTTTTCTACATGTGTTGCGTCTGCCATTTTCTTGTCAATTGATGGTTGATCTGGGTGATCTTGTTGATCTTGATGGTCCAAACTTTAAATTCGGCGGCGGGAGATGTTGCGCTCGGCTCGCCGCGGTTCGGCTGAGCTGCAGCTGTAGCAGACATGACGTGCTCGAGGAGGACCGTGGAAGATTAGCATTGATAACTGAGTTAACAAGTTAACATTGCTATGACTTAATTTATTCATCGTACTCCACCTGCCCTATGCATCTATACAAAATGTATCATGCACCCTCTCTCTACCCGTACCCCGTCTCCATCTAATTAACCCTCGCCCCCTCAGTCCACTCCAAATACTCCTCATACGTAGCCTTACTCTTCGTGCCCCTATACCTCACAACCTTCAACCTCAACCCTTTCCCAGTCCTTCCCTCTCCATCCCATTGTGCCTCATCATTCCAACTCTCGGGAATGCCGTCCCATCCACCCTTACGTAGGAGATGTTCGAGTGTCTCGGTTTGATCCCACTCCTGCTCGACAGCGACGTCAGGAAGGAATGTAGCGGTACGTTTACGCCCGGCGTAGTAGAATGTGATTCGGATTCCGTGGGTGCCTAGTTCCCAATCGAAGGGGTTGGATGTGGGTTCGAAATCTGTTAGGATGGAGACGCTGTATTCCGCCTGTCAGTCTTTTGCTTTGGCAAATATGGGCAACTAAAAATACCCGCATTCGAGAGTTGGTAGCTCCCGTTTCGTGATAGGCGAGAAGCGGTTATCGTCCAAAGCCCTGTCCGACGCTGTCAGCAAACTCGAAAGAATGAAAACAAGCCTCGGACATACGACGTCAAGGCATATCCATCAATCCCCTGCCTCACCGCAATCCTCTCAAAAGTCCCAATGCACCCCCTCAGTCTCGTACTCCCATTCTTCAACGTGTTGTAGCTCACAAAACTGTCACCAAACACTACCATTAGCCCAGACCTTTGGAAGATTGACAGATGGTGAGTTTGCTGACATACATCCCATCCGTCATGATGTTCTCCCCGGGAAAGGGCAAAGGCTTCCGACGTTCAAAGTGGGCGGAGAGGACGTCGAAGGCGTAGAGGCAGTGTTCTTTCGTTGCCATGATCGGAAGGAATGGCTGGACGTCTCTGCAAGCGAATGGGACTGGATGATGACTGATTGTTGGGTGGTTGACGTATGAGTGAGATTTAAGGTTGAGCCAACGCGCGATTCTGCACGTCCGTCGGACCCCATGGGCAGCGAGCAATGAGCAATTGGAGGGTAGAAGGAAAGAGGTTATAGCATTCTAGCATACAAATCCTCCCGCACTTTCCTCAAGTCCCGCACTCGTCTTCTCATTCCCTCCACCTCCAACCCCGCCAATCCCAAATCCGTCGGTAAGCCTCCATACGCCCTAACCTTCGCCTCCAACAACTCCGTTTCGTCTTTCAACTTTAATATTTCTATTTCTTCGGTCTTCGCTTGCGACAGGAGGGGTAGGGCGTTTGAGCGTTCGAGGAGTGAGCGAAGGTGGTTTGAGCGGGATGTATATTCGGCTGTTTTTGGGCGGAGGGAGGGGAGTGCTGATGACCATTCGCTTATTTTGTCTTCCAGATCCTCAGCTGATGATAACAAGGTGCTGTATGCTATTAGTATTCGATAGGCAGAGATCGAGGAGGGGAGGTACCTGTTCAATTGATCGAGTTGGCGTTGCAGAGATTCTGCTTTTGCGGTGACATCTGAGACGAGGGATTGGGCTTCTGTGTGTGCGCGGTGTAAGGCGAGTTCACGTTGTTGCTGATACATCAGTTCGGCGATGAGGGTGGATATCTCGGTCGTTGGAAGCTTTGCGTGTGCGATGAGTGATGCCATGGCATCCAATGCAGCCCGTCCGTTCGAGTCGACGCAGTTCGGTGGAAACCCAATATCGTCCAGCACTTTTCGTATTCTTGCATCTATGGAGAGGTTCAGCCAGGCTCTGTATACTTCCCTTAGCACATCTCTACCTTCATTACTCAACCACTCCATGCTCTCCCTCTTCTCCTGTCTCAAACTTTGAACTTCCTCCTCCCTCTCCTCACACAACCTCACAACCTCCAACAACCATCTCAACACCTCCTCACTTCGCTCAAACTCAGCAACTCGTCCATTGAATACTCGTGATAAGAACGCATTTACGAGCGTCCAATCCGACGCGTCGCGGGCACTCTTTGCTGCTGCGGACGGCGAGAAGATGACGGAACTGCCAGGACTCGACGAAGGCTGCAAATCTGGCCGATTCGCAAACGAGCGTATTGGACGATGAATGGGAGTCGATGGGTCCATCTCGTTCTGCCGAATGAATGCTGTTTGTTGTTTTATCCAGACAAGGAGGGCCGATAAGAAGGGTATACCTATATCGCGCTCCTGCCGGTGGTGCAGCGTCGTGCATGCCATACAGACGTGGCAGTTCTCGAGACGAAAAACACTCCACCAACGATTTGAACGATCAAGAGACAACATGCTCCTACCACGGCAGCTCCTCCTGTCACTCCTAGCAACCCTAGCACTGGCAGACAAACCAGTCCAGTCCTACCTCGACTCCGCCGGCTCTTTCCTCTCCCACGGCCGTCTCGCGGACGCATTGGAGCAGTACGACCTCGCCATCGCCTCTGACCCATCAAATTACTTGACCATCTTCAAGAGAGGCGCGACAAAGTTGAGCTTGGGTAGGGCGAATGCTGCACTGGCGGATTTCGATGCGGTGGTGGAGATGAAGGGGGATTATGCGCCTGCACGGGTTCAGCGGTCAAAGTTGCTCTTACAGAAGGGGCGGTGGGAGGATGCGACGAGCGATGCAGAGCATGCCAAAGCGAAGGATGTAGTGCAGAGAATCAGGGAAGCAGAGACAGCGGCATTGAATGCGCGGAAAGCGAGCGAGAAGGGTGATTGGGAGGGGTGTGTCGTGAACGCTGGCATAGCAATCGGGTATGCGAGTCAGGATCCGGGATTGAGGATTTTGAGAGCAAAGTGTAGGCTGGAAAAAGGTGATGTGGAGGAGAGTGTGAGTGATCTTACGCATGCGACTGCTTTGGAGCCGAGTGATGCGCGGTCGCACGTACTCATGGCTAACCTCCTCTTCTTCTCGCTCGATGAACCAGCGAGGGCTATTTCACAACTCGGGATGAAGTGTCTGCATTACGACCCTGATCAGAAGGATTGTAAGAAGCTGTGGAGGGGGTTAAAGAAGATGGAAAAGAATGCAGCAAAGGTCCGGAATTTCCTGGATGGACGGGGGTGGAATTCGGCTGTGAAGATCCTTGCTGGTTCGAACGCGGAGGAAGCAGGACTAGTGAAGGAGGTTAGGGAGGCTGTGGAGGGGCTGAGGAAGGATGGGATGTTGAATGAGAGGTGTCCTGTGCGGTATTTGGCGCAGGTTGAGGAGGGGGCGTGTCAAGCATACACTGAGCTCAAGAAGCCGAAGCTTGCTGCGCCGTATTGTGATGCCGCATTGAAGCTGAAACCGGACTCGATCGTAGCGTTATTCGCAAAGGCGGATGCCTTGTTGGCCGAAGAAAGCTTTGATGAGGCGATTGTGATGCTGAACAAGGCGAATGACATTTCTGGCGGTGGAAACAGACAAGTTCTTGAGAAGCTGCAACGAGCGCAGAGATTGCTGAAGCAAAGCAAGAAGAGGGATTACTACAAGATCCTGGGGGTATCTCGTGACGCAACCCAACGAGAAATCAAGTCCGCGTACAGGAAGAAGTCAAAGGAGTTCCACCCCGACAAAGCAGGCGGCTCAGACGCAAAGATGCAGGAAATCAACGCGGCCTGGGAGATCCTCGGTGATGAAGAATTACGAGCAAGATACGACAACGGCGACGACCCGAACGACCCCGAAGGACAGCAAGGCGGCGGTGGCAACGGATTCCCAGGCGGCAACGCCTTCCAAGGATTCCGCCAAGGACCAGGAGGCCAACAACAATATTTCTTCAGGCAGCAGCAACAGCAGCAGGGCGGCGGAATGCCAAACTTTCACTTTAAATTTTAGAAGTACAATTAGGATGGTTGTGGCAAGATGGGAATTGTGAATGTCGATTGTGCTATATCCCGGTACAGTATGCACCCTCCGATCGATTCGCTCCTGATCTGCGCGTAGAGCTGCCTGTGCCGTGCCCGGGGGAACAGTAAACTTCACCACCACCAGCATCCGTCGACGGCAGGGTCTACTGTTTGCGAGGCTCGAGAGGGCCTATATGATGGACAGAGCCCCTCAGTCGGAGCGTGAACAGACTCAGCGTGGGCTTGCGGCTGCTGCTGGTTTGCTTTCTGCGTCGGACTATATCCCGCAACCGGGCAACAGCGACGCCAATGGAAGTGAAAGCGGGCAGAGGAGAAAACCGAATTTGCATTTAACGGAGATGCCGACTGGGTTTGGGAATTTTGGGATGGGGATTGTGGGTGGGGATGCGGTTATAGATGCAGCTGCTGCGGAGATGGCGCTGAGGAGTGTGCAGTGAGTTCCTGCAATCTTGGGAGAGGATCAAAATGCTGATGAAATTGGATAGAAATGGGATGGGATACCAGTCTGTTACGAGCGCTTCAGCAACACCGGTCACGCCCTTCGACTTTGATGCCGCAAGAAGATTATCCGACGAATTATCCATTGCATCGGCAAACTCGTTCATGAATGCCGCTGCGGTCGCCACTGTCGCAAACTCTCCTGCGGTCAACATGAGCGCGAACCCATACATGCCGACAATTTCGTCTGCGTCGAGTCCGATGACTGCGCAGTTTTCCCAGGCGGGAGCGAGTATGGCTGCGGCGAGTCCGTATGCGGATATGTTGCCGTATAGTCCTATCACCATTCTACCGGGGAGTTTGACGCCGATACCGGGTTCGTTGTCGAGTATGTTGCCCTCAATAGGAACGCCTTTACCAAGACAAATGCCCCTTATGTCACCAATGCCGCCGATTATGCCACAGAGTGCAGGACCGGGGCCGTCGGCAATGCAACAAATGACACCCTCGAGTTCGGGGACTGGGTCGAGACGGACCTCTTCGATACCTTCTTCACATCGACCATCGTCAACGTTTGGACCGACGTACCAGAGTGCGTATTCCGCCTCCGGGTTCGACATGATCAACATCCTTGCCCGCGTGGCAAGTCGACCAAACCCCCACATCGACCTCGGCCCCGTCGACTTTAACTGCGCCTTCAACGTCGTCGACGCCCGCACTCACGACTTCCCCGTCGTCTACGCCTCCCCCTCCTTCGAAACCCTAACAGGCTACTCCCTCCGCGAAATCATCGGCCGAAACTGTCGATTCCTCCAATCCCCCACCGGACGCGTAAAATCCGGCACTCGCCGCGAATACACCGATAACGAAGCCATCCGCTATATGAAAGAAAATATGTTGGCGGGGAAGGAATGTCAGGTTACGTTGGTGAATTATCGGAAGGGGGGACAGCCGTTTCTGAATATGGTTACGATTATTCCGATTACGTGGGATTCGGATGCGGTTGCGTATTTTGTGGGATTTCAAACGAGTTTGGAGGAGATTTCAAGTTCGGGGTCGAGATCGGGAGGGATGCAGATGCAGCAGCAGAGGTTAGGGATGGGGTCGGGGGTGTCGTCAAACATGACGCCGGCGCAGTCGCAGCAGATTGTGCCTGTGCCGATTCCGGTGCCGCAACCGGTTGTCGCGAGTCCGATGGGGTACTTTGGGAGTGGGACGCCGCTGGTGGAGAACATGAACGATGGTGAGGATCCTGAGGATGTTCGACGGTTTTGGGATAAGCTCCTTCTCGAGAACTCAGACGACGTCGTACACGTTCTCTCACCCAAGGGTGTCTTCTTGTATGCCTCGCCGTCGTGCAGGTCAGTACTGAAATATGAACCGGAGGATATGGTAGGGAAGAGTATGTCGGATTTCGTTCACCCTTCTGATCTAGCACCCGTGATGAGGGAGTTGAGGGAAAGTGCGGCGAATGCCATTGACGTGATCTACAGAGTTAGACAAGGGGACGGTAACTACATTTGGTTCGAATGTCACGGAAAAGTTCTTATCGAGCGAGAAAAGGGGCGGAAGTACCTCGTCATGGCGGGACGGGAGAGGAGGGTGTACCAGGTTAGCTGGAGATACGCGGGACACGCTGATGGATTCTGGAGTAAGCTGAGTTTTGCGGGGTTGTATTTGTTTGTTACGAAGACCGTTGTGGAGACGCTGGATTTGAAGGGGGAGGAAATGGTTGGTACGACTTTCTATCGACATGTTCCGGAATCTTCGGCACCGGCAATACGAAGAGCGTTGGAGGAAGTTAGGGATCGGAAAAGTGCGACGATTCAGCATACGATGCAACACAGGAAAGGACACTATGTGGATGTTCGAACGACGTTTTTGCCGGGAAACGATAGCGTAAGTGAAGGGGATGGGAATGGGACGCCGGAGTACGTCATTGCACAGACGAGAAAGTTTGATAACAAGAGTCCTGCGCATTCGGAGGATAAGACGAGTCCGTTGGGGATGACGCCTAGTCCGCTTGGTGTTGGAGGGGGTGGTATTGTGGGTGTCATCAACCCGGTCAGCAGCCCGTTGCATACGCCGATGGCGGAGACGCCCATGACGATCGGAAGTACGCCTATGCGTCCGCCTAGTTACTTTGGCCTTCACCGTCCTGGCGGTGATGAGAACGTCTTCGCCGAGTTGGCAACGACACGTACGTCTAATTGGCAGTACGAACTTCACCAACTCCGTGTTACCAATCGCCGTCTGAAGGAAGAGCTTGAAGAAACTCTCAAAGCGCGAAAACGCAAGCGAAGAAAGAACAAGGCGTGGGACGTCAACAAAGTATGTGCGAATTGTCAGAGAAGGGATACGCCAGAGTGGAGACGAGGACCGGATGGGAAGAGGAGTTTGTGTAACCGGTGTGGATTGAAGTATGCCAAGTTGGTCGGGAAGACGGGAAGTAAGGTTTCGAATAAGGATGATGGGCAACGGAGTGCTACACCCATGTCTGTGGTGATGGGTGCTGGAGCGATGAATCCGCCGCCTGTACCCTCGCTGTCCGGCCCGGCAGTCTCACCACCCGCTGGAGCTGCTGTATCAACGCCGCACGAAGAAGTGGACACACCAATGACGATGATGTTATTCAAAGCTGAAACGGCGCAGTGAACTCTGGCAGTTCCTCTCAGTCTGTCTGTCTCTCTTTTACGATAAAGGCGTTGTGGGATCATTGGCGTTTATTTTAAATGGGAAAGTATTTAATGTACACCGATCAATTTTGGGGCATCTGGCGGTATCCCTCCCGTGAGTGGCCTACTGCAGCGCGCGCAGCTCCAAGGGTAAATCACGCGGTACACAGACTGGAGCTCATCGACAGCATACATCCAGGTGGAACATAGCCATGCCGAGCATGAAGGAGAGCCCGCCCTTGAAGGACTTTGAGAGGTTGAGGATCGCTCAGTCGTCTTCTGCTGCGCCTGTTACCCCTTCTACCGCTGCTCCCAAGAAATCGTGCGTTCTCGCTTTTTCTTCCCTTTATTGTTGTTGTACTGACGATGTATGCGATCGACAGAAATACGTACCTGTCAACGTCAGAAGCATCCTCACCTCCATCACGTCAATACCAAGTCACCCTCTACTCCCACCGTGGCGGTCCAAACGGCTGGAAAGTTGCTACAGTCCTCTCGGAACTCGGCATCATCTACCGCACAGTCTGGATTGACTACGCCAAAGGCGAACAACGGAATGAAGAATTCCTGCAGATTTGTCCCAATGGAAGGATTCCTGCTATCATCGATCATGCAAATGATGATTTTGCGGTATGGGAGAGTGGTGCGATTATCTTGTATTTGGTGAATATGTACGACCGCGAGAAGAGATTGTGGAGTGATGACCCCAAGGTTCAATCGCAAATCACGTCGTGGATCATGTTTGAGGTTTCTGGGTTTGGTGTTATGCAGGGTGCGTCTCCTATCGAGGACTTGTGTTGGTGTATGTTGACTGATTTGATGAATAGGACAAGCCTTCTGGTTCTCGTTCTTCCACCCAGAGCGGATTCCGTCCGCCATAAAGCGCTACGTCGACGAGTCACGGCGTGTGTACTCTGTCCTTGAGATGCGCCTGGCCGAACGTCGCGAAGAGCTCCTGGATCTTTCTCTCCATGCCTCGGATGACTCACCGTTGTCCTTGGTAGACCCCGAACTACCAAGCCCTGACGAGCCGGTGTGGTTGGTCGGAAGGACCATGACGGCCGCGGACTTGAGTTTCTTGACATGGGCGAGAGCGTGTGGACGGATTGGGATCGATTTGGAGGCCGAATTCCCCGAAGTCAGGAGGTGGGTCGAGAATATGCTAGCCAGACCCAAGGTCAGTGAGGCATTGCGGCCAATTTAAAGGGCATAATCTCAAAGTGCGGAGGAACATGTGGTCCTTGGGAAAAAACATGAAAGGGATACCCATCGAGGAAAAGAGGAGGAAGGACATGAAGCATGGCAGCATACTGTGTAATCCATGGATACCCGTGAGACTGATTTGGGAGGCATTATTGGCGCTTTATATGGTCTTGGTAAGTTTATTGGTCGATCGCTACTTGCTTGGATAGCTATAGCTGTTTGGAATCATTATACGCATGTATCATTGTGGCTCCATAGCACCGGGGAAGAGCTGGTCTCTCGCTATCGTCCAACCCGTAGAATTGCAATTGCTTCTATTCCCCCAATGGACTCTTCTCATGGGTTCACTGCTCGCCCCGCATTTCCACGCAGCCAACCCCAGAATTCCACACGCGTGCACCGCCAACGACAACCTTCTCCTCGACCACCAACACCCAGCACGCCATCCATACTATAGCAAACACAATGGCTACCCTCTCTCAACCCCAACTTCCAACAGCAGAGTCCGTAAAAATCGTCATGCTCGGCGACGGAGGAGGTGGGACTTCCAACGCCTCAAAAAGGGAGGAAGACAACGAAAGCTAACACCGCGGCCGCATAGTGGGAAAAAGCGCGTTGACAATGAGTCTAATTCGAAGTCGTTTCGTGGATGAGTACGACCCTACAATCGGTACGTCCCTTTTGACGCGTTTTGACACGCATACACCCGAGACACGGCTCGGGACATTTCAAAAGTCGGTCTCGCTAACGTAACACAGAGGACTCGTACTCCACCACACGCACAATTGACGGCCGTAACTACACCCTCGACATCTCCGATACCGCCGGCCAAGAAGAATACCGTGGACTTTGGGCCTCCCAACACCTCAATACCGCCGACGCATTCATCCTAGTCTACGACATCACATCCCACGAATCCCTCGAAGCACTAGACTACTTCGACTCCCTCATCGTCTCTGCATTCGACGTCGAAGGCAGCAAGAAACCGGTCAAGATCGTCGTGGGGAATAAGTGTGATTTGGCAAGTGATAGGCGGGTTACGAGTGAGGAGGGGTTGGGGTGGGCGAGGAGTAGGGGTGCGGGGTTTATGGAGAGTTCGGCGAAGTTGAGGGTCAATGTTGAGGAGACGTTTGCACTGTTGGTGAAGAGGGTTGTTGAGGCAAGGGAGGGAGGTGGGGTACGGGCTTCGCCAAAGGTGAATAGTCCGATTAGGAGTCCGGTTGTTGGGCATGGAGCGGCTGCGAGGGAAGAGGAGAAGGCCGAGGCTGGGTGTTGTGTGATTTGCTGAAGTAACAAAGAGACGAGCGTGGACGAAGGAAGGACGGGATCTGGGATTATTATTTGGCAAATCTGGTAACGGCGCATACTTGCTATTTCTCTCATTTATATATCGAGCACACTTGGGTGCATTTAACTTGCAACTAAAGATTAACGAATCAGTCGGTAGTGGCGGGGCGGCGAGTTCCACCTGCGTGCGCTGACTCGAAAGTCTAAAACGAAACGAAACCGGCCTCGAATAATAATCCCCCATTGATCCACTCAAATAACCAACAAGGATCAACAATGTCCGCACATCTGAGAGCTCGGTTTGACCATGCGAAGAAGGAGGGCAGGCCCGCTTTCGTTACTTTCACTACCGCCGGCCACCCCTCGCCAAACGAGACCGTCGAGATCATGAAGGGTCTCCAGGCTGGTGGTGCGGATGTCATTGAGCTCGGTATTCCATTCACAGATCCCTTGGCCGATGGTGTTGTCATTCAGAAGGCCAATGCGATTGCGCTCAAGCAAGGCATGAACTTGCCCAAGACTCTTGACATTGTTCGCCAGGCGCGTAAGGAGGGTGTGCATGTTCCGGTCATTCTTATGGGTTACTACAACCCTCTGTTGATGTACGGAGAGGAGAGAATTGTCAGGGATGCTAAGGAGGCTGGCGCAAACGGATTCATCGTGGTTGATCTGCCACCAGAGGAGGCCATCAAGTTCCGTGGTTTCTGTACAAAGGACGGATTGTCTTACGTTCCTCTGATTGCCCCTTCAACTTCCGAGAACCGTATCAAGATCCTGGCGCCTATCGCCGATTCTTTCATCTATGTCGTCTCCAAGATGGGTACTACTGGTGCTTCTGGTACCGTCAACGCTGCTCTCCCTGAGTTGTTAGAGCGCATCCGTCAATACTCCAAGGACACCCCCTTGGCTGTCGGTTTCGGTGTTTCCACCCGCGAGCACTTCTTGTCCGTCGGAGCGGTCGCTGATGGTGTCGTTATTGGATCCAAGATTATTCAGGTCATCGAGGAGGCGCCGGAGGGTCAGAGGGGTGAGGTTGTGAGGAAGTATTGTAATGAGATCACCGGTGGACGTATGTCAGACAAGTTGACTAGGGAGGTCGGTATCGTCGAGTCTATCGACAAGTCTATGAACAAGAAGGAGGCACACCCTGATGAGGTTATCCAGGCTCATGAGGGTACGGAGGGTGTGAACGGGCTCGCTGACCAGATGGATGCCCTTGCGCAAGCACAGAACGGTGAGATCAAGGACGACACCCTCATTCCCTCCCGTTTCGGAGAGTTCGGTGGTCAATACGTTCCCGAGGCCTTGGTTGACTGTCTTGCCGAGCTCGAGCAGGAATTTATCAAGGCCAACAACGACCCTGCTTTCTGGGAGGAGTTCCGCTCGTACTACCCCTACATGGGTCGTCCCGGTCACCTCCAGTTCGCTGATCGCCTGACGGAGTACGTCGGTGGTGCCAAGATCTGGTTGAAGCGTGAGGACTTGAACCACACCGGTTCCCACAAGATTAACAACGCTCTCGGTCAGGTTCTCTTGGCCAAGCGTATCGGAAAGAAGGAGGTTATTGCTGAGACTGGTGCTGGTCAGCACGGTGTTGCTACTGCTACCGTTTGTGCCAAGTTCGGCTTGAAGTGTACCGTCTACATGGGTGCTGAGGATGTCCGAAGACAGGCGTTGAACGTCTTCAGGATGAAGTTGTTGGGTGCCAAGGTCGTGGCTGTCGAGTCTGGTACCCAGACTCTCCGTGATGCCGTTAACGAGGCTATGCGTGCTTGGGTCACCAATCTCTCTACCACCCACTACATTCTCGGATCCGCCATCGGTCCTCATCCCTTCCCTACCATCGTCCGTACCTTCCAGTCTGTCATCGGTGAGGAGACCAAGGAGCAGATGCAAAAGCTCCGCGGCAAGCTCCCTGATGCCGTCGTCGCCTGTGTTGGTGGTGGCTCCAACTCCGTCGGTATGTTCTATCCCTTCGCCAACGACACCTCCGTCAAGCTCCTTGGTGTTGAGGCCGGTGGTGATGGTGTTGAGACGCTCCGTCACTCTGCCACTTTGACCGGTGGTAAGAAGGGTGTCCTCCACGGTGTCCGTACATACATTCTGCAGGACGACCAAGGTCAGATCATGGACACGCACTCCGTCTCCGCTGGTCTCGACTACCCCGGTGTCGGCCCCGAACTCGCAAACTGGAAGGACACTAACCGTGCCGAGTTCATCGCCGCCACCGACGCCAACGCCTTCGAGGGTTTCAGGATTCTCTCCCAGACTGAGGGGATTATCCCTGCTCTTGAATCCTCACACGCTGTGTACGGAGCGATTCAGTTGGCGAAGACGATGAAGCCTGATGAGGATATTGTTATTTGTTTGTCGGGACGTGGTGATAAGGATGTGCAGAGTGTTGCGGAGGAGTTGCCGAGGTTAGGTCCTCAGATTGGATGGGATTTGAGGTTTTAAATTTGATTAGAGGACAATGATTTTGGGATTGTATACTAGGAAAGCCTGTCTACCTCCGATCGCAGACCAGCTGTACGGTCCACCTTCATGTATGGGTGTGTACAGCCAAACGCAAAAGTCATGCGAATCACGTGTCGCGCCCCATACCGCACCACCAAGCAGCAAACGTGAACCTAGCAAAAATACAATTACTCCTCAAACAGGACATGTCAGGACCTGATAATGGTCGGTAAGCGTGTTCATGATGAGGTTCGAGTGCTCGTCGTGCAGAACAGCCTCCGCAGACAAACTACTAAGGAGGTAGCAGAATGGACCGGTAAGCACTGAAGCACCATTTACCACATTCTTCGACGCTATGACGACGAGGGTACCCACGAATCGCCCATTCATGAGGGCTTAGGAAGACCTCGAAAGATCAATGTGTTAGCCGAATTTGTGCGGTTGCAGGCAGCCGCTTAGTTCAGGTGTAAAGCAGGGGTATATCTAGGCCGCACGTAGCATTAGGAATCGACACCTCTTACCTACCCATCAAAATCGAGCTTCCACAATGTCCATGTTGGGCAGGTAGGCTTACCCTCCGTCGCAAAAACAGCATACACTTACACCTCTCTCAGCATATCCAGTTACTATTCATGAACAGCCCGAGTCTATACCACGATGAAGCAGCTGATTTCATCAACGAAACGCTCTGTACCGACATCAATCCATGCGACATTCAGCGGTACCTGAAGCAAATCAAGTGATCCCGGAAACAGCTTAAAGTACGGGCTGCTCAGAGAAATGCTACGCTACGAGCAAACCACGCCTTACAGTTCGCGAACTATTCGATGGATATGCTTGTTTTCTTGGACGAATAGAGTATCGACAATCGTTGCACCTTTCGAAAGTTTGAGTATTCTCCCAAGGGTATTCCAGCTTGCGAAGACCGACGGTTAGCCCGTGGTTTGCGCTGGTCTTTGCTTCCCGCGTTCTCGATGAATGGTATGCTGGGTCATTCATGCTACCAGGGCAGTTTCAATGCTGATCAATTCGTCGATTTCATAGCGGATGATCTCTTGGTGCACCTCAACCCTTACCCGTAGTCTAGGAGTGTGGTTGTCATGGATAACTGTGCTACACATCATAATCCAGGGTAAAGGAGTTGATTGTTGGTCATGGGTATCAAATCGGGTACCTAGTGCCCTGTTCACCTGACCTGAATCCCATAGAAATCACATTCTCTATGCTCAAGGCTTGAACGAAGTGCAACCCCGACCATCCTTACGCCGTGGATCATTGCGATGTGTTCTTGGCGGAGGGGATTGACCTTGCTGTCAATGCATTTCCCAACAAATGCGTCAGCTTAATGAAAAAGTACGGATATGGGTTGTCGAAGGAAGAATTGCAGTTATCTCGCAATGCCGGGGCACAAAGCGCTGTAGACATCACCCTTGAAGGCATAACTTGGTAGCTGTAGCATAATATACATCATACTTAGACTCATCATAAGCTTCCCTTGATCCTCGGTCCCTGAACTCTGGGACATCCCGGCGGAGAGTAAGAGGCCTACAATTTGACCAAACATAGACTATATACAATGGGAGTGGTACCGTTCGAAAAAGCATAAAAAAAGAAAGATCCTGACACCCCTCTCTCCTGCTCAACATTCATCCTCTTCACGAACTATGCTGACTAAGCTTGTATGTACGCAAGAATGCTCTCACGCCAATGGGTGACTCGAGCAAAGTTGCACAGCTCTGCGGAAAAGCTTGGAACATAATTACTAAGCAAGCTTGTCAGCATGATACTCTCCGGAGGGGTGCTGGGAGTGCTGGGAGGACATACGTCTGAATCCATAGACTGCAGTTGGGCCTCGAGTCGGCGCTTGGTCTTCTTCTTTGCCTTTCAAAGGGGCAAGCAGCGCTGCGCAGCAAGCATATGTCCTGGTCGGCTACCTGGGATGGTCTGACCGGCAGGCACCCTCTTTAAATCCTCGAGTGCCAATCCATTTTCGCGAAAAGCTTGCTCGGTCTGCGCAGCATTGAACCCGGTGTAACTAGGGTTGTTTTTCGCCACAAAACTCATAAAGCCTGCTACATACTCGGCGTCCTCCATCCGTAATGCTCGAGGGTGGTCCTGGCGCAATGAAGACCGTGGGAATCAGAGTAGTAGCAGGCACATCGGGAGTTGAGGAGATCGCAGGCATAGTTCTCGACGTAGGAGTTGGTGTACTGTAAGTCTCGGAGCTTGCTGCGGCGCGTGCACGATGACTCTGTGAAATTTGCCGAAGGTCGGTGTATGCGGTGGGGTTAACTCATCAACAGCGGTGTCGGGAAGGGCCATGAACTGCCCCCAGCGGCTCAGATGATGTTATGCAAGCTGCATGTGCTTCCCTGAGCCCGGGACCTTCCAGCAGTACCCTTCGTGTTCTTCACATACCCATTTGTCCTGAAGCTTGGTGACATTAAACAAAATAGCAAACTTGAAGGCATAGTTCTCAGAATGTTGCTTCACTTCGTTCAGCAGACGCTTGGAGGGGTTGTTTCTGTGCTTTTTGGGCCTCTTTCGTCCTCCAAGGGTGCGGGCGGGATTATCAAGTTCACCATCTGAAGATCCACTCGAGTCGGGAGGGACATACTTCGCTTGAAGACTGATGGAAACACTCCAGTTCTTGTTCTTACTACTGTAGCGCTCCTGTAGATCGTTCACCTGATCCTTCAAGTCCTCTAAGTCGGCCGCGCTGCGCAGTCTCGCCACCGCATACTTTTCCCTACCTTGAATCAGCCGGTAACCCATGGTCATGGAGAAATCCACAGGTGATATGTTGTCAGGGCAGCTTGGGTCGTCACAAAGATCTTTGGCGGCCTTTTTCATGAGCATGGCGGGGCCGTAGTCATAATCCCATGATGGTAGAATGGTGACCTGCCCTTCCGTCGAGGGCTTACCCCCAGTGCTAATGGTGGCAAATTTGATGACGAATGGTTGCAACTGGAACGCCTCTATGTCATCTGATGGAATGGGAAGCGGTTCTGATTCGTCGCAGGTTGTTGAAGGTTTTCTTTGGTCCTGCAGTCTAGGTGGCGCTGTCGATGGGACTTCAGTTTCGACGATGTGTCGAACGCGTAGACTCGCAGCATGGGAAGAAGCCCTACGTTGCGATGGTTCGACAGCATCCATCAGCAGTCGTTTTCGACTCAATTTGGGCAAGATACGACGTGATTTGTTTTACAGTCTGTCGGTGGTGTGGTGTACGCGTGCGACACGTGATTTGGCTGTACCCTACTTCATGGGATTCGCGCGCACTAGCTGCTGCATCAACCCTAGGCCTGCGCAGCCCCAACCGTGCACTTCATACCAAAAACCTTCTCATCTTCTTGGATTGTGCAGCATACACCGCAGTTCTTTGTGTGATTCATCATGGCTGATCCTGCTGCTATCGCGAGTGTCCTTGCTGCTTTGAGTGCGTCCAGTCGTGACCCGCACACATCCCCAAACTTACACTCTATAGCCGCTCAAGCTGGTCAGCAATCTCAAACTGGTGCACCCTCTAATGCGAATCCTTCCGCTTTGCCTGCTCCTTCTGCCTCTGGTTCTCTTGGTGCATTGCCTGTCGCTTCATCCTCTGGTTCCATTGACCTTGGCTCCATCAAACCGACATCATCTGGCGCTGTGTCTTTGGCCGACGCGATCGCCAAAGCGAAAGCCTTTGCCGCTGATAAGGTTCCTCCTCGCTCTGATAGCCGTGATCGTGATTATGACCGTTACTGTGAGCATTCATCTGACTCTCTGCTATCACTTGCACCAACTGATCCCCTTATAGCCTCTCGTGATGATTATGACCGCCGTGCCCCTCCTCCACGTTACGACGATGATCGCTACCGTAGAGATGACAGGCGCGACCCTCGCGATCACCGTGACCGTGATTACCGTGATCCTCGTGACTATCGTGATCGTGAGCCTCGTGACTTCCGTGATCCCTACGGCCGCGACAGGGATGATTTTGATCACAAACCATATGGAGGCGGACGGTCGCGCTCTATCAGCCCGCCCAGGCGTGGGTCTCCTCCCCGCGGTGATGTGATTACTGACACTATGGCCGTTGAACACCAATACGTTGGTCTCATCATTGGAAAGGGAGGCGAAAGCCTTCGCAGGATTGAATCTGATACGGGAGCGAAAGTTCAGTTTTCTAATGACACTACCGTTGATCCGGGCAGACGTACTGCCACCATTACTGGAAGCCGTGGCCAGTGTGCTGCTGCTAAGGCTGCTATGCAGGCAATCATCGCCGATAACGTTGCTGCCAAGGGAGGTCTTGGCGGACGCGGTGGATCAGGCAATGGTCCTGTTGTATCTGCTCAGAACGCCAGGCCCAGCAATAGCCATGACGACAGCCAGCAACCTCAGAGTATCATGCGCGTCCCTGACAAGTGTGTGGGTCTCATCATCGGCCGCGGTGGTGAATCTATCCGCAACATCCAAGAGCGTTCTGGCATTCGTATCAGTATTGCCCAGGAAGGTAGTGAAGGTCTGCGTCCAGTTACTCTCATTGGTGACGAACAAGGTCAGGAAATTGCGCGTAAGCTCATTAACGAAATCGTCGATGCCGACACCAGCAAAGCGACTGTTGGCGCTCCCGCTGCGCGATCCACTCCCTCTGGTTCCGTGAAGATCAGTCTGCAAGTGCCCTCAGATGCTGTAGGTATGATTATCGGTCGTGGCGGTGAAACTGTCAAAGAATTGCAGGCTGTTACCGGCTGCAAGGTCAACATCTCTGGCCAAGCCCGTGACCCCGAACGTGAAGTCACCTTGTTTGGTTCGCAAGAAGCCGTTGATCGTGCCAAAGCAGCCATTGATGAGAAAATCGAAGCTGCCCGTACGAAGCGGGAATCTGGTGGTTACGATCGTCCCCGCAACGACTACGGCCGTGACAACTACCAATCTAGTAGTGGAGGATACGGGGGTCACGGCAATTATGGGCAGCCTACCGGCGGATATTCACCAGTAACCCAACAGCCCGCCTCTGCTGCTCAGGCACCTGGCGGTGCGGACCCATATGCCGCATACGGTGGTTATGAGAACTACGTCCAACTTTGGGCGCAGTACCAACAGTCGCTTCAGACACAGCAACAACAGAATGGCGGTGTCCCTCCGCAGCAGTGATTCCCGTGATTTCCCTGTTTTCCCGGTTTCTTTGACTTACTTTTTAACATTGCAAGTCATGAGTGATGGTGATATTATACCTCAGAGCTATGGGCAGTTTCGAAAAGACGGCGTGATGGATAGCTCTTTCTTATATGTTACAGTCTGGTCTTTTATACAAACGCCCTTCCGTGTACACGTTCTGCAGTCTCATGTAATTTTGTGCATGTTCCTGTCGTATCGCGCACACCTCGACTCCTCCATCAGCTGTAGCACCTTGAGCAGCAGCTGTGTACGAACATCGAACATCGAACAGCTGGATCCGAAGCGGATCCTATTTGAAGATATCCATGCGTGCTGCTTTTAAGCAGCTCTCGAACGCTGGTCGGTCCCAGTACCGCCTGGTACGTTCTCTACCAGCACAGCGCCTCCTCTACTCTACCCTCTCTCCGACTATCGCTACCTCTGAAGCCTCCCATGAGACCGCGACACTAAAAGAAGAGAATGAACCAGAGAAGCTACAAGCACATAAACCTCCGCCTCCATCCGACGATCCTGCAGACGGTGATGACACGCCCTCGAACGGTAATTCTGCGGACAAGTCTGCTGCGAAAACCTCGCGATCTGGACATTCAGAACGACTTCGCGCAAGACGCGCGGGTTGGTCGTCGGGAAAGCAGGCACATTTCAAACCGATTATCTCGGAAAGGTTCGTCAAGAGCAGTGTCATGCCGCTCGAGCAGATCGTCAAAATAAACGAATTTCCACATGGGCCTCAAGAGGTGAATGGTTCATGTAAGGACTCGGACCTTGACGGACACAAACCTTTCCCAGTATCGATACCTCCATTGACGCATACGCAGGTGACAGCGCACATACGCACGCTTCTGAGGAGTCCGGCGAAGGTCAACTGGAACCGGCATCAACTCCTCTTGCGAGCTATATATGAAGATACAATATATGTCTTGGACGGATATGTGCTGCAACTTGCGAAACATTTCAAGGCGGACGTTATTCAGCTTGACGCACACGATTTTGCGGAGATGATTCAAAGTATAGAGGATCCCGGGGACACCAAACTAACCGAATTTATCAAGTCCAAGTTCGGTGATTTGGGATATGTGATCAAACAAAGATATCGTGACGAAGACCAGCCGGGGATTGAGGAGGAGGAAGATGAAGGAATGGATGAGGAGGACGATTACGAGGAGCTGGCGCGGAAAGATCATCTCCACAAAGAGGACGCGACCGCTCTTCGTATCTTCTCAACACCATTTGTAGCTGCCAGTTCAGGGTCCGCGTCTGTCGCGCAGGCGTTCAGTCTGAACGACAAGCTAACATCAACATTGACTGCGGCTATCGATGCTGTAATCACTAAAAGAGGAAAAGACGCCGACCCAGAACGTCCTGTCTTCATATATCTGCGAGATTATACAATGCTTTCGCTGACGGCGGGCGGTCCTCTGGCCTTTTCTACGCTGAAAGAAGTCATTCGGAAAAAGCGCGCTGCTGGTGGCAAGTACATTCTTATCGCTAGTGAGGCTGGGTATCCCCAAGCGGGGACCGAAGAATTAGAGCCACATCTCGACATTCCCTTCAACCCAATAGACTTATCGACCTTCTCTCGCCTTGATTATTACAGGAAGGCACGAACCCTCGAGATCAATTTGAGAAATCTGCAGGTTGTCGTTGGTTCTTATGGTGCTGGTCTTGGTGAGGCCGCCCCGAAGCTCGTCTTTCCCAAGGATTTTCACATGGATGCGTCGAACTTCATGAATCCCATGTTACACGACTCGCACGGTATTCAGAGGCGAGAACATTGGGAAGAAATTGCGCGTCTCGCCATTGGATCAACAGACAGGACTTTGCTTAACATGGAGGACATCAGCCGTGCCTATGACTTGCGAAATAAAGCTGAAGATGTTGTCACGGGAACAGACCGAGAGATGGTGATTCATAAAAGGGAGAGCCAGAACCTGGATGATGATCGAACAGTCGTTTTATCAGAGGAGGAACAGCGTGAAGTCAGGCGTGAAGCCAAAGAAAAAGGGTGGGATATGGAGGTGGGATTGAAGCAAGCAGCGGAAAAGAAGCTTCTCCAGCGGCTCAGGGCCGATGAGGAACGTCGCAGTCGGACAAAGCACCCGGCCGCGGAGCCCAAGATTGTCAGACCGGCAGACTGCAGCAAGCATGAACTACAGCTCCTGTCCGCAATTGTCGACCCGCACACAATCGACGAGGGCTTCGCCGACATCCGCACTCCTCCATCGACCGTTCATGCGCTGAAGAATAGTATCTCTCTCCGTCTCAACCAACCCGATGCCTTCAAGTATGGTATTCTCGCCAAGAATCAGATCTCTGGTGTGCTTCTTTACGGTCCGCCCGGGACCGGAAAGACACTGCTCGCCAAAGCCGTTGCAAAGGAATGCGGTGCGCGTGTCCTTGATATCAAGGGCAGTGAGATTCAAAGTATGTGGGTCGGTGAAGGTGAGAAGAACATCAAAGCCCTGTTCTCCCTCGCTCGTAAGATTGCCCCGACTGTTATCTTCCTGGATGAAGTTGATGCTCTTTTCGCCGCGCGTTCTGAGAAGGCGCAGCAAAATCATAGGGAGGTAATTAACCAGTTCATGGCCGAATGGGACGGAATCAGGAGTAAGAACCTGGGTGTTATCGTGATGGGTGCCACCAACCGTCCTTTCGACTTGGATGAAGCCATCCTCAGACGTATGCCGAGAAGGATTATGGTTGATCTGCCTACGGAGGAGGATCGATTGGCGATCTTGAAAATCCACTTGAAGGATGAGAAGATCCACGATGAAGTCGACTTGAAGGCGCTGGCGAAACGCACGCTTCGCTACTCTGGCTCGGACCTCAAGAACGTCGTGATCTCTGCTGCACTCACCGCTGTGTCCGAGGCGATGGCGAAGAACCTCCCTGTCACGGAACGTGTGCTGACAAACGCGCACTTCGAGGCCGCATTGAAGGAGGTCAAGAGTTCTGTTCCGGAGGACGCGAGCATCCTTAGCGAACTCAGGAAGTGGCACGCAAAGCTTAACGGCAAGGAAAAGAAGGGTACGTGGGGTTTCGCTGAGAAGGTCGAGTCGAACAAGGAGGATGAAGAACAATTACCGAAGCGCGATCCGGAGGAATTGAAAAAGGAGATAGTGGGAATGGAGGAAGCGGCGAAGGAAGAGGCAAAGAAGAAGGAAGACGCGAAGCCAAAAGGAAAAACGGATGAGGAGCTCTTAGCGGAGTTCTACGAGAAGCAGGAACAGATGGGAAGGGAACCTCGTGTCATATGGGAGCTTGAAGCCAGTCGAGTCGCGGATGAAGAAATTGAGCAGAACCGCGAGTTTTACATGAAGGCTCAAGAGGAAAGGCTCAGTACATGGAAGAGCTCTTGGGAGGCGGCAAAGAAGGCATTCACTGGTGAATCGGGCTCGGAAAAGGCAAAGGAGAATACGAGTGAAGAACCGAAATCTGATAAGCCAGAGAAGGAGTAGAACTCGGGATGGGGAAAACTACAATGGTAAATGCAGTAGGCGAGGACATCTGTTCCTCGCTAGAAACTCTAGCATAATCTAGCCACTCTCCAAAACTTGCTTATCTCTCAATCAATTATTAGCATACCTCTGCAACTCCTCCTCCCTCCTCACGCCCAACCCCATAATAAACTCCCACACCTCCCCATCCGTAAGCGAATTCCCCTCCAACAACGCCGTCTCTCTATCCACCTTTTTCTGCATCACCGCCTTGCTTACAGGCTCCCAAATGCTCCGATAGCGGTCTTCTCTCTCCTTGATCACTGCATCAATTTTGGCGAGGGCAGGGGAGGAGGAGGAGTTGGGAAGTGTAAACCCGAGTTCCCACTCCAGATTATCCCACCCACTCTCCCAGGCCGTCCACGCCCCGCTCTTCCTCCCCACCACCTCATCCGCCCCCAACACCGCCCTCTTAACAACCTCCCCCCGTGCCGGCGCTCCAGCCTTCTTGGACATAGTGGAGAGCGTGACGGCAGTCGTCCACAAATCGCGACGGACGCGTCTACGGACGAAATCTGCGGGGAGGGGTGTGCGTTGGTGGAATTGGGCGGCGAAGGTTCTGGGGTGGGGGATTGTTGCTACCATGAACGGGGATTTCTCGTTCGTGGTGGCGGGGATGTTGGTTGTGTTTGTGAGGGTGATTGAGACGCAGGCCACGCAGTCTGGGTGGAATGGTGGGCACGAGGGGGTGGAGAGCGGGGAGGGAGGACACCGAGAGAGGGCGTAGGCTGTGCGGTAGGCGCTGAGCGAGAGAAATTGAGCGTGTTTGTTTTTCTTGAAGGGGTCAAGGGCCGTGATTCCCGTAGTGTTATGCGCACGTATCCAAGACTCATGCAAATGACTATTAACCACCTCCGGTAATTTCTCGGGTTTGATACCGAGGTTTTCGATGTTGGCGGGGGAGTAATAGGCAATCGAGGGAGGCGGGTCGGCGTGGACTTCGAAGAGACGTTTGGATTGGTCGAGGGCTGAGGCGCCGGGGTTGGTGGGTTTGATGAGGTGGTTTGCGAGTTGGTTTGCGTATTCGGCGGAGGCGTGGATGAAGCCGAGGCCTGTGGATTCGTATGCTTGGAGTTTATCGAATTTGCAGTTATTCAGCTCTTGTAACAATGTTGTGTCCGGCATCGTCAACGGGACGATACGATAGTCGGAGAGAACTCCGCCCGTGCCTTTCTCGGCCCATGCGAGGATGGAGGCGACGTCGGATGGAAGTTTCTTTCCGGGGTACGAAGCCGCGAGCTCGATTGCACGGTGGTCTTTCATTGCATCGTCGGGGCCGAGGACGGCGGGGAGGAATCCTGCGGCCCAGAATGCGCGGCGCCAGGTTAGGAGGAGTTGCTGTTCTGTCGCGAGAGTGGCCGCCCCGTGCTGTGAAGGATCGAAGTAGGTGTAGACTGGACAACGCGTCGGGAGGGACGGGAGGTCGCTTCGTGTGAAGTCTCGGGTCTTTTGTGTTGAGGAGCCGGGGAGGACACCGGAGAGCCATCCTTCCTTGTTGAATCTGTTGGGTAGGGATTGCCAGTCACCATCGAACCGCAGTCTCTTCGGGACAGCGCCATTGACTGTCCAGATGATTATGGCGACGAGCCCGATGAAGAGGAGACTCCATCGACGCATTGCTCTTGGCATTGCGACCATTTTTCTCGAAGACGGTTGAAATAATTATAAGGTTTTCTCCCGGCGTCGCGTTTGGGATGGACGCGGGGATGCAGGGTGTGTTTCTGTGCTGCGATAAGGGAATCCTGGTTATACAACACCAACCATCCATGAGAATATGACACATAGATTGAAGAGAAAGGCAAAGGATTGTGTCAAAGGAAAAGACTCGGACGCGTCATCGATTCGGAGTGGGAGGACGGCGGGGACGCTGGAGGGGGTGGTGGACGATTGTGGGAGTGTGACGTCAAAGGAGCCGACAGTACCGATCGAAGTTGAGCAGGAGATGGCTGCGGAGAAGGATGCTGTTGCAGAGGAAACTACGAAACTAGAAAGCCCGTCGAAGCCTGCGAGTTGGCTGGGATCATGGCGAGCGAAATCGGCCCTCACGACACAGATACAAGCTGCGGAGGAGCCTGTCATCGAAGTTCGGGGAGGGAATATGGGCGATATGAAAGAGACAGTTGTACAAGGAGAAGCAGGCGTACCAACTGATGGTCATGCTGATGAACCAAGCCAAGCGATCTCGAACCCAGCGAGCGTGCGAAACGAGGAATTGCAGGCGCATCAGGACGACCAGGCGACGCCTGGGGCTGTCGAACCCTCAAGAATTTCTGAACAGAAGCCAGAGGAGAAAGGCACTTGGTTTGGTGCATGGCGGACAAAGCCGACCTCAACAGCACCTGAGGGGCACCGTGAACCTGGTCAGACAGAAACGCTGGAAGATGTCATCGCTGCAGCGCCCTCAAACTCCGGTTCTCAACCCGAGCCCGGATCAGTCGACACAGCGACTGTTGCGCAATGGGAGGGGTATACCGTCCCGCCGCCTGAGACCACAAAGACGACCACGGATATCAATAGCGAGAGCGCCAAACCTGCGAGCTGGTTTGGGACTTGGCGAAGCAGGCCGCATATTCAGGCTCCGGCTGATCATGACATGCCTGCACCTGGCGAGGATGTACTAACTACCGATATTGATCCTGAACCCGCACAAACAGCGCCTGTACCGACACCAGAGTGCTCCGCTCCGTCGGAGACAATAGCTAAGCCGCCGCAGGAAGCTGCTGCAGAACAAAGTTGGGTAACATCCTGGCTCTGGCGTCAACCACGAGCCGACACTACCCACGCCCACGACCTCGAATCCCATGCAACACCAGGAACATGCAGCGGTCCTCCGCAGAATTCATACGCATCGTGGTTCGGGTTGGGCGAATGGTGGGCAACACCAGAAAACTACGACCTATCCGAGAAACAACCCATGTCTCCTTCTGTATCCACTTCCCCGCCGAAACCTGTAGGCGTTCCGGTGACTCCATTGTTGAGGAATTTGCCGGAGACGAGTGGATCGTGGACGCAGTTCTTTAGGGGGTATAGGCCGCGGGAGGGGACTGCGACGAGGGTTGATGAGGAGGGGAATGAGGTTATGGATATTCCGGTGTTGGATGAATACGGGAACCCTACGTCGCCTCCTCCGCCGCTGACGGTGATGACGCCGGTGAAAGACACGAGTTCGAGGTCCCGAGCACCGAGTGCACCGGTTACCCCGCGAATCGCATCACCCATGCCATCGACCGCTCAGGTAGCTCAGAAAAAACCGTCCCCGCCGATGGCAGAGGTACGGAGTCGGGCATCGAGTACCGCGAGCCAGAAACCACCCCCGCTCACCGTACCAGCACCCCCAAACCACGTATTACCAGAGTTCGACGTGTGTTTCCCTCCCCCGAAACCTTCGCGAGGATTACGGCGGCAAATATCGAGTATGCTTCACGGTCACGGCGGGGCTGGGAGCACAGGAAGACCAGTACGATGCGCACTACCGACTGGGATGAAGAGGGCGGTGTGTATTGGCGTGCACGGATACTTTCCTCACCCCGCCGTCCGAAGTGTGCTCGGTCAACCGACGGGTACATCCGTGAAATTCGCCACGATGGCCGCTGAAGCTGTCAAACGCTGGTTTGACACAAACAATCCCGGAACAGAGCTCCAAATCGAGAAAATCGCACTAGAAGGCGAAGGCCTCGTCCACACCCGCCTGGAAACACTCTGGAAACTCTTATTACAGTACGTCGACATCGTCCAAACCGCAGATCTTCTCTTCATCGCTGCACACTCCCAAGGATCTCCCGTGGCGATACAGTTATTAGCGAGACTTGTCGAGGAAGGATACATTCGGGATGGAGCGAGGGTTGGGGTATTGTGTATGGCTGGGATACATATGGGGCCGTTTAGGGAGTTGGGAGAGATGTATCTTACGAAGACTTATAATGCGCTCGAAAGGGGTGCCGCGAGGGAGTTGTATGAGTTTCAGGATACGGGGGGACGGGTGTCGAGGAGGTATCAGGAGGCGTTGAGGGTTGTGTTGGCGAGTGGGGCGAAGATGTGTTTGGTTGGCTCGTTGGATGATCAGTTGGTGCCATTGTAAGAGGGTGTTCGCTCATCTGTGCAGGATGTACGCTGACGTAATTATTTGCTTACAGATATTCCGCCGTTTTCTCACACCTTTCGCATCCATCGATCTACCGAGCAGTCTTTGTCGACGGACAGATATACGCACCATTCCTCGCTCGACTGATTGGCTTCGCGATGCGCATGCGGAATGCGGGTGGGAAGGATCATAGTTTGATTATGGAGATTTCGTCAGCGTTGGCAGGGAGTTTGTTGGGTGGGAAGGGACATAGTAGGTTGTATCACGAGGAAGCGGTCTACGATCTCGCACTCCGATATACGCTCGAAACCACGACTGCGGCACCAGTCGCACCCAAAGTCACGCCATTCCACGCGGAGAAACGAAAGGAAAATCCTTTTGCGTTGCCGTTTGCGATGAGGGGGATTATTGATGATCCAATGGTGAGCAGGGAAGCGAGTTTTAGTGAGGAGGTGGATAAACTCCGAGGAGAGTTTGAGGCGTGGAAGCCGAGTACGAAGCCGTTGAAGGATTTGAAGTACAGGCTTGAGCCCATACAGAGTACGGAGGATCAAGGTTAATGGAGTTTGGCGTTTATTTTATTTTCAGATTCTTACGTTCTCAGCGCGCCGCACCGTACTTGTATCGCCGACCCTCCATCATCGAGGCCGTGGTGCCTGGCAGATCTGAGCACTCTAAAAGTTCGAGGTAAGAATACGCAGCATACGAACCCATACAAATCAAAATGTCGGAGGGAACGGTGTCGCATCTTCCAGCCGGTACGTACCGTTGATCTCATCTGTCGGGGCGATTGCTAACGCGGATCACAGACTACACGCGACCCTCACCACCACGATTGGTCGAGGCCGTGCACTCGTACGAGCTCGATGAGGCTACCAAGATTGCCTTGTTGAAGCTCTCCTCGGGATCAACGCCTTTTACGGTCCTCCTTGCCGCTTTCCTTGTCCTTGCTTTCAGATTTACCGGCGATGAGGACATCAGCATCGGTACTTCCAGCGAGAGCGCCGAGCCGATCACCATCCGCTCCGCCATTGAGGGACAGGAGACTTTCAAGGCTGTTCTTGAGCGGGTGCAGCAACTCGAGAAGGCTGGTGTGACGTCGCCAAATACTACTTCTCCTCCGCTCCGTATTTACAACATGGCCGACACTCCATCGCAAAAGTTCTTGTCGTCGACTGGATTGAACACTGATCTTACTATCTTCGTCACTCTTACTGCCGCACAAGCTTCCCTGAGATCATCCTCGGTTCTTCCTAATGTCAGCTTGCGCGCCGCATACAACTCACTCCTCTTCAGAAATGAGAGGATCACCCTCGCTTGCGAACAGCTCGCCCAGATCGTCCGTACTGCTGCTGAGAACCCCGAAGTCAAGGTCGGCGCAATCTCCATGATCACCCCATCACAACAGGGTGTCCTCCCCGACCCCACCAGAGATCTCAACTGGGGTGAGTTCCGTGGACCCATCCATGAGATCTTCGCTGCCAACGCCAAGGAGCACCCTGAGAGGACCTGTGTTGTCGAAACCGCCGATCCCAGCGTGGAGGGCAGCAAGAAGCGCGTGTTCACCTACCAGCACATTCACGAGGCATCCAATGTCCTTGCGCACCACCTTGTCGCCAAGGGTATCCAGCGCGGTGATGTCGTCATGGTCTACGCTTACCGTGGTGTCGATCTCGTCGTTGCTGTTATGGGTGTCTTGAAGGCCGGTGCTACTTTCTCCGTTATCGACCCTGCTTACCCTCCTGCGCGTCAAAACATCTACCTCAGCGTCGCTCGTCCTCGTGCGCTCGTCGTGCTCGACAAGGCCGGACGTTTGTCGCCTACTGTCCGCAAGTACATCGCCGATGAGCTCGACCTCTTGGCTGAGGTTCCTGCTCTTCAGATTCTCGATAGTGGTAAGCTTGTTGGCGGTGAGGTCGATGGAAAGGATGTTCTCGAGGAGCAACGGAGCTTGAAGGAGCAGGATACCGGCGTCGTTGTCGGTCCTGACAGCACCCCTACCCTCTCCTTCACATCCGGTTCCGAGGGTGTTCCCAAGGGTGTCCGTGGACGTCACTTCTCCTTGACCTACTACTTCCCTTGGATGGCCAAGACCTTCGGCCTCTCTGAGAAGGACCACTTCACCATGCTTTCCGGTATCGCTCACGACCCTATTCAGCGCGATATCTTCACTCCCCTCTTCTTGGGTGCCCAGCTTCTCGTTCCTACTGCTGATGACATCGGTACTCCCGGTCGTCTTGCCGAGTGGATGGCCGAGAACGGCGCTTCCGTTACTCACTTAACTCCTGCTATGGGTCAGCTTCTTTCCGCCCAGGCCACCGCTGAGATCCCATCCCTTCACCACGCCTTCTTCGTTGGTGATGTCCTCACCAAGCGTGACTGTCTCCGTCTGCAGTCCCTTGCCCGTAACGTGTTCATCGTTAACATGTACGGTACCACCGAGACTCAGCGTTCCGTCTCTTACTTCGAGGTTGCTTCCCTCGCCAAGGACCCTCAGTTCTTGCAGACCCAGAAGGACATCATTCCTGCCGGTCAGGGTATGTTGGACGTTCAGCTCCTTGTCGTGAACAGGAACGACCGTACCCAGACCTGTGGTGTCGGTGAGATCGGTGAGATCTACGTTCGTGCTGGTGGTCTTGCCGAGGGTTACTTGCAGTTGCCTGACATGACCGCGGAGAAGTTCTTGAAGAACTGGTTCGTCGAGGAAGGTCACTGGAAGGACTCTGTCCCCTCCGATGCTGTCTGGAAGGACTTCTGGCTCGGTCCTCGTGACCGTATGTACAGGACTGGTGACTTGGGTCGTTACCTCCCCAACGGGAACGTTGAGTGTTCTGGACGTGCCGATAACCAGGTCAAGATCCGTGGTTTCCGTATCGAGCTTGGCGAGATTGACACTCACCTGTCTCAGCACAAGCTTGTTCGTGAGAACGTGACTCTTGTGCGTCGTGACAAGGATGAGGAGCCTACGCTTGTTTCCTACATCGTTCCTCAGACTACTGGCGACGTCGACGGTCTTGTCTCCGATGTTGGAGAGGAGGATGATGAGATGGTTAAGGGATTGAAGAGATACCGTAAGCTTATCCGTGATGTCCGTGAGTACTTGAAGACCAAGTTGCCCAGCTACGCTGTGCCGACCGTCATCGTCCCTCTCAACCGCATGCCCCTCAACCCCAACGGAAAGGTCGACAAGCCTGCCTTGCCCTTCCCCGATACTGCTCAGCTCTCCGCTGCCGCCAAGAAGACCGGCGGTGCCGCTAACGGCGAGAAGTTGACCCCTACCCAGCAGCAGGTGCGCGAAATCTGGCTGTCTGTCCTTCCCCACACTCCTGCCGAACTCAGTACCCACGACAACTTCTTCGATGTCGGTGGCCACTCTATCTTGGCTACCCGCATGATCTTCGAAGTCCGCCGCAAATTCGTCATCGACGTTCCTCTCGGTCTTGTCTTCAAGGAGCCCACGATTGAGGGTCTTGCCCGCGAGGTTGACAAGATCCGCGGCGCTGACCTCAGTGTTGTCGCTTCTCCTGACGGTGGTGCTTCCCAGGCCAACAGCGCCGGCGAGGAGCAACAGACCGAGCCCGAGGTCGACTACGCTGCCGATGCCGATGAGCTCGTCAAGCAGCTCGCTGAGAAGTATGAGACTGCCCCTAAGATTAGCCTCGACAAGACCGTCACTGTACTCGTTACTGGTGCTACTGGTTTCTTGGGTGTCTTCCTTCTCCGTGATCTCTTGGAGCGTTCTAAGGGTAACTTCCGCATCATTGCTCACGTCCGAGCTGGCTCGGCTGAGAAGGGTTTGGAACGTATCCAGAACTCTTGCGAAGCTTACGGTGTTTGGAACCCTGAGTGGAAGTCCAAGATAGAGGTTGTCATCGGTGACTTGGGTGCGCCTAAGCTCGGTTTGAGCGAGGAGAACTGGGAGACCCTCTCCAAGGAGGTCGACGTCGTTGTTCACAACGGTGCTCTCGTCCACTGGGTTTACCCGTACGCCAAGCTTAGGGATGCCAACGTTGTTGGTACTCTCTCTGCTATTGAGCTCTGTGGTGCTGGCAAGCCTAAGGCTATCGGATTCGTATCCTCCACCTCTGTCCTCGACACTGACCACTTCGTTCACTTGTCCGATGCCGTCATGGAGAAGGGCGGTGCCGGTGTTCCCGAATCTGACGACCTTTCTGGCTCTCGCTACGGCTTGGGTACGGGTTACGGTCAGTCCAAGTGGGTCGGTGAGTACCTCGTCCGCGAGGCTGGCCGTCGCGGTTTGGCTGGTAGCGTTATCCGCCCTGGTTACGTTGTTGGAGACTCCAAGACTGGTGTCACCAACACCGATGACTTCATCTTCCGTTTGGTCAAGGGATCTGCTCAGCTTGGTCTTTACCCCGACATCAACAACACTGTCAACATGACTCCTGTTGACCACGTTGCTCGCTGTGTTGTTGCTTGTTCTTTGCACCCACCAGCACCCTTGGCTGTGTGCCACGTTACTGGTCAGCCAAGAACAAGGTTCAACGAGTACCTCAAGACTCTCACCACTTTTGGCTTCAACACCAAGAAAGCTGACTACATCCCATGGCGTATTGCTTTGGAGAAGTACGTCATGGAGGGCAGTGACAACGCATTGTACCCTCTTCTTCATTTCGTTCTCGACAACCTTCCCGCCAACACGAAGGCACCAGAACTTGACGACTCCAACACTCGGGCGTCTTTGAGGGAGGACATCGCATGGACTGGCGAGGATGTCTCTGAAGGAAAGGGTGTCGGAGAGGAGGAAATGGGTGCCTGCTTGGCATACCTCGTCGGTATTGGATTCTTGGAGGTGCCTAAGGGCACTGGTGAGAAGGAGTTGCCGAAGATTGAGATCAAGGGTCTGGACAAGTTGGCCTCTGTTGGTGGCCGTGGAACCAAGGTATAAGGGAGGTAATGTAAGATGAGCATGTCACGATATTCATAGTTAAAGTAGAGTTTGAGATCTAGCAAAAAGTTTATTGCGTTTGGAAGTGTCCTAATCCCTTCGCATGAATCTGGAGATAAAACTCTTTGTCGCTGAAAACCTCGAAACGGGATCTCTAGCCTTCTTTGAAGTGTAGTCACGAACCTTCTCCTTCACGGTCTGTGACTTCTCGTCCTTCTCGTTTATGAGGTCGTCAAGACCGAAATTGAAGTCCAGCATCGGACCAGCCATGGGTGCTTCAATGGATTTTTCACGCGTAATGGACTTGCCATCGTCTATGCTGTCACGCATATCGAGTACGGGAACAACCTTCTCGCTGCTCTCCACAAAGCCACCCCTCTCTTCACTCCCCTTCCTTCCTGCTACTACGAGGCCATAGAACATCGCCGCCAACATCATTGCGGAATAGATGCCTACAAGAACACCAGACACCTTTGCCTCAAAGTTAATGGATTTCTCCCATTTGTCAGCCAGGTCTTCCAACACAGTTGACATCTTGTCAGCAAGCTGATCTGTGGAATCTGTCAATAATGTCTGTGCGGAAGACCCCAGCAGTGACGATGATGATGACTTGGTGGAGTTTGTCGTGCTATTCGTAGCTGTCTTCGAGTTACCGCTGGTCGTGGAGTTACTCGTACTGTTGGTAGAACTCAACGCAAACAGATCCGTCGGCACAGTCGGAAAGGTGACATGAGCATTATCGTGGATCCATGTCAGCGCAGTCTGGATACCCGCAACCTTCACCAGAACGAGGCAGTTAATGACACCCTCGATCGGGTCGTACAATATTGTACCACCGAAAGTGTCGTTGAGGACCGTTGTCAACTCGTCGACGAAGGTGTTCAGGGTGTCATTCATGGCGGTCGTGGATGTCTCCACCCATCCGAAGAGTTTGTCGTTCAAATCTGTCTGGGTTGAGTTGATTTGCGCGTTCGTAGAGTTTGCCCAGGTCTCGGAGCTATTGAGCAACTTCTGCTCTATCAATGTCTGAAACCCATTGATATCTGCGGCGAGTTCAGGCGCACCCTTCCGAATGGCGTCGACAACGGTAGCCTGGAGGGCACAAACAAGGAGTCCAGCAAGCCCAAATGCCAAGAGAAAGAGCATGGGCGGATGTGTGATGTACGACACGAACCACCTTGCCATGTTCTTGTTCTTCTGCGTTGCGAACATGGTCGCGAAATACCCACCAAGCAAAGCCTGGTACGGGTGTGACGCCGTCAAAACCATATCGATAGGGTCCGTCGGCTGATTCATCTGGAGAGCCCTCGCTGCCACAAACGACTCCATTCTCAACTTCCTCCACCCCCAAAACTCGGAGAATGCGGATGGCATGATCATGAGGAGTGACAAAACGAGAATAATGGCGATAATGGTGTTGACCGCTTTCTTCACCGCTTCAGCCAAATTCTCAAAGAAAGAATCAATATCCGAGTTATCGGAACAGAAAGTCAGTGTTTCGGCGGCGGGAACGCTCATGAGTGAGCGGTTGAAGGTGAAGTTCCCGAGTTCGTTGCTTATTAAAGTTTTCAAGGCCTCGAAGGGGATTTTGATGACTTCGTCGGTTTTGTTCTTGACTTCTTCGAGGCTGGGGATGGAGGAGTTAAGTTTTTGGAGCTCGGTGTCGTAGGCGGAGGGGATGGAGAGGTTCTTTAGCTCTGATAACTCGGGGATATCAACGGTCGGTATGTCGACGCTGATGTCGAAGAAATTGAGCGCCGTCTCGATCCTGCTGGCGATACCGTTCAGGTCATCGTTCAGACCATCGACAGTAGAGTCAATCCCACTTTCGATGGTTGCGAGCGTACTGTTCAGCCAATCACCGATATCCTCAGCAGCACTGATAGCCGAACTCAAACTTCCCCCCACCGCCATCTCAAGCAGACAAAAATACGTCCCCTTGTACAAATTCACAATAAACAACAACGTCTCCTCCACCCCCGTAATCATCAACTGCAACCCACTCTCCAACCCCCCAACTGCACTCTCAATCGCACTTGCAGTCAACTCATTCACCCCATCCGCCATGTAATGTGGTAATGAAGCCAAGACAGACGCTCCAGCCTCTACGCCGGAACATGCTGAGAGTGCTTGGGCTTTTGCTACGGCGAGGTCGGAGGAGAGGGATTTGGAGGCGATGTAGAGGCGGACGAAGACAAGAAAGAGGAGGACCGTCCAGCGGTTTAGCCAGGATTGTGATAGGCGGCCCCAGAGACCACTGTAATGCACATGTTAGAGTCGGCATAAGTAGAACAGGGAGGAATACGTACATATATGGTGCTGGTGCGTTCACAGGCGCTGCAGCATTTGGAGAAAATGGAGGAATAGCACCACCGTTGCTCTGAAGGGTGATCGGAACCGAAGGAAAAGCAGAGAGCCTGTATGCAGCTGCCGGCAGCTGCTGTTGTTGCTCCGGAAAAGATGACCAAGGTGAATATACCGCCTGCGGCATTTCAAAAAACAGTGAAGGAAAACGAGGGTGAGGAATGATGTTGTGGAGAAGAGTAATCCTCTGGGACCACGAGGAGATAGGATATCATTCTACAGGTAGGCGCTTGTCAGATTGCGTTGTTCTTCAATCCCGTGAAACGAACAAGGGAAGATGGGTGGAGGTGAGTGTGTGAACAAAGGACCGTAACTGGACTCAAGCAGCCACTGCGCAGGGTTGACGGGTCTGTGCATAAAAGACTGTAGGGTTATGAGGACAAGATAGCATTGATATTTGGACAAAGAGATCACTTCACATTTCCTATGACCTTTCCGTTCTCTGACTGCAATTGGTGTCGAGGTTGAGGTTCCGTGCGCTGCTGCGGTGCGATGCATGGGGAACATCATACGCGACGAACCTCCTCTTAAGAAGGGAACCGCGATTTTCCTCGATCAATCGAGCTGAGCTGTAAGAGCTCAGATATTCCCGGCTCTCTTCCTAGGAATCAAAGTTACTGTCCCTCACCGCCAACATGCCGGCCCCCAACAAGAATGGCAAGAAGAGAGATATCGACTTCTCGTCCTCAGACTCCTCAGATCTCTCCGAAGTCGACCCAGATGCCATGGATATTGACGTCGAAGACGAAGCCCCAGAACCAGTATTCGCAGCACCAAAACCCACACCAAAAATCAAGCTCAAACTCGGACCCAGACCACCAACAATCGAGTCGACGCCAACACCAAAGGCACCTCCGAAGCCACGGCGTCAGAGAGTAGTGGAGAGCGAGGATGAAGAAGAGGAGGATGTGGACGATATCCTGGATGAGTTGGAGAACGACGTGGAGGATGAGGAGCCAGAGGAGGACCTGAGCGACATCGAAGACGAAGAAGATTTTCTCGAAGACGAGGAACTCGAGGCCGGCGGTGTATCACGGATGAGCACTCCCGACCCAACAAAACTCACAGCCCGACAACGCGCCAAACTGGAAGACATCCACATCGGTGCCGTCGGCGGCTACATGGAACTCTCCAACGAAGTTCAGAAAAAGAAACACCTCTCCGCCGCGGAGCTCGCACTCAAACGCAGCGAAATGGCACGTCGAAGGAAAAACCAGTCGGAGAAGAAACTGGAAGAGGAAAAGCAAGAGACGATCAACAAACTCCTAACAAAAGGCGCAAAGAGTACGCGCGGAATGAAAAAAGCCGTCCGAGACGAAGAGAACCCCGACGGTGAGGCCATCATTAAAGAATCCGCCCCACCGCCTCCACCCACCAAAACTCGCTGGGTTGACACGAAAGATCGGACAGTTCTGGCGGTACCGGAAGCGTGGATGGGGACGGAGTATGCCGAGGTGTTTGAGAGGAAGGTTGGGGTACCGCCGGGGCCGAGGGATGCATGTTCGAATTGCCAGGCGGAGGAGGGGAAGTATAAGGTTCTGAAGAAGGAGGGACAGCGGGCGTGTAGTATTGTGTGCTTGAAAGCTATTGAGGCGGCGTGAGCGAAATAACTTGCCAGGAATCACGGTCATTTACATCACGGAATTGAAGACGAAATGGGCAGGATATGGGGAGGACATGGGGAGATATCACTGCGCGTCGGGAGGCCATGTCGACTTTCGCCTGGTGCGGACACAGCATACCTTCGCTTGTGAATCTGAATGAAGAGACCATTGCAGTCGTCCAATACAAATTCAATTGCCATCCATTCATCATGCCCATTCTTCACTTGGAATTTTCTCACAATCGCTGCACCCAAACGAGAACCCTGCATTCGGCCGATGCGACTTGACGTCCTCCCTCGAAGAATCTAAATTCCACGACGCAAACAACATCGGCAATTGTAACGATGCCAACAAGCCGGTCACCAACCCGAATGTCACGGTCACCATCTCCTCGACGCCGAAGCCGTTCGCGCTCTCGAGCACGGTCAAACAATCGCAGTATGTCGCGGTCGCGATCACGGTCGCGGTCGACAAGGTCGTACAGCACCTACAGCCGCTCTCGCTCCAGAACCCGAAGCAGGACACGAAGCCTCTCACCACCCCCCAGGATCTCCACCCCAAAGGTCCGTCCTGACTCCACCCCATATCAGGCATACTAACCCAAGACACAGATCATCGTCGAACGCCTAACGAAAAACCTAACCCCCGCCCACCTCCGCGAAATATTCACCCCTTACGGCAAAATCACCCACCTCGACCTCCCCATGAATCGGAAACTGAACGTGAATCGTGGCGTGGCGTATATTACTTTCTCTTCTGTACAGGAAGCGGAGAGGGCCGTTGAGTGTATGCACGAGGCGGAGGTTGACGGGGGAGTTGTGAGTGTGAGTAAGCTGGAGAGTAGGCTGAGGCGGGAACGGAGTAGGAGTTTTAGTCCGGGGCGTGGGCCGAGGGGTGGGGTTGGGTATGGGAGGGGAAGAGGACGGGGTGGGGGGCCTGGCAGGAGAGGAGGTGATTCATATCGACCGAGTGCGCGATCAAGGAGTCGGAGTCCCTATAGAGCTGGCGGTGGTGGTTATGGACGGAGACGCTCCCCGAGTTATTCGAGTTATGGTGGGTCAAGGAGCCGGAGTCGGAGTAGGAGTTATACGCCAAAATCAAGGTCACGAGGGAGGGGGAAGAGTTATACCAGGAGTCCTTCGAGAAGTGTGTCACGGTCACGGTCACGGTCGAGATCGAGATCTAGGTCGCGAAGATGAGGACAGGAGCACAGCAGGTCTCTTAGCAGGTCACGGTCCCCAGTACGCCGTCGAAGCCGTAGTGTCCGTAAATGACCAAAACCAAATAAACCACATTGGTATCTCCCTACGCTACTACTCCCAAGATCAAAGAGTGTTTCACTTCATCCCACACCACGGCCTCCCATCCGCAACCTGCCACCGACACAACGCCGGCTCCAAGCCCAAGGCAATAACCCCCGCCAAACAAACCCCCATACTGTCTGCCACACCCACGGCCGCCATACTAAACTCCCTGTCCTCCTTCCTAACATTATCGCTAACCTCATGAAACGCATTAACATATACCAATCCCCCAAGTACCCCTTCTATGAAGGTAATCCCAAAGATCCAGTATACGGATGGGAGGAAGTAAAAGAGTGATTGTAGCGCGAGGAAGACGAAGAGGGTGAATTGGAGGAGGGAGGGGGCGTAGAGGTTGTGCAGACGATAGAGGGGGGTTGAGGAGCGGGAGAGGAAGACGCCGAGTTGGTAGATTGTTGCGTAGGTTGGGTAGGCGTCGCGGATTCTGTGGAAGGGGGTTTCTTCTAAGGGGAAGAGGAGGGTGGGTGCGCTGCGATAATCAATCAGTACCCTTTCAAAAAGAAGAGGAAAGAAGGGAGGAAGGAGGGGGGGTACGTACACTCCCTGGTTGATGAGGTATTCTGCGACGTAGACGATGAAGAGGGGGAGCATGTATGGCATGAACAACGCCTTGCTCTTGTGGAAGCGTTGCTTCATCCCGTCGACCCAGGTGCCATCCTTCGCAACTGGCGAAGTGTAGAACTCTGGTGCGGGGACAACACGACCGTCCTCATCCTCTGCAATCGGGGCATACTGTGCGTGAGAAGGCGGGTGTCCATCTCCAGTCGGCGAAGGCAGGATGAAGAAGTATGCAATCGCCAAAATGAACGGGAGGAACGACAACAGGTTGAGCGTTGTGGGAACGGACCAACCGATATAGGTCGTGAACGCAAGATATGAGAACCCACCAAGAAGCCCCGCTCCACCCGTCCCAGACGAAAAGAACGCAAGCGACAACGTCGGATGAAAATGCGTCAACTGCAAAAACCTATATGCCATCACCCAAGTCAACACACCGCCTCGTGTTCGAATTTGCGGGTGTGTGAAACATACGTAATCTCCCCAATCCCCGAACTCAAACTCGCCAACACGATCCCAAACAACCTCAACGGGACATTCGTCTCTGCACCCCACGCCACGACTTGCATACCGACAAACGAGAGTGCGACGCAGATGACTATGCGGACGGGGTAGGGAACGAGGTGGAAGAAGTAGGGTGCGGCGAGTTTGACGGCGAAAGACGGCAGTGTATCTGCCAACAACACCACACCCTTGGGTATTAGAGGACCGACGAGGTCAAGGGCTGCCTATTGTCCGGATTTCCATTATTACACTGTGAATATGGAGTGCGATAAATGCGTGCTGCATACACTCAGGATAATCACGAAGAGGACATTGTTGATGAGTCCGAAGAGGAAGAAGGAGATGAGCGTTCGTGGTGGGGCTTCATTGAGAAATGAGAACAGATGTCGTCGTTGACCATTGCGGTGTGTTGATGGAGCGGGGAGGGCCATTTGCTCTGTGATCTACGGGTTGGAGTGGAGTTGCGGTTATCCACACCGACGCAGCCTCGGTGCACGATAAAGCCGGTCATGGGTATACATGAGATGAAGCCATCTGTCGTTTTGAACATTATTACAATTCTCACTGTCTCTTCACGACCTCGATTCGACACGCCCACCGACGTCACAGCGAGCGGGTGCAACGGGCAACTTTGTTAAACATAGCGAAGGACGACGTTTATGACAGTGTTCCCGTTTTTATTCCCTCCCTCTCCCTTCCCCTCCATGATCAACTGGAGAACATCATGACTCTGTTCGACCGTCTCATCCCCGTTCCCATCCCGACGTCCACTCATACGAAGGGTTCTCGAAGGTGCGTCCACTGTGACATGTCGTGAAGAGGGATAGAGGCTGATGACAAGCCAGCGAGAAACCAAAGAGTAAACCGCCGAAAACTCGATATGCACACACCTTCCGAGATCGTATCCCCTTCATCAAGTCCCTTCCAGACTTCAGCGGTCCTTACAAGGTGACAGTCCTGGATTCATCGTCACACGACACTATGTACTGACCAAGTCACAGGTCGGCATGCTAGACCTAGAAATCCCCGTACCGAAACGCCAATTCACGAAGAGGCAAGACAAATTCGGTAACTGCGCCATGGAACTCGAAACAGTCCTCTACACAATCTACTACCCAGCCTCCACAACAGCAGGATGCGGCCCGCCACCCGGCGGGAAAAAACGGTGGAGTCGGCCGACGTGGTTGAGTAGGGATAGGGGACAAACGAGTGTTGGGTACGGTCATTTCTCGAAATTGTCACCGGTGTTTACGTGGGCTTTCTTTATGGGGACGGTGGGGCTGACGAAGGTTCCCGCATGGAGGAATGCGCCCCTCGCACAACACTGGCCACCCGAACAAAATTCGAGGCAAGATCCGAAGGCGAAGATGAGTGAGGGGGAGGGGGAGGATAGGCTCCCGCTGTTGCCGTTGTTGTTTTTCTCGCATGGGTTGGGTGGGACGAGGACGGTTTATTCGACTATTTGTGGGGAGTTTGCGAGTTATGGGTTTGTTGTTGTTGCGGTTGAGCATCGTGATGGGTCTGGGCCGAGGACGGTGGTGAATCCGGTTCCGGGGAGTGGTGGAAAAGCAAGGGTTGTCGAATATCTCTACCCCGAGGATGGTCGAGACGATACTTCTCCGGATCAGAAGACAGACCACGAACTCAGGAATCAGCAGTTGAAAATGCGCATGGCCGAACTCGACGAAGTCTGGCACCAAATCAATCTCATCAACGAAGGCCACGGCGCCTCCCTCGCTGCCCGCAACGTCCGCATAAAGCCCAATACAGGCTCCTCCTCCCGCTCCACCCTCGACGTCGACTGGACCCGCTGGAAAAGCCGAATGCAGATTCGTAACGCGGTATGTATGGGACATAGTTTCGGTGGAGCGACGACAATTGCGTGTTTGAGGAATCCGGATATGGACTGGTCTAAGTATGGAATTATGTTGGATCCGTGGGGGGATGCGATTCCGATGGCGCCGAATCAGGCTGTTGAGACGTTGAATGCGGATGAGGAAGAACGACTCCGAACAGCGGAACGGATCTTTGACGATAACCACCCCGATGACTGCGAAGGCGAAGAAGAGAAACAAGGCGGCAAATCCCGCTTCCACAAAATCGACAAACCCGTCCTGACAATCCTATCCGAAGGCTTCCTCTACTGGGAAGAAAATTACCAAGCCGTCAGACGCGTCTGTCTCGAAGCCCGTTCCTGCAACAAACAATCCTACCTCCTCACCGTCCGCGGTTCTTTCCACCTAAACCAATCTGATTTCGGACTCCTCTACCCATGCCTCATGCACATCCTCTGCAAAGCCACGATCGACCCTCGTCGTGCATTGGATATCAACATCAACGCCTCCCTCGCATTCCTCAAACGCGTCATGCCACTCCGCGTCGCACGCTGGCTCCGCTCAGAAGAGGACTCAATCCTCGACACCCCCGTCGACGATACGTGGCGCAAGGCGAAAGAGGCGGCACAGAAGCGTATGCCACGCACCCCGAAGAATTTGTTTCCGGAGGAGGTTAATGAGATTTGGATGCATGTGAGGCCGGAGGGGGAGTGTGAGGGGGAGAGGGAGGAGTGGGAAGAGACGGAGGAGGTGGAAAGGGGGAGGAAGATGCATAAGAGGGAGGGGACGGTTGGAACGGATTGGAGTGCGGAGACGGCGTGATTTTGAACCTGATTTTGGACGGATATTGAACATTGGGACAAGTGGGTGGGAATCTGGCGTATCGTTAATTCTTATATTCGGGCTGGAAGTTATGTACGTAGGTAGGCAGGTATCTTGATAGTATGCATAATGACCTTGCTTTTGCTCCTCGACTGTGTGTTTCCTCTTCCAACGACTGGTGGACAATCGCGCTCCGGCCTTCTCTCCCGAATTGGCGCGAGCGCGATGTAACGTAGACTAAAAATCTCCCCACACGCGAGCGCACACGGGCAAATCGAACTTTATTTTTCAGTCGCGTCCGAGAGCTGTTTGCAAGACCGGTTATCATAAGCTTTGCGGCTTTGCCTCCTTCATCGCATTAGTTGATCTTCGTCGGTTTTCCCCGCGAAATTGGCGTCTCTCTGGTTTTTCGGACGTCAACTCCCCTCGGCTCCTGGGCTCTCACTGATCCGCCCAGTCCTTGCGACCTCCCTCACAGCTCAACACAGCATTCGCAAAATTTCCGGCGACGCAATGAACCCTCACATCGTCACCCCGCACTCCCACCCCGTCTTCAACCCCGACGACTTCACCCACATCACCGAGGGAAAAGCCACGATCCTCTTTCCCAAGGGCAACGAGGTCTTCTACAACCCCATTCAGCAATTCAACCGTGACTTGAGTATCACGGCGATCAAGGCATGGAGTGATGAGTGGATTGAGAAGAAGAAGGAGAAGCACGAGATTCAGAAAAGGAATAAGGAGAAGAGGGCTGCGAAGGAGGCTGAGGCGAAGACTGAGGATGCGGACATGAAGGAGGCAGTAGAGGTTAAGGAGACGGAGGAGGCGGGAGAGTACAACCCTAAGTTCACGATCTTGGAGGCTTTGTCTGCGTCTGGACTTCGTGCTCTTCGCTACGCGCACGAGATCCCGAACGTCCACTCCGTTACCGCCAACGACTTTTCCGCGGAGGCAGTCGAGTCTATTCGTCGTAACGCAGCACACAACAACCTTCTCGACATCGTCAAGCCTACTGAGGGAGACGCACGCGCCGCCATGTACTCCAACTCCAAGGCCTTCACCGTGATCGATTTGGACCCATATGGTACTGCTGCTCCTTTCATTGATGGTGCGGTGCAGAGTGTTCAGGATGATGGTTTGCTTTGTATCACATGTACGGACCTCGCTGTCCTCGCCGGTGGTGGATACCCGGAGAAATGTTACGCAAACTACGGCGGTATGCCCATTAAAGGAGTCTACACCCACGAAGCCGCCCTCCGTCTCGTTCTCAACACTGTCGCTATCAGTGCTGCCCGATACGGTCGCGCTATCGAGCCTTTGTTGAGTTTGTCGATTGATTTCTATATCAGGATGTTCATTCGTGTACGGACGAGTCCGGTTAATGTCAAGCATTTGCCGAGTCAGACGATGTTGACGTGGACTTGTTCCGGGTGTGGGTCGCATACCTCGCAACCCCTCGGACGTTCTAGTCCGGGGAAGACCGAGAAAGCGCCGCTGAAGCACCATGTTGCACAGGGTCCGAGTGTTGGGCCGAACTGTGAACACTGTGGGTTTAAGCAGCACCTCGGAGGACCGATGTGGAGTGGACCCCTCCATAACCCCGAGTTCGTGAAGAGGATGATTAAGATTGCGGAGAAGAGTGATGAGCGCGTTTATCACACCAAGAAGAGGATTATTGGTATGTGTACGGTTGCGTCTGAGGAGGTTGAGGCGCCGTTTTACATGACGCCGCAGATCTTGGCTAGTAAGGTGCATTCCGAGACGATTCCTTTGAAGATGGCCATCTCTGCGTTGTTGAATGCTGGGTATGAAGTTTCGAACTCGCATGCTCTGGGTGGGTCCTTCAAGACGAATGCCCCCTACTCGTTCTTGTGGGACATGATGCGTGCATGGATCAAGAAGCACCCGCTTAAGGGCGAACCCGGAGCGAACACCGTTGCGGCAGGGATCTTGGCGAGACGGGAGCCTAACGTCGAAATCGATTTTTCGCCGAACACGCAGGCGAGGATGGGAGGAAGGCGTGATGGGTTGGTGAGGTATCAGGAGAACCCCAGGGAGAATTGGGGACCTATGGCGAAGGCGGGTGCGGCGAAGGCGACTGGCGAGAAGAGGAAGAGAGATTCTAGCGATGAAGCGCAAAAGGAGGAGAAGACTGAGGAGGCGTGAAACGGTAGACCATGCCCCAAAGCAACCCTAATCTAGAAGGAGCATGAGACGAATAGTTGGCAAACAAGCATGAATCTAGCAATAGAAAAACGAGAAGAAATACACTTTCCACGACAAGCTCCCTTCGCCCGTTCATTTCGCAGTAACGTCAGTCACATCAGCCGATGCGGTCACCTGCATCCGGCACCTCCGCGCTCATCCCCCCGAGTTAATCCGACGAGACCATCGATGATTGAAAGTGCACCTCCAAGAACACAGCATATACCCCCAGAACCAAACAATCAGCAATGGCTCGTCCCAGTTATGTCGTCTCTATGGACTCGAGAGTATGCGTTTGTATGGTAGGGTTGCCAGCGAGGTATGTGGACCGTGGTGACGTCCCGTGGGTTGAACGGGTAGCTGATCTCGCCATGTCCACAGAGGAAAGACATATATTGCTCAGAAAAGTACGCTTGCGAGGTCGCTCTATCTTGCAAAGCTTGACTAACCAACGTACAGTCTGCCGATACCTGAAATGGCTGTCCATTCCAACAGAAGTGTTCAACGTCGGCACCTACCGCCGAACGCATCATGACGCACACCCAACAGCATCCTTCTTCGATCCGAAGAATTCAGCAGGAGAGAAAGCAAGACGAGAGGCCGCTATGGCTGCCGTTAAAGACATGGTCAACTGGTTCAACAAGGGCGGTGTGGTCGGTATCCTCGACGCTACCAACACCACCCGCGAGCGCCGGCAGTGGATTGCGAGATTATGTAAGCAGGCGAATGTTCAATTGATGTTTGTCGAGAGTGTTTGTGAGGATGAAGATCTGATTATGCAGAACATCATGGACGTCAAGCTGAGTTCTCCGGACTATTCCGGGCAGGATCCCGAAGAGGCGGCGAGGGATTTCAGAGAGAGGATCAAGATGTACGAGGCGGTTTATGAATCAATTGATGAGAAAGAGTTGACATATGTCAAATTGGTCAACGTTGGAAGTCAAGGTCAATGGAGTTTAACTTCTACCATCACTTCGGGATGCTAACACAAATGCATACAGTCGTCATCAACATGATCAAAGACTACCTCCAATCTCGGATTGTGTACTACCTCATGAACCTCCACATCAAACCTCGCAGTATCTACCTCTCCCGGCATGGCGAATCCCAGTTCAACCTCGAAGGCAAAATCGGCGGCGACGCACCCCTCTCTGAACGCGGCATGATCTACGCCCAGCGACTCCCTGACATCATTTCTTCCCAGATTCAGCCAGGCGAAAAACTAACAGTCTGGACGAGTACCTTGCGACGAACAATCCAAACTGCCGAAGGGCTCCCCTACCGGAAGCTCCAATGGAAAGCCCTTGACGAACTCGACGCAGGTGTGTGTGACGGCCTAACCTACGAAGAAATCGAAGATAAGTACCCCGAAGACTTCGCGGCCCGCGACGAGGACAAATACAACTACCGTTACCGCGGCGGCGAATCATACCGGGACGTCGTCGTCCGCCTCGAACCCGTCATGATGGAACTGGAGCGCCAAGAAAACGTCTTCATTGTTTGCCATCAAGCTATTCTTCGCTGCATCTATGGCTATTTCTTGAATATTCCGCAGGAGGAGTTGCCGTTTGTTGATATGCCGCTTCATACGGTAATTAAGTTGACGCCAAAGGCGTACAGGTGTGTTGAGGAGAGGATTTCGGCGAATATCCCAGCGGTATCGACGCATCGGGCAAAGGGGGCCCCGGCGACGTTTGATAAGCCTGCGGAATGTGAGGTGAAAGCGAACTAAGGTTCTCACTGTCTTTGGAATACACATATCAAATAATTTCTTCTCTTTCTGGGTTGCGGTTGATATTCTCTGGGCTTACAGTATGGTAAAGGTTACCTTCAATACACACTCTTTGTCGTTGGGGAGAGACAGCTGGGCCGACTCTCGTTTCCCTCTTGGAAAATCACTCTACGCTAATGGGACTAACGGAGCTAGGTAGGGAGCGTTTGTAGTATCGCCGGGCGGGTGGACAAGCAGTCTGATCTGTCTTCCGGTGGGTGGGTTTTTCCTGTGACTTCCCAAACCTGTGATTTGTTCCCCCTTACACTGTCGATCGGTGGTGGCTGGCCCAACACGTTACAGTATGCCTAGAGGACAGTAACCGCTCCGCAAGTCAACTGGTATGAAGTATCAGGACGAGCTGGATCGTACTTCACCGAAGCAATAAATATCCCTTCATACCTACTCATACAACTCCTGAAAAGCAAACAGAACGAAACGCCCTTTCAAACCGTCCCGCATGCCTTGCGGCGTATCTTACATACCTTATAAATCTTCTCTCCTCCCCACCCAGACTCCTCCTCAGTCATGAGACTTACTCATCCTCCCCCTCCCTCTTCGTAAAAACCAACCCAGCAAGTAACCCCGCCCTGCGCCGACTCATCAAATCCCCCTCCTGCATCAAATTCTTGCGTTCCCACGTATCACCCCTCTTATGATGTTTCCTTGGATCCTTCGCCTTGTCCTTATCCTCGAGGGTAGCAGTAATGAGTGGAGGCGGCGACGTACTCACGATTTCCGTTGGGAGGAAAGCCGGCGAAGGCGACGGACGCGATGATGCGAATGTCAGTGGTGCGTCATCATCTTCATCATTCGCCCCATGTCCATCCCCATTCAAAACCTCCACACTACCAGCTTTCCCCGCTGCAGCCTCACGACCATGAAGAGCACGCATCATCTTCCTTTCCAAACCCTCCTCAACCTGTTGACTCGTTCGCCTCCCCATCGGTACACCCCCTTCGACACCAACACCAGGATTCGGATCATCTTTGAGTATTTCGGCCAACCAATCCCTACACCGGGCAACTGCACCCCGGGCCTCGGGGAGAAAGGAGACCATTTGTAGTACACCATGACTAACACCCTTAATAAGACTCATCTCAACCCACTGCCTCTCATCCATCTCCTCTTGCTGTGAAGTCATTCCCAACCCCAACCCCTGCCTCCTCTGCCAAGCACTCCTCTTCGCCTCCCTTATCCTCCCCGCAAACAACACAGTATCATCAACAAACGGATCCTTCTCCCCACACATAAAATACGTCTTGGGGAATTTGGCCAACAACGAACTCGGCGCGACGATGGGGGAGAGGAAGTAGTCTGTGGTGAAGTCTGGCCGATTTTGGGGGCCGAGGTAGAGGATTGCCATTGCGCGCATCATTTCGGGGGTGATGATGCGGTCGTTGAAGAAACTTACGCGGGAGGTCATGGCGAGTTGTGTGCCCATCTTGCGCTGGACGGGACTTTTGGGGGGGACCAACTCCTTTTCCGCATGCGCACCCCGTTCTTCTTCCTCTTCCTCTTCGCGCTCCAACTCACTCTCCCGATCCGCTTCGACCTCCATGTCAAGAACGGATTTCCCCCTCCTCCCCTTCCCAAACCGCGATTTCGTCCTCATGATCCCCTTCGAATACACATCCCTCCCACTCTCCTGCCTCAACAACCTAACATCCTCATCACTCATCCAACTACTAATATTAAAATCCAGAAAAGGGTAAATCAACACCAACCCCCTCGGCATCTCCAACCCCGGGAACTCATGCATGCTCGTCAAGATCATGAGCGTGACTCCCGCCGCGAAATTCCCGCCTGCAGAATCCCCGATGATTGCGATTTTGGGTTTGGAGGTGCCGGAGAGTCCGATGTTGCGGCCTTTTGTGAGGAGGAGGGCGCGGTAGGTGTCGAAGCATTCGTCGAGGGCCCAGGGGTAGGGGTGTTCGGGTGCTTTGCCGTAGTCGACGCTCACGATCGGAACACCGAGTCTAGTCGCCCACGGAACGAGTGATTCTTCGTGGCATTGGGGGTTCATCGCCACGAAGCCTCCACCGGGGAAGTTGAGCACGAGAGAAGTCGCATTACGCAACTCAGCCGCCGTCCCGGCAAAATAGAGATGAACCCGGATCGGAGTCGTATACGCCGACCCCCGCGGTCTCTTAATCACAAACTGCGTCTGCATCCTCAACCGCGGCCTCCTCAACCCCGATATCGCATGTAAATACGGATTAAGCTGTTTTTCCCAACTCACCCTCAAATGCTCCACCGTAATCATCGCCCTAATTTTTCTGACTTTTTCGTCGGCTTGATCTGCGAAGATGAGGTAGTAGGCGCTGAAGATGAGACTTGCTATATCGCGGAGCCATTCTGGGTTTAGTTTTGCGGCTGTCCAGAAGCCTGCGTCGAGGGCTGTTGTGAGCCAGGTTGCGCGGTAGAAGGAGCGGGAGTACTGCGTGTCCATTACTATTAGCATTTATCCCGGGGAGAACGGAGAAAGGGGGAGTACCATTCTGGCCAAAGGCTCCGGCGCACCCAATCCCAACAACTTATCCAGATTCTTGAGAACGTACATCCCCGTCATCGTCAAACAAAACACATGCCAACTCGTAACCCTACCCCTGACCTCTCGCCGACCCAGCCATCGGAAGAAGCGTCGGAGGAGGGGTGGGCCGTTTGGGTGGCCTTTTCTCAGGAAGACGAGCCAGGAGAGGGCGACGAGGAGGACTTGGAGGCGTTTGAGGTCTGTTGAGGGACGGCCGAGGAGGTGGTCGATCATCTTGGGCGTTGTTCAATCTAGAGAAGGATGGTAGGATTCCTCATGGGGAAGAGGAGGAGGACGGTAGGATGCTCGTGTTTATATAGGGAGGGTGCCGAGCATGTGAAAGTGCGTCACCGGTACCGGCAGTCGAGCAACCCTTCTACCGGCTCTGCTCGCAGCTTCAATGATCATACAGAATGGGGATTCCTAAGTAATCTATACGACATCGTACTCGACCTCATCCCTATCCTCATGAATACTCGCACTCAAACTCACAGGAATGAACCTCTTCGGCAACTCGACCCGGTTGAACGTATTCTCAAACATCTTGATCAAATGTCCTACATCCAGATGTCTCGTCAATGCTTTCCTTGGCTGGCAGGAGATGCAGTGCTTGGCGTCGAGTTGAAGGTCGAGGGGGTCGGGAGAGTGGGCCCCGGGGGAGAGAGTGATCTTCATGGAGTACTCCTTCAGGTCGCCGAGGGAGTGAACAGGGGTGCGCTCGTACATCTCGAAGTTGATTTGAGTCAGGTAGTCGAGTTCGGGGATCTCGTTCCGTGCGATACGTGTCGGGATCTGGTTGTTGTTGAGCGTGGCGTAGATGATGTTGAGCAGAGTCCAGATATGAGATTCTGTACAGAGCATGTTAGTTTCTCTTCAAAAATTAAGAGCTCACACACTTTGTACCTTTCGTGACGTAAACAAACGCCTGTTCATGATCGCTCTTCTTCGCCTCCTGCAAATCACAGATGATCTGCTTCAACAACGGCATACTCGTCAACAACCCAATATCCAACTTTTCATCACCCGTAATCCCATACTCCTGCGGTGAGACATAGTCGAACAAGATCTTGCTCAAGCGGTAGAGCTCCCTCAGCCTCTTCAACCTCGGGTTCTCGTTTGTGCGTTCCTTGTCCACGGACTCCTTCTTCGCGTACCACCTATTACCCATCTCGGAGTTTTGTCGGGACGTGGTGGAGTCTGTGGAATCACCCAAACCGGAATCATCCTGCGGCAAAAATATGTTCTCTAAGAACGGACGGTTGTGAAGGGCATCGTACTTCATCGTATCGTACAACTCAGAGATCTTGCTAGGATCAACCTTATCCGTATCACAAAACTCCACAAACAACTTCTCCCATCGTTCGCGGAAGAGAGCGGGGTCTTCGGCACAGCACCACTTGTTCTGGAGTTTGAAGAGTTGCTCTTCGTTCATGCTCGCAAAGTTCTGGCGAAGGACTGCGCGGTGGAACTTCATGAGCTCGACGACTTGGGACATGACAACAGTGGGCTCAGGCACGTCCTTGGGCCACGCAAACTCGCCAACAGCATCCATACCGAGACGAAGAAGAGACTTGAGCTTCTTCTTGACCTTGTCCATCATATCCTTGGCCGCGTTCGAGTCATCCAACAGATCCTTTCTAACGGTAAGGAACCCCTCCTCAAGCTTCTCCTTCTCCAAAAACGCAGACGCAAAGATCTCAGCTGAAGTCGTGACACGCCTCTCCGACGAAGTATAAACCCTGACATCATCCAAGATCTTCTTGTTCATAAGAAGCATATCCTTCCTCATACTGTCTCCAAGCTCCTTCGATTGGTAAAGAGCCGAATGCGTAAACTCACCACCCCACTTCAAGATAAGCTGCAACTTCTCCAGATGCCCGTCTTCCTTGTTGTATGCAGGCTTAATTTGAACCTTGGTACCGGGTAAGTCCATCTTCTTCACGAGCGCATTGTGCAATAACTCCAACTTATCCATGTCCTCACTCTTCAACGCGATAGCCTCCTCAGTTGCAGCCAACACTGCCCTCAACTCATCAATGTTCCGGATAATGACCTCCTCCGTATGTCCGCGCATCAAGTTCACGAACGGCTGACTCTTGAACGAAAACTTAAACTTCTGCTTAGGAGTGCGATCCGCATGACGAAGAACGATGACGGTACTCTTGAGCCTCCATGCATTCTTCTCAGAGGGGACGGGGTTCAGAGCCTCATATATCGACGGAATCCTGTTCTTTCGCTTCTTGATCGCGAGCTGGAACATTTCGCGCAGTATTTTCGATGCTGAATCGTAGTATTCGTTGTTATCCTTCACGAAAGACCAGCCATTGACATCGATGACGTACGACTTGCCATCCGCACGCAACAAGTCGAATCCACAGACGTTCTGTTCGAATGCGGTAGCGATACGGGCAGCCATGCTTTTTTCCTCATCCGTAAGGTTAGTGACGAAACGGATCTCTTTGCCGTAGGTGTTACGACGGACCATTCCATCGACCACCGGACTCTTTCTCGTCTCAGCATGAGAGTAGGTAGGTCCGACGGTGTAAACCTTGACGTCTTCCGCATTATCCACATCCATAAACTTCTCGTAGATGAAGGATCCGTCCATGCGCGGTTTGTCAAGCGTCGGATCAAACTCCGAACTCTTATTCCCAATCTTCCGGAACAGACGACGACCACCACCACCCTTGCCCTTAGGGTAGTAGATATGAATGTTGTGATCCTCTCCGTTCACAGGCTTCTCCACATAAGGCTTCTTGATCGTCTTTCCATCGACGGAAAGTGTATCCTCATCAATCATCTCCACAACACTATCCTTCCTCTTTTCGATCTTGAAACCCAGGACTCGCTCAAGTTTGCCGGCGAGGGATTTCTCGATGCGCGGGCCTCCGTCGCGGTGAGCTTCGACACGGTAGGGCGTGGGTACCTTTATGGCGTCAAGGACGGCGAGTACGAGGCGACGGTCCCAAAGAATTCGCTGAAGAGGAAGATCGTTGACGCAGAATGGCTTGCGGAGGTGAACGTACCGGATCGCTTTCTCCAAGGGGAATCCCGAGGAGAAGAACGAGATAAGAAAATCGCAGCCAGGCCAGTTCTCAACATCTGTGTCGGCATTAGATCAGCCACAACCTTATGTAACCCGGAAGAACGTGCATACCTTCATCAAGAATAACCTTATCACCAAATACCACAGTCTCAAACATACTCTCGGTCTCGCCCTCCTGAGGCTGCATCACCCTATTCAGGATATTCCTGCAAGGCTTACTGCGAGCCTTTGCATCCATCGCACAAACACCAATTATCCATTTCCGATTGCCTGGTGTAGAGCTCTGGGATGAAGTCGTGGAGATACGGGATGAGGCGAAGGTTGCTCCGGGCGTCGGGGTGCGGGAGGGAGAGGGAGTGGGGTTGGTAGTGGAAGGCTGGGATGAGGCAGCGGTTGACATGACGGTTTGGATCACTTGAGGCGACTGGTCTGATCCGTCTTCGTTTGCAATCTGGATTTTCGAGATATTATATTGGAGGTGTAGCCGAGCGTCGCGCCAGGGACGACGTCGACGCACGGATCCGCACCACCGAGCACACTTAGAGCAGCGACATAGGTTCCGTACGCCGCACTCTATTTCTCGGTATTTATCTGATGGGATCAATGGTTGGTCTTCAGTTCGCTAAAGTTAATTTGGGGGTTCAATGCCTTATTGACGCATCGCAGTATGGGGACAACTCCGGTTCTTCCATGATCGATCGATGAGGGCTGAGCTCGAGCGCAGACTTTGTTAGAATTTGACCTTTTCTGAGGGTTCCAGACCTATATTACTCACTGAAACTTCTCGTTCTCTTTGCACTTGTATCCGAAAGTATCTGCTACACACGCAATGCACCTGGTATCCACCCATTTGTAACGCCAAAGCAAACCTTAACGATCCCAAAAACGCCTGTAATATCATTCAAATGCAAATGCTCGCAACGTCATGCTCTTCTTCCAACCCAAACATCGCTCGCCACGGCATGCCATCCTCTCCCATCCTTCCAAACAGTTCCATCATAACCACCCTCGTCCTCTCACTGAACCGATCCGTGTGTTCCCTCCATATGAAACAGATTTGCCTGAAATATCTATCCGTACACAAACCTTTCAAGGGGCAATGGCTGAGGGTGACCAAGAACGCCGTCACGCTCTCAAACAATGCACCGTTGATGGAGGCTTCCTGCTGGAACTCACGCGGTGGAAGAGATATCGTCCTGCTTCCCCGACCAGAGGAAGAAGAACGCCAGATCCCCGTGGATAAAGGGTCTTCTTTCCAATCTCGAGCGTTGTCGTTCACAGATCTCCAAAACCGTGAATACGCGCTCCTGATAACATGATCCGACGAAACCGGTATCGAGGTCCATTCTGATGACAGGGGTTTAAAGCCATGTAGCTCCATCGCGTCATCCTTAACCCACCAGTTAAGAACCAACCATGCTGCATGAAAGTATCCATCCACATGATCGCGTATGATGGATATTATTTCAGCACATGCCGGGTGGTATGAACACCAATGCACAATGCGTAATACCACCTCCAATAGATCGTACGTGCGAGCGATACGTAGCAGAATCTCTTTTGACACAGCACCTTCAACAGTCATATTCTCCCTTCGCAAGATTGCAGACGTCCAGGGTTGTATGTGGTACAAAATGTCTGCTATGTCGACCAGGACCTCGCGCAGGTAGTCGGGCGACTTGCTAGGGTGCAGAGACTGAAGAACACCGGTATAGACCTCGCGTAAAGCTCCAAGCATAGGAGGAATATACACCACGGCCTCCGGACGCAGGTAGGGGCATATGATGGCCCTCACCACAAGGCTCCGAAGATACTCTAGTTGAACATCCCGAACCTCGTCCTCCTTCAAAAGAGCCGCAAGGAAAATGATGAATGGCTTGTCCGATTCACATGCCACAAGCACATCCTCGCACCGCGTCTTGATCTTGTCATGAATGACGTCCTGCACGAAACCCTTTGTGATATCCTGTCCGGCATAGACACGAAGGCGCTGGATATCGTATGCAGCATGTTCGGGTGGCTGCGGGAAGTGCTCCGCGTTGAGGAACCAGACAAGATCAGGTAAGCAGCGTTCGGTCACAAAAGTACTGCAAAACTGGAGCACGTTTCCAACGACTTGTTGCACCAATGCGATATACTCTGTAAGGTCGCCTGAAGATTTAGCTACGGTCAACTGAGCATAGTGCTCACGGAGAGCGCGGAAGAGAGTGGCGAGAAGAGCGGTGTACATAGACTTCATCTCTTCCTTGTCGGTCTTACCCATGCTCTCTAGAATGCTCGACAGAAGAGCACCCCGGGCAGAGCGCAACTCCTCCGCAGAGATGGAGTACGACCCGTCAAGCTGCCGAACAAAAGGAGGGTTGCTGACAAGGTCACCAGACGTGTCTATGCTGAGAAGTGTACTCGTAAAGACATGTTGATCAACTGCCAGCCCTGGCTCGACTATGCTCGAAATCCAGAAGCTCAGGAAAATCATCCGATGCTCATGATAAATCTCAGGTACACACTCCAGGACGGTCGAAAAGAAGATATTGCTGACAGCGCGTTTCCTTGGAACATCCCCCAGACGAGGCCACGCCTCTGCACCTCCTTCAAGATAGCTTACCCAAGTACGCAAATTGTGTTGTACAAGAAGCCGCGCGCAGTATAGCCACGTCTTGACTGTGTCATGGATAGCATTATCAGATACCTCGTTATCGGCACCGAAATAGTTCGACAACATCTGGAAAAGCTGTGGTGACCAAACCTCGTTGACTTGCTTCAGCAGTGCAGAAGCTTCAGACGGGACCACTCCTGCTTCAACCGCAGCAAACTCCTCAAGAAAAGAAACATCTCCATAATCCTGGCTGTCTTCTTCCGGTAGCGGAGCCTGAACGGCGGCAGATAGTGAAGCGGTCGAAGCTGAGCACTGCAGCACATCCCGCAGAAGACCCAGCGCCTGCAGAACCACTGCATCCGGTTGCGAGAACGACGATGCAAAGATATCCGAAGTCGTCGGCTTAATAAGAAGGCACGGCATGACTTCCGGCTTTGACTCACAGAACGTCGACACAAGACCTCTGACACATTTCAAAGCAACGATCATAACATTCTCCAACTGCGTCAGATTGAACCGAACGACTCGATCGCGGGTAGAGGCCTCCCAGGCAGCAACACCCTCTGCAACCAGCCGCGTGTCTCGCTTGATGTTCCGATACTCTTCAGCAGTTTTACGCAAAATCAACTCCAACCAGCCCATACTCTCAGTCAGATCCTCCCCACGCGCAATTCGAAGACGCACCACATGCGACCATGCCTTCACGCTCACGAGACGAGCTTTGCAATGAGCGTTCTCAATGATGACCAGATCCTGCATGCTTTCGATAGGAGGACGGACTTCTTCTGGGGTCGCATAGTATAATGTGATGAGAAGAGCATAGTGGTTCTCCAATGAGATGAAGTCCGCAATGGAGAACTCCTTGTCACTAGCGTACTGCTGTCGCCGATCACCCAACGGAGTAAGACGCGACGCCAGGAGTCGAAGCGCTTTTTTCGCTTGCGGAGTCTCGATAGCCTGAAGCTGACGGAACGCTAGAACAACTACCTTGAGGAAGATATGAAAGCTCGTGTCAGAGGCATCAATCTCCACGCTTGGGTTCACGTCAAGCCTCTGGAGGAACATGGGGAAGTCATGTAGGTCGTGTTCATCAACGCCAGCAAAACCTCGCGCACTGAAGAAGTTGTAGAATAGCACGAGCACATCCTTGCTCGTTTTCCAATTCCATTGCCTGACTAGTGTATGACAACGACCGATGAGAGCACGGTAATAGGGCTCAAGCGCAGCCGCTTTTAGAGACAGATCCCCCTTGCCGAAGAAGTCGTTTAACAAGCTTACCAGATAAGACCAATTGGACGTGCCAGGTGGTGGGCCTGTTACGCCGAGATCGCTGAACTGGTACAGAGGGCATATGTTGGCAATGGTGAACCAAGCACGTTCACGTAAGCGCCACTCGTTCCCAGCAGCAGCTTCAACCTTGGTCTCGACATGCAGTATGTCATTAAGTAGGTCCCAAAAAGCTGGCAAGGTACCGCGAGCAAAGGTCTGACAGTCATCAAACACATGAATCACAGTTAGCCATAGCTGTAGGGGCAAGGTATCTCCAGCAACAGATGTGGCATTAGAGGAACGGAGCCTGCGTAATATGTTCTGGACTTCATTCATGCCTGATGTAAGAAGCAGCTGAAGGAGGTGCCGGCCAAAGCGGTCAAGCGCTCTCTCCGCACCAAGCGAAATGGGACAATCACTATCGTGAGAAGACAACCTTGAAAGCTGGTAACTCCATACCAGGCAGAATTGGAGAAATTGTAAACCAGTACGGTGTGCAGAGAGTTGATAATCGACTCTATCTGCGAATACCGATGTGAGGATACGGTCCAAAGCTGACTCAACTGAGCGAAGGAGGGCCTGGCCAAAGGTGGCTACCTCTTCAGAACGAGCCATAGATAGGCGTGTGCCGATATATTTGGCCACGAAACGCAGGAAGGGTTCGGCTTCGGTTGCCAACTCAGAACGGGACTCAAGCAACGAGTCGACAAGGAACCTGAATCCGATTTCGAACCGGGCAGCAACGGAAGCTGTAGAGTCATACATGTCGTATACCTCGTCGCCAAACGTGACATGTCCTGCTGATAGTGACCGATCATTTGGCTTACAGTGAGCGGTCAGCGCCTCGTGAAGCTCGCCACTACCAACGAAGGAGGTGGGATCAAGGCGTGTACCAACTTTGACCGGAAGAACGTCAAAGGTAATCGAGAAGGTCTGGTTGGTGAACCAGTAATCGTTTAAAGCTAGTTGACGCACAGATATAGCTGTGGCAGGGTCTTGAGCTATGACTGGGACAGAAGGCTCGAAACGAGTCGATCCGCGGTCAGGTTTAGGTAACCTCATGCCGTCGAACTGATGAATGTCGCGGCGCTCCGCCTGAACTTTCTTCCTTACTCGACGCTTTGGTATAGGTGCAACGACAACGACAGCAGCAGCTCGAGCAATAGCATGGTCTGGAAGAGTGGCTTGAGTCGACATAGCGGGATGTCCCGCAACAAAAGGCGGCGCTGGAGGTCCCATGGCATCAGGAGGTCCGGCTGGCGATGCAGTGGCAAGCCACTTACTGACCTTCTCAATATTGTTGAGCCTTGCTTGGGGTCGAGGATGGTGTTGGGTAAATTTGCGAGGTCTAATGGCATATTCACCAGATTCGTGTTCCAATTGAGCAGGTTGCATGCTCTTCTGCAAGCGGGGTTGAGGTATGGGTGAAGGACGTCGGACGCCAGGCTCCTGTCGATTGATACCGACGTCTACCACCGTTGCATGCGCTTCCATTTGATCCGAGTCGATGCCGTCGTCCAGTGGGTGGAAGGGCAACTGCGCCTGCCGAGCCCGCGCAGGGACTACAACTTGACGGCGCTGGACAAGATCATTCTCCATGACGGATTTAGCAACCTCAGGTCGCGAAAGAGTCCCAGTTGCATTGGCGTCCTGCCAGTCAGGACGGCTCAAACGTCCTTCCTTCCACTGTCGCAGGACGTGAAGGACTGACTCCTGTTCGTCCCCATCGGTAAATCGAAACTGCTTGCCTCTTAGTGTAGTCCGGCCTTGATCCTTGCGCTTCGCTGCGACACGCTTGGCGATCTTCATAAAGGGAGGGGGTGACCGCCCAGTTTCCTCAATATGCCTCGCACAGGCGTCAACGATACTAAACGCCGGCGTTCTAGATCTTCGTCTCTTTTGCGTCACATCCTTCGAGCCCCTTGAAAGATGACTAGCATGCCGAGACTTCTCATTCTTTGAAGACTTGCGGGAGAAGCCATGGTCTTGGAGCTTGTTGAACTGTTTCTTCGGTGCGGAACGTTTCGGTCCAGATCCTGACTTCCTGGACTGCGTCGAACGACGTTGTGTAGGCTTCACCCACATATTGTCAATAATGTCTTCTTCCATCATACTATCATCGTCGTCCAGCACAATGGGTTCCGGAAGCACCCTTCTCGGAGTTTGGGCAGACCGAGAAGCAGCGGTCACTACCAAACGTGCAGTGGTAACAGAGACGTTGTCATCATCTCCACTGTCCTCGCCACCCCCAAATACAGCCTGAAGCCTGCCTGCCAAGCCGGTACCAGTCTTTCTCTTCGCCACACCCTTCCCATGAGATCTTTCCACCCTCTCTGCTGCTGCCTTTCGCTCCCGTGCAGCCTTTGCTTCCGCTTCCTTCTGCTTCTCGTCCAATTTCAGGAACGACGGAGGCAGTACTCCACGGAGTCTCCGTTTGAGCTTCTCAATCTCCCGCTCTGCTTTTTCTCTGTCGGTGGAATCGTTCTGAGATTCGGATTCGGATTCAGATCCAGAAGAGGAGCTCGGAATGTGAATATGCGATGCTTCTCGGGATTGACGACGAGGCCGAGGAGTGACTTGCATCTCTTCATTATCAGACGATGCGAGGATGCGTAGTGATCGGCGTGCCGTGCTTACATGGGTTGTTGCTGATGACATTTGCGGAGTAGGAAGCGACCGAACGGGTGTAACACCTCCGTCCCTTGAGGGCTGTTGTCGATTTTGTTGCAGCTCTTTATGCACGGCATTGATGATTTTGTCATATTTTGTCGGTTTGATGAACTTGGGAACATTGTCGCCTGTCTTCCGTCTCTTATACGTGCGCATCGGCACCCTTGCATCACCTTTTAACACATTCGCCGGCGACGGCAAATCTTCCTCGTCGTCCTCTCCCCGTGGTGACTTTGACCCCGTAGCCCGTTGCATACGTTCCACACGTTCCCGCCGCACCCGATCTCGTTCAACATACTGTGAGTCATCCTCTTCCAGAAGTTCTTCCATCACCACATCTTCAACATCCTCCGCTGGGACAGTGAACTGCGAATCGGCCTCAGGCGCTGGTAAACCTGCAACTCGAACCGGCTTTAGACCGCGTTGACGGAATTCTTGTCGATGGCGGGCTAGCTCAACCATGTAAGGGTGTAGCTGTTCAGGTTTTCGAGCACGGAATGTTCGGCGAGGTGGTGTCGGGTCTGTTGGGACGGGTGGAGGTGCCACGACTGTCGCCGGCGTCAACGAGGGTGACATCGTTTGCGCAGTATCGATCACGATTGGCGGTGGAAGCACGATCTGTGGCAGGCTAGATGAAGGCGTCGATGTCGCACTGCCAGGCGCAGGATGAGGATTCTCGAGTGTCTGTGTAGTCTCTCTGTCCTCCTCAGGCCCCCTGATACTCTGCGACGAAAACAGTTCAGTCTCTCCACGCTCTTCCACTGCTTTGTCCTCACGCAAATCATCGTCAAACGCTTCGATCACAAGAGGCGGCGAGGACGGTGGATCGAAGATGTCTCGAGTTGAATCAGAAGGCGGGGCTTGCGTTACAGGTTGTGACAGAGGCTCATTGACCATAGAAACGTCTTCCATAACTTCGTCTTCCTCCACAGCAGGTTGCGGGGTGGCCGTAAGATTCGTCGAACGCAACACCGTTCCCCCCTCGCCCACTCCTGCCAGCCCGCGCACCTCCTCCTTACCATGAACAACCGAATCCAGCGGAGATGACGCATCCAATTTGCCAGAAAGGCCTTCACCTCCCTCCTTCGGCCCACTAGCCCTCGGTGTCACCGCGTCACCCTCGAACCACCACTCCTCCCCCTCAAACTCATCGTCCGACGGCGGAACTTCCGAGGTTGCTGGACTATGACTTCGAGGTCGACTTCCGCGCGTTTCTTGGTTCATTTCATGATCGAATTTGCTTGATATTGGTCGTTATTGATCTGTGACGTTTGACTGGTGGTTCTTTGCAGTTAGGAGACGCGCCGAAATTAATGCAAATGTAATCGCGCGCGCGCATTTAATAACAGGTTATTGTACAAATATTTAAATATCCATAGATCTCTGTTAGGAAGATATGGAGGAGTCTGCGTTCGTGGAGTATACTTCTTGAAAGCATTGCCATAGTTTTTCCGTTTCATTCCAAGGTGTGACACAATTCTTCCTTCCCGTGCCAGATGATCAGTATCAGCTTCATCATCATTCATATTTTGTCATGACATGCCGTGTTCCTCCCCTTTATTCTCATTCATTCAACAGGTAACCCAGGTATAGATCAAGAAACCACCTTCAGATAGTCCACGACTTTCTCACAACCGCGCCCTAACCCTCACATCCTCCCCGCTTTGCTCTCCCACCACACTCCCCAAAACCCTGTCAAACTCAGCCAAGAACCCCTCAATCATCGTCCTCTCATAAACACTCTCATCAAACCCAACAGCAACAGTCAGCTCACCCCTGAACCTCCAGATCTCACCTAGAATTTCGGCGGAACGGACGCGGACGCCCATGCGGAGCGCGGTGATCTCCAAGACCAGCGGGGAGGAGGAGGTGGAGGATTGGACAGGATATGTGGAAGGAAGGACATGATCCAAATTTCCCACTACAGAGCAATTCATACTCTGTCCCAGCGGCATCGACGAGAACTCCCCCTGTTCCTCCCCACCCTCCTTCACCTTCCCTTTCTCAGCCGGAGGTAGTCCTCTCGCAGCCCGTAACCGCTCCCCAGACCGTAGATAGCTGTTCAAGACCAACCGCTCCTGGCTCTTGAAGTGATCCCGGAATTGCTTCCCAACTAACTTCGCTCGTGCCAGCACCACCTCCTTCACCTCCCTCCCCTTCGTCCCCTTCTTGAGTGGGATGGCAGGAACAACGATACTCGCAAACGACAACATAATACTCGACTCCGGATTTTCGCTTCTCTCCCCGCCGAGAAAGGGCCTTATATTGAATGGAAACCCAATCTGACACGCATCCGCCTTCCGCGCTGCCTCCTCTCCCACGTAATTACTGATAGTCGTCCCAACAATCGCATATATCAAATTTCCCATGCTGACCCCACCCTCCCTCGCAACCTTCACCAATCTCCTTACATTGTCCTGACCGACAACCAAGACAGGCCACCTCGAAATCGGCTGTACTGCCACAGGAGGAAGAAGACGGCGTGTTGGGAGTGGGATGGAGCGTGTAGAGCGTTCACGGCGCGTGCGGAGATCGTACATGACTTTCTGAGCTGCCCACCAGAAGCGGCGGCGACCGGGGCCCCAATTGTTGCAGCTTGGTGGAAGTGGGGGGTAGGAGTCTTCCAGTGCTGGCGTCAAGCGACGAGAAGGTGGGTGTTCGGACTCAATCGCGGTAGTTGATTGAGGGGAGGCAAGTAGTCGAAAAAAGTCAGCGAGGAGATGAGTTGCGGAGACTCCATCCGAAACGCAATGCGCCATATGAAAGCACACCGCCCACTCCCCCTCCCCGAGTTGTAGTAGGAATACCCTCGACAAGCATGTCTCTTGTTGTAGCCACTTCCGCCGCCCGTTCAATAGTCGTGTCTCGACCCAATCTTCCACATTATTTTGGATGGTACCGGGAATGCGATGGAAGGTTTTCCGTGCACGTTCAGCAGCGTGTCTCGGACCGGGGTAGACGAAGTGGAGGTCTTCGGGGACGGGCATCATACTTGGTGGGATATTGGCCGGCAATCCAGCTGTACTCATATCTGGTGCTGAGGTAGCTGTGACGCTGTCAAGGAGAGGGTGAAGAATGCGTAGTTCGGTCCATGTGCGGAGAAGATTTGTTTCGGATAGGACCGTGGAGGTGGAAGACGAGGGGACGGTGAATTTAGCGAGAGTGAAGACGTCGGAGACGCCTTTCATGCGTGCATTGGCGTCAAAGCCTCCTACAAACCAGGCTCATTGTCAGTTCGTGTGTCGATAAAGTGCAGAGAAGAGACCGGGGAGGGGGGCAAACCTTCGAGAAGGCCAAGTTTGCGTTCGTAGAACCCGTCAGGACGTTGATTCCAGGCATGATAGGACCGATTGAATCGTTCCAAGAAAGAGAGAACAGGAGGTTCCGAGGTCATGAAGATCAGGCGAGAGGAGGGGTGTGGCTCGGATCTTGTTGCCGGAGAATTTAGAGTTGCGCTTGTAACGACGACATCATCGAGGACCATCATGATCCATGAACGGGAAGAGAAAAGTGAAGGACATCATTTTGAAAAGAAAATCGAACAAAATGCAATTGAGCTCTTTGACATTCATGGTCAACAGATCACCCGACCTGCGCCCCAGCCGGTGCTAAGATAAGCTTAACCGATCCGACATCGTCATATCAAACCTGAACACCAAACACCAACAGGCTGGTCCATTCGTTTTATCCCAATGCCGCGACCAGTTCTTATTCTCGGCACAATCGTTCACTCCCTTTCCTTGACCAGCCTCGAAATCCTCGAAAATGCCGCAATGGCCGTCGACGCAACCGGCCGAATCGCGTTCCTCGAGCGAGATCTCGCAGAAGAGGAGGTCATGACACGATGGGAAGCCCTTCAAGGTGCTGACATGAATGGAGAAGTTGTCCGCTTGAGAGGAGATCAATACCTATTCCCTGGATTCATCGATACGCACATCGTAAGCTCCGCTCTCCTCCGCCAACTCGGATGGATGCTAATGTCCACTGACAGCACGCCCCGCAATATCCAAATGCGGGAATAGGACTCGATCTCCCCCTTCTCGACTGGCTAAATAAATACACCTTTCCGACCGAATCCAAGTTCAGCTCCCAAGACTTCGCTCGCACCATCTATCCCCTCATCGTCCGCGCTACTCTCTGCAACGGGACCACAACAGCAGCATATTACGCCACTATCCACCGTGAAGCTACCAGAGTACTGGCGGAAGTGTGTCAGGAGATGGGACAAAGATCTTTCGTGGGCAAGGTTTGCATGGATGCAAATTCGCCAGATTACTACATCGAGGCATCGGCAGAACAGTCTCTGGCCGACACCAGAGCCGCCATCCAAGACATCCGGTCCCTCGACCCGGAGGGAGTATTGGTACGACCAATCATCACTCCACGCTTCGCGCCCTCATGTACACCCTCCCTCCTCTCCTCCCTTGGCCAACTCTCACTCGAGGAGAACTTGCGGGTACAAACTCACATGTCTGAAAACACCTCCGAACTGGACCTCGTCCGCGATACTTTCCCTGAACAACCTGACTACGCCTCGGTTTACGACGCACACTCTCTCCTCCACGATCGCACGGTTTTGGCACATTGCATCCATTTGAGTCAACGTGAGATCGATTTGATGAAGGCCAGAAGATCGGGAGTGGCGCATTGTCCAACATCGAATTGTGCGTTGGGGAGTGGTATGTGTCAGGTACGACGACTATTGGATGCGGGCATCGAGGTTGGATTGGGGACAGATGTTAGTGGCGGATACTCGGTCTCCATCCTCTCGACAATCCGAGACGCAACTTCCGTCTCCAGACTCGCAGGATTCGTAAACGACGATCGTAAGGATCAGTTGTCATTGTCGGAAGTAATACATCTCGCGACCCTTGGCGGAGCGAAAGTCCTTTCCATCGAAGAGGAAACAGGAAATTTCATCCCTGGAAAATGGTTCGACGCACTACTTGTTGACCTTTCTCCTTCCTCCCGTAGCAACGTCCAGATATTCGACGATGAGGATACAGCGACGAGACTTTCAAAATGGGTGTTCTGTGGGGATGATCGGAATTTGGGGAGGGTGTGGGTTGGGGGGAGGAGTGTTGTGAAAGGTGGGGAGGTGGAGGTGGAGGTGGGGATTACTGGTGGAGAGAAGAAGAGCAAGGAAGTGGTCAATGGGATCTAGATGAAGGGGAGGGTAGGACCAGGGAATGGGCCTTAAGGCGGATACCAACGATACCATACATATATACATACATGAGAAATGAGTTTGGACAGGGACGCGCGAATGAAGTCGAAGTGAGGTTCAATGTCTGGCGGTGAGTTTTGGCTGGGGTCGCGCGGGGGTGCCGGATTTACCCTAAGAACACAAAGCGACGACTTGAAACGCAGAACGGGTCGATGCACTCTTTGACGTATAAATAGTAGAAAAGAACGTTACGTATTGCAAAACCTTCGGGGTCCTCCACCACTATTTCCAGCGATACTGAGTGCGATGAACGCCTTCCGCAACTGTCTTGCTCGACCTTGGTACGTTCGCACCCTTCGTGCTCTTCCGACCTGCTTTGCTGACCGATTTCATCATCAAGAACTTTCCTCTTCTCCGCCTTCTTCTTCAGCCTCGACTTGTACCGCCTGGTTTCTTTCCATTGCTTGAGATGCAGAATGTGATACGCCAAATTTTGTTCTCGGAAACCACTTCCAGCGGACACAATCGACCTTGAACTTCTTCTTCGGCATCTTCCATCGACCAAAGGTGCGTTGTTTATGAGGAATGTATCCACGCACAAAATTATCTGCCTTCATGGCGAGCGATATTTCGGCCTTTCGTTGCGCTTTAAACTCACGATGCTGACCTTTCGAAACTTATCGTTCGGTTTCTTTGCCACAAGGTCTTTTATACCGTGTTTTTCCAGGGATTTCTTCTCCAGATGTCGTTCTTGTCTTGCCGCTGACTTTCTTGAGAAATTTAGGCGACGATCGTCGGAAGGGTGATACGTTTTTTCAACCTTAGCAGGTCATCCGATCGAGTGGCGGAAGGAAACCAGCATTCCTGCGGGCCACATCTCTCTTCTTTAACTTTGCTAAATGACGTTTGAAGAAGGCCATGCCGGAACTCGGGATTGGCAGTATCGTTTGAGGCAATGGCCCGATTGCGTGGCGTGAACGGCGACGGTAATACTACGGCATGAAGTTAGCGACCTAATCCGCATGGAAGAATTACGACAATACCTACTTGGACGCTTTTACTGATTGTATCAATTGCTTTCTAGTCGCTGTTACAGTCGTTTGCACTGTGTGATGCCTGGTGGAAGCGACTTGGGCCACCTTGCATCGAGGTGCTGAAGCCTGGGAAAAAAAACTTTCGTCTGGGAAATCGCCGTAATTTCCCCGTGAAAAAGAAAAGAAAAAGCACAATTAGGTGATCGTTATCCTTGACATCGACACTGACTCACTTTTTCAGCATATTTTCGCGGTGATGGCTCGAGCACGCCCTTTGGAAACATTTTACCACCACACACTCACTTGATACCAATAAGATTCAGGAAGCTCTAATGAGTCTTTTAGGGATCAGGAAACACTTCGGCACTACAAAAATTCCACGAGAAACTCAGGCCCTGTATAACCTGCATCATTGTTACTGCACGAGGTGCAAGCCAACCGGTTCATTCCCGCTGTCTGCCTGAGGGCAGACATATCGAAGGTGCAGACGCACAACAGCCTTGGACCACATGATCGGCTCAGTGAAAATTTCATAAGATCCCACCGAAGTCTCTATCGCCCCGGACTTTACCTTTTATCAACATCACCGCTGGAATGCACGTAAATCCGAATGAAAGACATTGCCCTTCGTGCGGTGTCCGGTTCTGCAGCGCGAATGGTCTAAGTGTCAACCACGAGTATGCTTCCATTTTTTTCGTTCCAAACATCCGATGATCCAAGTTGCTAATACCTTATTCCAGATTGAGTGTGTACAAATGTCTGTCGTGCGACAACGATGTCCCGCCCCAAGTCGCACTCACGGCAGAACAACACAGAGTTACCACGACGCCGAAATCGAAAGCAATGGATCTGTTGACCCACTTGGACGGTTATACGCCGTATGATGATGACGTGCCCGTTCCGCGGTTTACGCCCAGACCCCCGAGGAAGAGTCGAGGCAACATTGTCCCCAATGTTGATGATACAGCCAAACTATCAGGTTCCCAGCTTCGTATTCTAGCCAAAAGGAGCGAACAGGGTAGGAAGAATCGTGGTAAAGGGGGGAAACCTTCCACATTGGGCTTGACGGAGCCTATGAAAAGGTTCGGGTTCAAGGGCCAGGATGGTGTGTAGGATAGAATGTGTTTCTTTTTTCGCTTTCGACTGTTTTCGATGGATGTATCTCAATTGAGATATATAAATCGCTCGCTATGACTGTTACGCCAAGTAAGATATCAACATCCACTGGTTGTTGGAGACAGCTCTGCGTTCTAAACGTACAACCAAACTCACACGTCTAAAAACACGGTTCTACACGCTGCCAACCACAGCTGAAGATTGTTAAATCACTCTGCAGTTGTCCTGATTACTCCAGTGCACGGGTAGAAGAACCAAGAATCGACATTGTCGATCATGAGACTGTTCTGGTGAATGGCGCAACGGTGACGCTCGTCCCACAGCTCCAGGTCTCGAGACCTCCGTTCCACTCATCCGCCGAGCGGGGTTGATGAGTCATACGTCAAGAGCCCAGCGTGCCACGTCAGCATAAAAAATCACCGCCCCCCCCACCTTCACGTAGTTCTCCCAGACACTACAATGCCCAACGATATCCAACGTGCGGGTATTGGTACCATTGAAAGGCAACATCCTTCATCAGATTTTCCTGTCGAAAACCCCCCGACGCCTGGCAGGAGAGACGAACCGTCACCGCCCTGGACTTAAGCACCTGGTTATTGCGATGAGTCACGGGGAGCCGTGAGGGTAAACGCTTAGGTATTGCTGGTGATAACTTATTGACGTTCGGTATAAACGCTTTACAGGATCGGGAGCCAACACCGCTGCGGGGAAGAGACAAAAGGAAACCTGACAGTAATGAAGGGTGGAGTGGTACCATTTTACATGACGACAATGATATTCATGAAGAAGGTCGTCAGTAAGGAAACTGCTTACTACAGTCATGCGAAGCATGGCGACGAAGGTGATACTTCTGAACCATGGCATTCCGGGGGGCTCATCATTCGCATAAGTGCAATGCGAGTGATCTTGATTTGGCAAATATCATCTGGGCTGTTGACCAAGGCAAGAGACTTACAAGCGCTATGTGTTCTTTTACGGGAACACGGGGGATCTCGTTGCACTTCTAGATGACGGCAGGGGAACCTGCCGGCTTCTTCGTTTCTCATTCACTATCATCCCTAAGAGTCCCCATGAGCTTTTCGAGAGAGGCTTGTGGTATTCGCTGTGATGTTCGCTGAGCGATTACTCTCTTTTGCATCTCTCTCTCTCCTTTGAGTGTTGGTTGCTTTATCGGAGCAGCCGGGGCACAAAGTTGACGGAGATGATTCTAAGTCTTCACGCTGCCTCGAATGACTTGTTTAGTGAGTAGTATGCTGTTAGGGCACTTACACACGTAGAATCAGTTCGGGTGGAGCTACGCAAAATCGATGGCGTACTGGAGGTACTGGCCTTACACGCCGTTATCCCATTGTCCGCCGACTTTGTTGGTTCACCGCCCGCCGTGCAGGTCCAACTCCATGTCGATGGACGGCTGCAACACATCTCCGGACTATATTTGCAGCTTCAAAGTCTTACGTCCATCCTATTAGGTCTCATCAACATTGATGCCATAAACCGCGCCTGGTGAGAACAAAGGAACGCAACACCGCGAAAACTAGGGAACATCCTCAGGCGTTACAAACGAGCCGTTGCATACCCTTTGTATGTTTCAGAGTACAACCTGATGTCATTCAGCAATCGCAACTGTGGGGACGCGGGCTACGTTAGTCGAGGGTGATTGGTTTGTTCGTGGCCGTGGGCCGTACACGCGAGAGCTCCGGCATGATCACGCAATGAGTCCTGGATGAGTACCGAGAGCAATAAGCTTTCAAACAGTCCTTCTTGAATGTTCCTTGGAGAGGCTATGAAGTCTGGGACGATGACGCGAACCTGATCAGGGAACTTACGACCGATCATATCACACGGACGTAGCTCGAGACTGAGTGGTGCAGGCGATGGGGTAAGTCAGGATGCATTATACACATTACGGTCTTCTGGGTGTTCTGACAATGTCTGCAGCTCATACACATCATATCATCGCCAATGATGTTATTACGTGACCCTTTACATACTCCCAGATAAGTCCAAGTCGTTCATGGCTACACTAATCAAGACGTTCGACAACTATATCCCACGACGTATCGATTGCATACCCCAGTATCTGTCACACCAATTGGTGACAATGCAAGAAAACCACAGTCGAAGAATGGTCGCTGAGCATTTCAGTGCAGAAGCCATCATGATGTTGGGAATCGCAGGTGGTCTGAGTGATTGAATGGATGATTCGTGTGGGAAGCAGGACGAGAACGGCATACGATAAGGTGAAAACTCATGCTGCTCGTTCGAGAATGGATGGAATGTGAAAATACCGAGTATGGTGTCGGAGTGAGAACAGTAGCTGAGCATGGAAGTCTGTATGTTGTTGCGGTTATACGTACTGGTACGGACCATACGGACGGGAAGAGCGAGACGTTATACCAGTACGATCACGCAGTTTACGATGTCTGACATGGTTGATGACGGTTCTCGGATTTCTATGGTTTCTCGTATGTCTGAATAGGTCGATGCAACATTGATACCCATCGACATTGTAGGAGCAAATCAACACCCCGAAGTCGCGACAATGTTGCTAGGACAGACGCTAGCTATAGTCGATGGTAGGAAGAAATACTGAGAAGGACTTCACTGGGCTTTCTTCTCGCTACCATACATACGTATACAGTGACGCAACGTCAACTGCGCAGCCCGGCTCCTACCTACCGGTCTCGAGACCCAGTCATAGATTCTAGTTCCATCACAGGCTGGGTGGGAGTCAATATATATATACTGCTGTGTTGTCGGCGCGCGTTTTACCGCCTACCTGTACGGGGATAGTTTCATGAACCCCGCGATCTTCATAGACAAAGGCTTGGGAGGGCGTTAACCCTAAGGAATCGATAGAAGTCCTCTAAACGCGTGTGGTACCATTTCTCATAGAGTTGTGACATTATGAAAGATTTCGGCATGGGTGCATGATATTGCATGAATGTGCATGAAATCATCGAAAACACTCTCTGGATCCACAAACCTCAAAGACTGTTGGAATCAAGAAAAACACCTGCACAACATGTTCATCTAAGCTCTTTCTATCTCATGGTACCCGGAGCTGCATCCCTAACGGCTTTCAGGGTGCGTTTCTTTCTTACACTGAAAACACCTTTTCAGCATGATGAAGCGACTGAGGGAGGCCTTGTAGCCCAAACCGGCACGACGTGATTGCTAAGGATAGGCGTGATCAGGTTGAACCCTTAATCGACTTCTGAGGCCTTTATCTATGTTGTTTTAGGGATTTTTATCAGGTGGAGTTTGCGATTCGCACGCACATGGGAAAGTTTCGTGAAGAATTTCGCACACAGCAGTAAGGAGGGAAAGCCGCGCAATTGCCGCGATGGAAGCCGTGATCAGCTCAAGGAAGTCGTTTTCCAAGACCCATCAGACAGTATATCGCTATTCATCTATACCTCTCTCGCCATCAGGGCCAGTGTTACGACACCTGAGGATCCGAGTAAAAGGACTTGCCCTTTATGCGTTATCACATTCTGCGAGGGGAACGGCTTGAATGTGGACATCAAGTATGCTTCTAATCCTTACCGTGATTTGAATCAAATCGCCCATCGATTGTTTCAGACAGGACACTGGCGGGCCTCATGAACGTATACTGAGTGGACTATCGTATTTGCAGTGATGCTTCGCTGGGCGAGTACCCTCTCTTTCTTTTTCGAATATTGGTTGCTCCTTGAAGCAAGTGAGGCGCAAAGAAGAAGAGAAGGTTTTAAAGGTTGACATACAGTGGCAAATCGTTATATAGATAAGATAATGGGCGATGGTGAAGCAATAGGATTGACTATCAAACGGCGTACCGCGTTCACATCGCCCTTGATTCTGCAACGCCTGCGCGGGTGTGTAAATTCAGTTTCAAAATCCCTTGGAAGGTGTCGAAAGATATACTTGGACTTGATCTTCATCTTCAACGTCTCACGTAAGCTGTAGATGTGTTACCGTAGAGACGCGCAGGCCCGGGTGGCAACAAAGGAGCGCTACACCGCAGTCAAGGCGACAACGGTAGAATGGTGCAGTGGAACCTATGAGAGGTCTTCCTTTGTACGTCTGGCAGTGAGATGCTATGCCATTAAAGATTTGAGAAGCTGCTGGCTCCAAAGGGTTGGACCGATACTGCACACTGGGCGTGCCATCATGATTCATCCGTCGTTGCAGCGGGCTGTCGGTAGTACATCGAAGTCCGTACTTCTGTGAACATTGGATCCTTCGGAAGGTAATCAAGAAGTGCACTACGACACATACTCGTCATTTAGTTCCAACGATCAGGTTAACACAAGGTACGAAACATTCCTTTCCGATTCTTCTAGATGAGCCTTCCCGTCAGGAGGGCAGACACAACTAAAAGAAAAAGAGAGGCAAACGGCTCAGTTCAAACATCATCACCGTTTTTGAATTCAGCATCCCTTTGAGCCCCCATGATTCCCGATCCCACAGTTATTTGTATCCCTTTGAGCCCCCATGATTCCCGATCCCGCAGTTATTTGTATCCCTTTGCGACTCCATGATTCCCGATCCCACAGTTATTTGTATCCCTTTGAGCCCCCATGATTCCGGATCCCACAGTTATTTGTATGTTTCTCAGATGGCATTCTCAGTTTCAAGGAACTCTCAGCATACATCGGACCAAACAGTTTCGCAAGCCAGCTCCCCGCGCGCGAAAGCTTTAGGCACCCAACCCCCAGGTTGAAACAAGAAGAAATAAAGTGGCTTCAGGGTCACTGCCTCGATCAAATAGCATGGTGCATAGCGGGGGAAAGAGACTCGGCCTATCCAGCGACGTCTAATTCTTCTGTGAAGTTTCTGTCTTCCGCCTGTGACAGCGTTCAATGACGAGACGAGAAGACTGTCACTGAACGGTATCGCAAGGCGCCTGGCTAGTTCTAAACGCAAGGATAATTGCCAACCATGTTGAAGGCTGACGCACCGTGCACCTGCGTACGGCGGGGCATCTTCTTGAGCGTTTGTGGAAGTCGACTTGGTACAGTTGTTTGTGGTTTTTGTCAAGGGCAGGGAGGGCGCGGCCAAGGTTTTATAGAAAACAGGAGTGGCGAATCAGGCGCAGCAACCCTAGTGGCGACGAAATAAGTTTTGTGCGTGCGTCGGGGTAAACCCTGCCCTACAGGTTTCGGGTAACAACCCTAGTTCCAGACGTTTCCGCCTGATTATTCCAGGTAAGAGACCCCTTGAACATCAATTGAAAGATGATTACTCTATCAAATCTTTTTCACAATCGGTCTCCATTGATTGAGTTGTTCGTACTGTCTGCTCTTGAGATTTTTCTACGTATATCAGATTACGTAATGGGCAAGGGAGGGTATAAACGAATGTAGAACAACTTTGATTGAAACGAACGGCAAAATGAACTACGATCCCCCAAACTTCAAAGCCATATGCTTTCCACTTAACTTGATCGCACTAGATCCTAGTAAAGCACCAGATTGCTACCCCAACTCAATGGTCAGCCTCAGGTTGTTCAATTGCTGCCTTGCTAATCAATGCAGCAGTCAGGCGGGACCTCACAACGGTCTTCTCCTTCTTCTTAGCAGGGCCACCCTGACCTCCTTCAGCGGCTTCCTGCTCGCGTTTCCTTTTGCGGTTCTTCAAGTAGGCGATCTTTTTTTCAATGCGAGTAAAGGTAAAGGGCTTCTTCTCGGTAATCCTCCTTCAAACTGTCAAACTCCGCCGAGGTTACCACTTCCGCATCTACGAAAAGGGACTTCGCCTTCTCAAACGGCACCAAGTAGTCAGCCAGTTCCTTATTGGACGCGGGAAGAACGGCATCGACGTGCCTCAATGTTTCGGGGTCCAAGGCGTAGATGGACTCCGCGGGGCGGATGATCGCTGTGAATGACTCATCATCTTCATTGTTGGGGTCATTCACCCTCATAACACGCTGGAAACCTTTGTCGTCCAGGGGCCGCGCGTGAGACGCGAAAGTCGAACTCATGTTTCCCACTGGCGCGGTGGTTGCAAACCCCGACTCAACTGCCCTCTCATGGAGATGCTTAGCCAAAGTCTGCCTGGCCGCGGCAGTTTGCTCCTCATTATCCTCTCCTTCATTCTCATCCTCATCTTCATCCTCGTCCTTCGAACGCCCCCTGATAGTGGAAGTGCTGGAAGTATCGGAAGAGGAGTCATCCTCATCGCCCGTGTGGTAGTAGCTTTCATGTACAGACGGGGTCCCCGGATCCTCGTACGCAACTTCCTTCCTCTTGCGCACAAACCAAGGCTGCGGATCAATGTTCCCCTTGAACTCATACTCAGTCAAGGCTTGCTCGGCGCTATGCTCGTCATATAGAATACCATCGGTAACGCACCAACAGCCTCCGGTCTCTTGGTGGCGGAAGAGTGTCCCAAACATCCAGTCACCCGCCCCGTTGTTGACGTCGAGTTTTGCATGGCGACGAAGTCTGAGTGACTCGTTAAGCAAACGGTGAATATCAGGATTTCCACCGGTACGAGAGATCACCTGAGGTGCTATGCGGCCGTCCTGCTCAACCGGGGTGGGACCTTCGGGGGCTGCGGGTGCAGCGGGGGAGTCTGCCCTCACAAAACAGACAATGTTCCGCGTGTCAAGAGCTTTTGTCCTTTTAAGGCCTCCTGGCCTTTCGTAACAGGGCAAGCAGCATATGAGATTCTGACCGTGGTGACTGTAGTACCATAAGGGATTAGCTTCTCTTCACACAAAAAAGGGTTTGGGTGTACAGTACATGTAACGGTAAACGGTTTCGTGCCACTGAAAATGGCGAGAAGCGTGGCAGCGGATGCACTTGTACTCACCATGAATGGGGTAAGAGTATCCATCCTCGCCTTCGATCAGCTCACAGATCCAACCTCGTTGCATCTTTGCGTTGGCGTTCGGTGCTGTTGGGACTCGAAGGCACGTAGGGAAGTGGTAACTCGTGATAAGGCGGACGTTTCAATGACGGTCAACGGAAACTTCTTCCAAGATCTGGGAGGCAAATTTTGCGCTGCACAGCCTTGGCAGGAAACTTTGACGCGGCCCGGTTTGGCGCGGCCCGGTCGCCCTAGGGGTATAAGGGAATGCGCAAGTGCTTACGTCCTCTCAGAGTGAGCTTTCCCCAACTGCAACGCTACCAAATTTCCAAAGACCTATGGCCAAAAGCAAGCGCGAAAAGAGCCTCAAGAAGAGGGACATCTCCCGTCGCAGCATCGGTATTCTTCCCCCCGCTTCGCGCCTACGCAAGTATGGGTGGCATGACTTGGATCCTAGTCATGACGACAGGCCAGAACTTAGGATGCTTATGGGGATGCCGCCGAAACAGGCACTGGGGGACTCGAAGATCCCGTCAGCAAAAAGGCTGATCACGACAAGCGCAAAAAAATCCAGCGGGACTTCCGACGTGACACCAATCGCAAATTCCGTGAGGGCTACAACGATAATTTGGGGATCTTCTTGGCTGGCAAGATTCCAACCGAAAACAGAGTGAAGGCTGCAAACTCCCCAGCTCGCACCGATTGCGAAGATGACCCGATGAGCGACTCGACGCGCGTGGGGGTGCCGTTGCCTGCAAAGACTCTGAAGATGAGAGAAAAGATTTCCAAGAAGCGGATTCGTAGGGCTGAGCTTGCGAAGTGGAAGAAGAAGCACAAGAAGGTTCTGGAGGGAAAGACGAGGTTTGAGAAGATACCGATCGAAGGATATCCAGGAAAGTATCGGATCCACACCAGGTGGGGCGGCCCATAAGGGACAGCTCTTGAGTGATCCATTGTATCTTAGCTTTCAATAAGAACTGCAAATTACTTGAACACATTCGAACTCTGCCACTGTAGACCGGAAGACCCTTTGTCCAAGACGTCTGCTTGCGAACCGCGTCGTATTCTCGGTGCCTTCACCGGGAAGTAACTTCGGGTACATCCCGAAATGAAGCATGGTACCTGCGACGATACACACGAAAGCCATTTGTTGGAAACAAAGCAAAATCAGAGCGAAGTTGTCCATTCAGATGGCCACGAACAGGGCGGGAAGGATCAGCGATGCTCCATGGCTTCCTTATCGGTGCACAACGCCTACAACGCAAAGTCAGGTATGTTTTCCAAGTATGCAAGACCTTTTTCTAATCGTCTTACAAGTCATTGGAATATGCTTCGCCATACTACTCGCCATCGTCTTGTTCGTTGAGGCACCTGTTGGAAGGACGTCCTGACTAGTGCCGGGCTCTTTTCGCCTGCCGCGCTGCGAACCTCCGCTCTCCCCAACGATCCTTCGCCTCCCTCCGAACATCCTGGGTTCATCGTGGAAGTGTTGGACGTCGTCGGCAGTGGACAGGGATGTCGGGCGTCACTCGCGGCAGCTGTACAGCGGTGGGGTAACGGTTGTCGGTGCACTATCGCCGGTGCTCGAGCCTCGACGCTGCCTACGAGACAATACTTGCTGACCTTGCCTCACGACGGCTTCACGCGCTTTGACGGCGGATCTGGTTGCCAGGATGTTCCCGTTGGCTGCTCCTATCTCGACCGTTATTGGGCTTTGTCTGCCAAGCGCTCTCTGAGCGAAATTGATCTTGCGCGGGCCGTGGCATCGTCTGGCAGGAAGACACGACACAGTAAGCTTCTTTAAGCTGAGTGGATGTCTCATCTTAACGAAGCAATCTCTCGTCGTGTTTAGCGATTCTGTTCTCTTTATGCGTGGCTTCTCTTGATTGTTAACCCTTCCTTTGTTTGGAGATTTGAAACGCGTGCTCATTGTCTGCGAGAGACGCAACTGGGTGACCTCAAACGTGTCTTGGAGTCTTTCCGGAATACTGAAGCGATTGTTTAGCGTACCTCACTCGGTGACTTTGGAGTTGCCTGGCACATCGGAAAAAACGCCCGCGGTACGCTCATCAAAAATTCATGTCAACTACTCTTCGCCGCGTTCGCCTCTGTTACAATGTCAGCTATATGGAGCTTCTGTGAGCAACTAAGTCTTTCCTTCGGCACTGAGTCCTTGTCCTTCGCCTACGATGATTACCGCTGCAAACCATGCTGTGTCACTTCTCCCTGAACCATCGTGATGGTATCCACGACCCTCGGAGTCTTCTGCTGACAAGGTTTCAGCACTTTCATTGAGTTCTTCGTTCTTGAAAGAAGGAGCGGGTGAAGGGCAAGATGACGGAGAGGATGCGGAGGAGGAGGAGGAGGCGGGGATGACGGTGGATCCTGAGAGTCGGAAGTAAAATGGTCGTGGATGTCTGTTGCGCTTGGAGGAGTGTTGTACGTGTCTGGGAAACCTCTGCGATTCATGGCATATAGTTTCCCGCGGTGTTATGGCGGAATTGTCTACATCGTCTCGCGGGTCAATCAATGCGTGGTGATGGTGGATGATGAGGATAGGACAGGACAGGATAGCATGAGCAAAAGGAAAACGAATGGGCTTTGGGTTGATGATATTGTATGCAACGAAGTAGAGATATATCTCATAAAAGACAAAAGCATCACCGTAAAACACCAAAACAGCCGTCTCACTCCTCGTTCCTCCCAGTACGCGCGATCGCTTTCTTCCATTGATTTAGCTGCTTCCTCTTCCTCGCCAGCAGAGATCCCCCGGTCAAGGGTTCGAAGGGGTGATATTCACCGACGGGGGCAGAACACTTCTCCGGGGGATCGTTATCCCTTGCCTCCATCTCGGCCCTCAGGATGGCCGCTCGTTGCTTCTGCTGGCGGCGCCATTGCACGTGAGCTGCCTTCCTTGCGGCCTGGTCAGCCTTACGCTCTTTGGCCTGGCGTAAGCGGTCTTCAGCAACGCGAGGTCGACCTTGTGCTCCCTTTGCTGCCTCGATCCTCTCCCTGTTCTGATGGTCCAACTCTGATTCCGTGAGATCGTTTGCCGGGTTGAGGTCCCTCCAACCGTAACGCAGCATCCTCTCGCGAGGCGGGAGGTAGCCTTGCCAACGCTTGACGATGTCGGCCTTCATCAGACGCTGATTATGACGGTTCTTTTTACCTCCCATACTGACGATTCGTTCTTGATACTCGGCGTCCTCCAATACTTGGTTGGATAGCGTAGTACCTAGGGTGGCTGCTTTCATCGGAAAGTACGTCCAGGTAGAAGGACCTTGGCCTCCACCGCCTTAGACGGAGATAGGTGTACGGTCAGCCGGTCCATTTCAACGCTGCTATGGAGCATACAGCGCGGCATTCGACGCTGATCATTGGAAAGGTGCGATAGGAAGCTTACGGATGGGGACGGACGGGAATGCGCATTGAGCACGAAGCCCAGCTTAAGTGGCCCTAAACCGCAAAATCTTGGCCAATGTCAAGCGGGGGTTTCCTCGCAATCCTTGGCTCCCCAGAATCATTGAGACCAAAGCCGCCGCCGTCCATTGTTCGTTGCAACTGCGAATCGCACCCACAGCCAAACCAAGAACAGATTTCTCTAAGGTGGACAATATGTCCAATGATCAGCATCTCCCGGTACTGATCACCATGACCAGTTACCAGTGCACGGTCTGTAACCGCAAACGTTTTCTCAACCCGGGTGCCCAGGTTTATATCTCCAGGTACGCAACAACCTCAATAACGATCGATTGCTTGCCGAGGGAAGCTGACATTGCTGTCGCTACAGAACAACCCCCGACCGACGCAACCACATACGATACGTCTGTGGAGGCTGCTACCACGGCAGGTTGTTGCCCTGCAAGCGACCCATCTACCAGAGGGTCAGCCTTCGTCAGGGCCCCATCGAGGCCCCTCCCGTTGTGACTACCGCGACCACCACTACACCGCCTTCCCCGGTCCAGGCTGTCCAAGCGGCCCCTTCACAGCCTCCCCCGGTTCGGGCTGGCCTACCACCCCCACTCCCTCCTACACCTGCAATCGCCCCTCTTGCTCCTGTCAAGAGGAGTTACAGAGAGGTGTTTGACGTCGATGACTCCAGCAGGGAGCAGAGTCCCGAGCGTCGTCCACTTGCCTCTCCGCCGGCGAAGAAAAACACAGCGCCGACTGAACATGGGCTCGCTCCGTCGTCCCTGTGGACGCCTACATCCAACAGCATAGTGTCGACATTAGCGGCACGTCCGTCCTCGTGGCACCAGATTGGGACGGGCCCTTCTGCGATGTTCGACACCTCTTTCCTCTCTTTTATCACACCCGGATCCAAGAATTGTAGTGAGACCGGACCAGACGCTCTTTCCGGGAGGAACAAGATGTTGCTGGCGACGTGGGATAAGGATGTCAAGGCCAGAAGGCAGAAGGCCGATGAGCTGGACAAGCTGTTGAAAAGGGATGTTGCTGAAGCTAGCCACTCCTCGACCATCTCGGGGATCAAGACCGCGGCTGAACCCAACAAGCGAGTGATCATCGACCTTAAGGTCGAGGAGATGACGCCCAACCCAGATCGCATGGAGGCGATCACGGAAGGAGATGAGGATGTGAAGTCCCGTAGTTAAGATAAAAATCAGTAGGGCAGGTTCCATCATTGTTTGAGGTTACGAAGATGCACGATAGCAGCGAGAGGTTCTGGATTGGTTCATATTGCGTTTTTGTTTTTGTTTGTTTCAGGGATGGGTAATTGTCTTCAGTGAATATATATTACGTTCAAAAGAATGTCCCATTGTCTCCCGCTCTACTCTCTTCCTGCGGGTTCTACTTGACAGACAGGCGACAGACCGAACGATGGAAAGCAGGACCGTGGGAACTAACAGTGTGTATAGCTGAGGACTGCCATTCTCAAAGCTTTGCAATAGTGGAAATGGTAGTGCTAGGCCCAACAGCGTCGTCCATGTCGTATTGGCTTACCCCGCGCTGACAGAAGGTTTAGCAGGCCTCATGATCATGCCAAGGCTATTGGGATACCTCTATAGTGTCTTTCTACATTGGGAAGTGCCGGAGGTGGAGTAGACCGATAGTATTCCACCATATGCATCAAAAGTCAAATACCCACGTTGGCGAGCAGTTTGTGCGATTACGTAGTAACCCCTACATGCCAGCCGCTGTCTCAGAGGGAATACGAAGAAACGATACGGTTTGCCCCACAGAAGCAAGGCTTGATGAATTATGCAATCCTGCAACGCCTGAGTATCTGGTCCATTCCTGGATGGGTGATCATGGGGCCTACTTAGCGTTGAATAAAACCGGCGGGGTTTGGAAACGATAAGCCGACCTCTTTCCTGGCCGTGGATGCTTGCCATCGTGACCCGCCACGGTCTTGGCATGTCGCTCCCGTATGGAGGCTCATGGGATCGAACAGCCAGAGTCAAAAACAGCTTACGTAATGCTCAAGAAGCCTGCCTTGGCATCACAGACATGCCCCGCCCGCAAACCCGGGCCGGACCATGGAGCAAAACGCTTTTGGGCAAAAGATGGGAGGCCAAGATAGGAAAGGAGGAGCAGGCAGCTTTATTGGTGCGTGACCATTACGTATCCCCATGACCATGTTATGAACATGACCTATCGACGTCAGCGGCTTTCCCACCACTATATGAACCTCGCCCTCCCACTCCATTATTTTCTTCTCCTCAGCGAACGCAGCCTCTGTCGCACTCTGGGAGCTGCAGTGCACACTGGTTGGGTCCAAGGAGAAAGGAAGGAGTACCCTCGAGGCACGGGATAGAGACGACGATAACTGGCAATGCCGACACCGTAGTATCTCCTCTCGTGCAGGACAATGGGCGGTACCACCTTGGACTCAAAGAAGTTTGAAGGGTGCATCATGCTGTTTTCGGTCATTGGGACGTTGATGTCTGAGGTCGAGCGAAGCTTGCGTTTGCCCGTTCCATTGCACAGTGGGATTGTTCCTGTCCGGGGGGCCCATGCTTCGGCGTCACCAACTGGTAGGATGGCTCGAGGAGTCAAGGAAGGGTACTTCATGTACCACCTCGAGTGTCGCTTGCGCAGGTTAGCCTTCGGAGGGTGTTCGCGTCCCTGGGTGTGGTGGGTGGTGGTTGTGGGTGGTGGTTGTGGATGGTGGTAGGGTAGTAGGGTGGTAGTAGGGTAGGGCAGAGTCGGGAGGGGGGGAGGGACGTACGGGAGGAGGGATGGTTGGGTTGGGTGCTTGGCAGAGGGTTAGGTGTTTGGTTCCGGTGTTTGGTGAAGGGGAGAAGGCATGGTTGGGTTGGCATGACTTTGAGAGTTCACACAGATTGAGTGCTACCCCCGCAGTCCTACTCGGAAGACGCTTGCTGACTACACTGTTCTGCTCTCTGTCTATCGGGGGGACCCCGGCTGACCAACTCGCCATCCCTTTGGGTCCCCTCCCTCGGCCATCATCCTCGTCGTTGCTGGCCGACTTCAACAGTCACCGAGGTATGTCTCCTTCGTTGCACTCTCTTCCCATACTGACTTGCTTTCGTAGGAAACGGCCTATCCGCAAGATCATGAGGAGCAAGGAGTGGATGTAACGATGAAGTTATCAGAAGGATGGTATGTTGGTAAGTCTTCATCGCCAATCCTTGCCATGCCATGCCGGGCCACTGACGACTTCGCGCAGTGAGAGATGTGACGAGTATGGTGGTGTTGGTGAAGTCTTGTCGTCGAGGACGTGGGCTTGGAGTTAGCTCTCATACCTGTGCCGGCTGCGTCGACGGACTTTATCGTGATGTGAAATCCGAGATACGGGCCCCCCCTGTCTTCGAGGAGGGATCAGAATGATTTTGCTCTGGGGCTGGTGGGTTATGGGGGTTAGGAGATGGATAGTGTTGTACGGTACAATGTAATGCTTTTCATCAGATATGTGAAAACCCAGTTGATGGTTGTTGTGTGTTGTACTTGTGTATCGTCCATCTATGCTCTCTCCTCCCTTCTCCTTCCTCTCGAACCCTATTGTTGTGTGCGCCCTGAACGCCATGTATCGCAACGACGTCGCGGCGCCTGAAGGATATGATACACACTGAACAGGTATGGCAAGCAGTTCAGTAACTTTGTAACTTTTCGGCGGAGTCCGCCGTCACGATGCGGTATATGTGGTGCGTGCGTGGGATCCATGTAGGCTGGTTTCTACCATACGACGGAAGAGAACTTGCAGTGGCCTTCTCCTAAGCTGACAGAGGTGACTGGGTACATAACATTTGATTGAGGCTTATCATCAATGTCTATGGGGTTGTGCGTATCCTCCCTTTGTGATGCTCGCAGCTGCCATTCTTCACGTGCACGCGTGAACAGATGTCGGGCACCTCGAGTACTCGGCCACATCCGCCCTCCTCATTTCTAAGCCCAAGACCACGTAAGTCCGCCAGACAAAGGACATGCTGACCTTCGTTTTCACTCAAAAAGAACAACCTCTCCAGCCTCTATCAACGTCTGCATGGGACTAGGAATGGTTACAAGATACCAGTTTTGTGAAGCGAGTCCGGGGTCTGCGGCGCGCGGATGAAGGGGGTTTTCGATGGATGATAGGGAGGTCGGAGGAATGAAGGTAGTTCGCCTGGGCTGTACGTATCTCGAATTTCCTATGATTGAAGTTGCGGGAGAGATTCTGTGGATGGCCATGTAATGAAGACATCTGATACCTGTCGATAAGGTAATCGAAGTCCTCTCCGGCCTCGTCGCTGCTACCATGACCACTAACCCGAACACCGCATCCACGAGAGCCGATCCGAAGCAAAGATGACGTCCGTAACACAGTACAGATAGAGAACGCGGCCTGGGGGCAGGTGCACTCAGTTGCGATCAGCGCTGCCGACGGTAGTTACGTCCCCGTCGGATCACGCCACGATGTCGAACCGCCAAGTTCCCAAGCATAGTCCGGCATGAGTAAAGACGTATTGATTAGTGCCAGTATCGCATCACAGCTGACAGTTGCGACGGTTTGCTGGAGATGTCTCTAGCATCTATAGATCATGAACGGCGCGGCGCGCATGAGCCTCTTCACGTCCCACCGAAAGAAAATAAAATCCCGGGAGGGGCGTCGAACAACTGGAGACAATGAGGTGTACCAATAACCTCCCAATAAATCCGGTCACTTTCTCCATATCCTCGTTCGTCGTCCACCTAGGAGCCCCGGCACCGCGACTAATCCACTTCGAGGAAATCCATGAAGAAGAAGCGTCCCTTTGTATCGATGCTTGTTTCGGAGACGGCGAACAAGGTCAAGGCACCCCACTCCTATACGAACGTTCCTGATTGTGAATCGAAACAACGACCTCGATGCTGACAACGTTTTCGACCTTCCATGTCCGTCGCTCTCGCTCTTTCGTGGCCGTATAACCGTCGTGACAAGTTCGATCGCCCGCAGTGCATCGTGGAGCTGAATCTGAGAGCTCGAGCATCTCCTCAGCTGGTGTCCTCGTATTGTCCAAAGCGAGCGCTGACATGCAGCCTTCGATCAGCCACGACGTGGATGCTGAAACCCGCATAACGTCAAACAATGAGCTCCATGGACCGAAAGCACCCTATGCAGATAACGTTGAACGAGTACAAGTCACGTTTGGCGGTGCAAATCAGTCGAACCTCTCCATCACCTGAAGCACTCGTCCCCATAACTTGCTAAGCCATGACGCACCATCCCTCTGTCTCCGTATTGATCGACTTCATACAGTCGCAGCATCATGAGTCTCCCCTCCTCTAGAAGCGCTTCGTGTTGACACAGATTCGCCAAAGACCAGTCCATGGCGCCGATACGCTGCAGTTGTCGCCGATCCACTCTGCCTGAGGACGTCAAGTACTTCCGCACGCTCTCATGTACTCAGCGAAAATTTGGAAGGCCGGAACGTCCCCCGGTGTTATCGTCGTTTCGCGTAACATGCTGAGAGTGTTGTCAGGAAAGGGAGCCGGTGCGATGTTGGTTGACTGTAACAACGATCTGACGCTGTTGAATGACAGCTTTCGACGATGCAATCTCAACTCACCTTGCGTACGACTGACGGGAATGGAAATCTTCTACCTTGATATATGTATATTTGCCGTGATCGTCACCCACTTCGTACGTGAGACAGACAAAGAGCATAAGCATATCTGAACCGTGACGGTCGGACACTATCGTACACATTCTTAGCCTATAACAAATAAAACAACTTACGTCTCCTCCCCAATGGACTTGGGCCTGTCCTATTACGATTCCCAGACGTCACCTATCCACTCCATGATCTTGCTTTTTTTCCCTTTGGTCAACTCACGCACGTCACCCTCGGTACGTCTTCCATACCTTCTCACGTAGGCGTGAAAGGCCCCGACTCTCACTTCGACTTTAGTCTTCTTAATTTCGTCCCCGTACTCCCTCCAGGCGGTCGCAATTCGACACCTCTTATTCATCTTCATCGACGCCGGAGGAGAAAGAATGCCACGCTCGGCAGCCACGTCTTCGTTGGCCGGGGGCGAAACGAGGACAGCAGGTCGACTGGCGAAAGGGACGAGCTCGTACTTGTTCTTCTTCCCGCTCTTCAATACACGACAATGCATGGAGCACAGACGTAGCCACAAAAACTGGAGCATCCTCGATGGACCTGCAGTGAAATCAATGTCAGCTTTTAAGCAAAGGACGTTCTTGAGATTATTGCCTACATTAAAGGAAAAACATCCTCTTCTTACACGAAATATCTATTGGTCGTACAGCAAATGCAACGGAAGCCCGTGACTGGTATCTCTCTGGGCACAAAGAATTGGCGGCCGGTGTTGTTCGTAGACGGGGTTGGTTTAGATAGTTGAGGCCATAGTTTTTATGTTTGGTATGAGTTGCTCGATGGGGTTTGACAATGTCCCAGGAAACATGGCCGTGGAAGCTCTGCCTCTTCAATGATATCGTAAGTCTTCATTATCGCACATATCCACCATTTTCACGAAGTATCACCAAGATCACCGGCCGCGGCTACTAACATAACAAGCTTCCAAGCGAGCCGAAGAAGCCATTCCGTGGCCATTATGTCGGGTATACGGTTCGATCCACGAGTGGCGACTCTCTCCCCACGGTCAACCCTTCCTAATCGCAAAACTTTCACAACGAAATCGCCAAACAAGAAGGAGTGACGACCAAACCCACATACCATCTGTCTCAATACCATCACCCATACACCTCCATCTCTAACAGCCTTCTGCAACTACCTACAGCTTTAGGTGCGAGTAGCAAAGTGGTGGGTGTATCGAAAAGTCTTTCATCTGATTTTCTCGGGGGGGCGACGAGTGTGGAGTGTTTTGTCGCTTTCACGGGGTACGAGGGTGGAGTTCACGTTTTGTCGTTATGTTCGACATTCTTCGTGTGATTGGTATGCTCATGGTCCTTACAATATGCGGGGAAAGAGAGGGGAGGACGCCGTCCCCGGCACTGGTTAAACACATCGCACATTTTTCCAACAGTTATCAATATGAATAAAACACAACACATCCCCTCCAACCCCTCCGCCGACTCACTTCCCATAAACCTCAACCCCCTCCCTCAACCCCTCCCCCCCCTCCCCCAAGAACTCCTCCCTGAGTACTTCCTTCTTATTCACCTTCCCCATCTGATTCCGCTTAATCCCGCCTTCCCCACTCTCATCTGTACTCCTCACTTTCAAAACTGTCGGGAGTTTATACGGCGCGAGCTCTTTGCGTAGGACGTCGCGGAGTTGCTTAATGGTGATTGTCGGGGAGGAGGGTGGGAGGATTAAGAGAGCGGCGACACGCTGTCCCCATTCCGCGTCCGGGATGCCGACGACGGCAACCTCGCGTACCCCAACCGGCAACTCCGCTTGCAAAATCTCCCGTTCCACCTCGAGTGCGGATATCTTATACCCCCCCGATTTAATAATATCAACACTCTCCCTCCCTTGAATGAAATACGCCCCACCCCTCTCCGGGAGAGATGGAATGAGACGACGAAGCGCGATATCACCCGTTCGGAAGAAGTTGTCGGTGGTGAATTCTTTCCGTGTGGCGGAGGCGCGGCGGAAGTATTCCTTAAACACGTTCGGACCACGGATCTGTATCTCGCCTTGGACCTCGTACTCGTCATCTCGCACCACGAACTCCTCTCCGTCTCCAGCGCCGTCTTTGCGCACAAGTCGAACCTCAACACCAGGCAACGCCCACCCCACCGATCCATCTTCCCGACCCCCGGCGTCCTCAGTCGCGAGGCACGAGAGCGCCATACCAATCTCCGTCATCCCATACCTCTCCAACAAGATTTTCCCACCACTGAGTTCGTACCATGCTTTTTTGGTGGGGGTCGGAAGTGCGGCAGACCCGGAGATCATGAGTCGGAAAGAGGCGCAGGCTGCTTTCGTGTCCAGGTCGGGGTGGGCTTGATGGGCGTGCGTGATGAGGCGTGTATAAATCGTAGGGACGGCCATGAAGAGCGTGAGTTTAGGTTTAGACTGATCGGACCACCGCAACCATAAGGACTCGGGCGAGGGAGCGCCGAATTCGACACATCCACCGGCCCAGAGGACACACCCCAACGCATTCACGACGCCGTGGATATGGTGCAACGGTAACACGTGGAGAATCCGGTCGGAGGGGGTGTAGGACCATGCGTGGACGAGAGAGGTTATTTGAGATTGGATTGTGGCGTGGGTTGAGACGCCGCCTTTTGGGGAGCCTGTTGTGCCGGAGGTGTAGATTATCATCGCGCGTTGGTTCTCATCGATTCTTTCGTCCTCCTCGATTGTGACGGCGGAGACTGAGGAGGTGGGAGTAAAGGTTGGGGTGATGAGGAGTGCGCGGTCTTTGAACTCCTCATCGTCCAGGACTTCACGGATTTTGGACTCGAAGAGCGGAGAAGCGACGACGAGTCCAGCCGCTGAATCCCGAAGCGTATACCTCATCTCCTTCACCGGATGCGCAGTACACAACGGCACAGCAATCCCGCCCACGCTCCAAATCGCCCATTGCACGACGACATACACATACGCACTCTCGCACAAATACGCGATCCTTGGTTCCTCATCGCCGTGATCAAATGATCCAGAAAGAGAGGAGAGGGAGGAGATGAGTTGGCGGCGGAAGGAGGCGACGGAGGAGAGGAGGTTGGAGTAGGTGAAGGTTGTGCCGTCACGGTGGGCGATTGCGGCGGAGGTCGGAGAGTGCGATGCGGCGCGGTGGAAGAGGGGGAGGGAGGGGAGGGTGAGGAGTGGCATATCGGTTGATGCTGCCATTGCAATGTGAGCTCGAGGACTGGTGGTGAGTTTGATCGGTTTGATCCGGGATGGCCGTGTGGGGGGGGGTGGTGGGGTAACCGTGCAGTTCACGTGCACGCAGGCAATTGCGGGTGCGCTTAGCCGACGACGTTCGACGTTGTTGTTATTGTTGATAGGATAGGAAGAAGAAATCACAACGTCGACAAACCAGCGTTGGTATGGAGCGTTCATCACCAACCTCCGGATCCGAAGACTGCACAATCTGCCTCCAGCCCATTGACCCCACAACCCGCGCCCTCGTCTCACACTGCTACCACACCTTCGACCTCATCTGCCTCCAACAATGGCTCAATATCAGTCGTCGGTGTCCGTTGTGTAACGGAAACGTTTCTTATATCCTTCATGCCATCACAGATGAGGGATCGTACGAGAAGATCGTTGTGCCGTCCTTGGCGGAGAAGACAGGCAAGGGTCTGGGGTTGGAGGCGAGAGCATGGATGCGGGATAGATTTGCCCAGGGACGGAATCGGGTGAGGTCGAGGAGATGGATGGAGAGGAGGGTAAATGAACAAGCGATGAGTACCTCACCTCTCTCCCCCTCCGCCATCGCTCGTCGCGCCTTCGTCTATACACACCACCTCCGCTCCGCCCACATCGCCTCGAACCCGCACACCCGATTCCGTCCCGACGCAGATATCACGACCGAGAAGTTCCGCGGGTCGAGTGAGATGCAGAATCGTGCCAGAGTATTCTTGCGGAGAGAGGTTCTCGCGTTTGGGTTTTGGAGAACGCGCGCGGGCGAGGATTTGGAGGGGGGGGATGGGGACGCCAGGGATCGAGAGTTCCTGGTTGAGTACATCGTCTCTGTGCTCAAGAATGTCGGTATACTCACCCCTGCCGCACGCCGCCTGATCGGGGAGTTTCTCGATTCGCGACCGAATGGGGAGCCGGATGCGGAGAGTGTGGATACGAATACGTCGATTTTGTTGCATGAACTTCGGACGTGGCTACGGAGTCCGTTTCAGGGTTTGGAGGGGTGGGATAGGAGTCCACTTATTCAGTATGATAGGCCGTTACCGCCGTTGGAGGGGGGAGATGAGTGGACGCGGGTGCGATACGACGATGATGAGAGACGGGATGGGGATGAGCGTGAGGGGGAGGAAGAGGAAGACGGGTTGGAGTTACCGGAGAGGGATGACCGCTATTGGCATAGAGAGGAACCCTCGAAGGAGAGTGGGAATGAATCGCGTCGGCTGGGTACGACGCGGCATGTGTCCGATTCACGGCCAAATCGTTCGCGGCGGTCTCGATTCCCTTCGTCGATTGCGAACCAGTCGGATTGTCGTCTTGGCGCAGGATCAAGATCGAGATCGAGATCTAGGTCGCCGCGTTCGAGGTCGAGCGGTCGACGGGAAGGGTGAATGGTCATTACTCACAGTTTTACCTTGTGTTTGACAATTCAGGATGTGGGTTACGGTATCATACCATTATGGCTTATCCAGGCCTGTTGGCATGTTGGGAATTGGAACGTGGATGTCCTGAACTCGTCGAAGACCTGAGGCCTGTGCCGCATCCGGTGGAAGTTCCAGCGTTCGAGCGTTGTCAGAACTACGCTCTCTCGCCTTTGTCGTATTACAACAGCCGCCTCGGCCGTTCCGGCATCATCATCTGTTACAGACTTTGTCACCGGTCAAGGCTTTCGCCTTGTGCGACCAAGCATGTTCTTAACCGAAGGGAATGAGGTGGAGAGTGCGGACCAACAGAACACAGTCAACGCAATGAACACTGTTCGCACCTCAGCGAAGTAGAATAGGCATTTAAGGGTTGGTGTGTCGCTGATTCTCGCGCGATTCGCAGGACTTTTGCTTTTGGCTGTACCGCACACCCAGAATTACCTACCCACGTCTCTTAACTTTCCCTAGCAACGTTTCCGGTGAGAAGTTCGCCGTTGGGCTGGGTAAACGCGCTCGTATGGTCGAGCTCGATCATCACGTCCCGGTCGTTGTTCATTCGCGCCGACTTGATATGACATTCCCCTGGCTTCATCGGCAAACAATGTCATTCTTCACCTAAATCTCGCGGGTATATCAATATAACTTATAAAACCTCAAAACGCCATCCACACCCATTCCCTTTCTCCTCTCGGATTCCCCCTAATCTATCTTCCTCCAATCCCGACACATCCCCAATACAGTCCTACACGCCTTCCCAACCTCAACCCCCCAATGCCCCCACCCGACCCTTCCCTTCCTCCACGTCCCTTGCGCCATATGCTGGACCCTCGCATCCGGATGCGTGACGGGTTTCGAACCCATGTTGTGCCAGTATGTCGAGCGGCCGGGGGAGAAGGCTGTTATGGGGAGGATGAGGGTGTCGAGGAGCGGTTTCGACACTGCGCCTGAGGCGGGGGGTGGGGAGCGGGACTTGGAGTTGGAGGTGGAGGATCTGGGGGGGAGACGCGAGGTAAATGCGGTATCGAACGTCGACCCAGCGGCCTTGAGCGCATCATCAAGATACGCCCTCGTCGCCGCCGTAACAGCGACGGGGCCCGTCAAATCGACCGGGTCCAACGCCGACAACACACTCTCCCTCCCATCCACACCCTCGCTTACATTCGTCAAAGCCTCATGCACCGCCAAACACAACCTCTCCGTGTACCCCTCCAAAATCGGGTGATGTGGCGCGGAAGCCAACGTCCACTGCGTCAACTGTACAGGGTAATGATACCCCATCCGCCAAGATTCCTCATCATCCGCCTCGATTCCCAATATGATATTCACCCTGGCCTCCCCATCACCCTCACCCTCCCCCTCTTCCACCCCCCTCGTTCCCTCAAACAACCCACCATAAAGACGATCCACACCCTCCGGCGGCCCATACGGTCCAACAATTTGTGGTGAGTCAAAAACCCGCCCCCCCGCATCCCTCCAAGCCCTCAAATCCGCACCCTGCACCCACCCCGCCGGCTCCCTCAGCGGCCTCGCATCCGTATCCGCATAAACACCGCCAATCCACCTCAACACCTGTACGCGCCAAAAATCCGCTCTCTCCACCGGGCGGGGGAGGTGGCGGTAGGTTGGGCCTACGCCGGGGATGGAGGCGTGGGGGGTGTGGGTTGAGGTTGCGATGGCGTGGAGGAGGGAGGACATTCCGGTGTCGGTCCAGAGGAAGTAGGCGTGGGAGAGAAGGGCGGTGGACGGTGAGGGGTGGAGGGGGGGAAGGGGAGGAGGGGGGTAGCGGGGGCCGTGGGGGTGGCCGCTGTGTGGCCCGCTGCGTTCCTCGAACTGAAACTCGTGATGCCGTGAGGGAGAGTGTTGTAAAGGAGACGTTCCGGTCGCAACCTCCAACCACTCCTCCACAAAGGGCAACAACCCCCGGGGCCACCCCCCAACATCCGCATCCCTCCAACTCTGATGCACAACCCTCGGTATATTCGTATTCCGCAGCATCCTCCCCTGGGTGCTACACAACCACACCACCAGATACGCTGCATCCAACACCGTCGTCGGAGTCAAGCTGACGCCCTCCGGCAAGGGCGTCTCTGTCGCGTTAACCGCATCGATCCATGAAGGGGGGATATACCACCTCCCTCCCTCATCGCCGGTGCCGTGGACGAGGTATGCGTGGATGAGTGGGAAGCGTGAATCGATGTCGTGGTTGCGATGGGGGTGAGGAGGCGGTATCGGACCACGAAAAACGGCGTAGAGCTCCAGGCCGCACCAGAAGCAGTACACGAGCGCCACAGACAGAACCGCACTCAACGCGACCGTACCCAGCGTTCTGCGCATGGTCAATCGCATCGTATGGTTCTCCTTGACTTGCAATTGCTACGGGTCTCTACGGGTTCTCTACCGGGGGGGGGTAGGGGGGGGGCGGAGTATATATGGGATGGCTGAGGCATTTTTACCCGGCTGTCTGTGTGGAGCGGCGGCTTTCGTTCTTGGCGCGCACATGCACACAACCCAGTGCAGCAGCGCAGGGTGTTCGTTTAAGGTCCGTTGGTCGCGCTGCCTAGTCCATACCTTAAACTGCAGCGCCAGCGAGACGGGGAGATAAGGCTGGGAGATGTGCGCTGCTGGCAAGGTGGAGTCGATCCGTTGATCTGGACAGCTGGGCTGGTCCGTCGCCAGATACCCATGGATCGCACCCGGCAGCGTCGCTTCTTCAGAACCAGGAGGGACAAAAGAAGGTTAAGGTTACGGGAAGTCGTGCTGATCGGATCTGCCTGGCTGTGTTTGCACCCTAGTCTCGGCGGGGGATAGCGCGCATTGAGAACATGCTTAGATAAGTGGAGAGGGATTCTAGACGTGAGTAGACGTGAGTAGACGTGAGTCGGTTTGTAGAGTCGCTTTACTGTTTGTAGAGTCGTTGTTTGTAGAGGGTTTGGTCGCCAACGGAGGCAACTCGACGCGATGCCAAGCGTTTTAGACCTCATCAACGGACCGCAATGAACCAGCTCGGCGGATGAAAGACAGTGCCCTGCCAAGCCGGTTAGCAGCATCAGATGAAACTCGTAGCGACCGGGAAGAACCAATTGTTATCGTTCTGTCCTGATCTATTCAAACTCTACGTACCTGTATCGTCCAAGGCATCACTCCAACTCACCTCGGCAACGGCCTCCTCGGCACCGCAAACACCCCCTCACACCCCACAAACACAGCTCCCCCCTCCAACGCCTCCACCCTCCCCTCAACCCTCACCCTCCTCTCCCCCTCCCCCTCCCTCGCCTTCACATTCCCTTTGATAACAACAACCTGGTCCACCATCGTCGGCGCCTTATACTTGATATCCAGACTCGCCGTCACAACACTCTTCCCCGCCGGAAACGCCGATATCGCAACCCGACCCAGCGTCTCGTCCAAGAGGGTGGCCAGGAGTCCACCATGCGTAATAGATGGGAACCCGCATAATTGGGGCCCGAGATGTGCGACCGCAACGACTTCATGCGTCCCATCATTAACCCACATCCACCTCCCACTCAATCTCCCCACCCCACCCAACGCTCCCTCCGTCAACATCCGTCCCTCCGCCGCCATCTCCATCCCATGCTCGCTAAACCCTTCCTCCATCTTCCATGCCGGGTCGGATTGGAGTCGGGCGACGAGGGTGGATGTGAAGACTTGGGTACGCAGGCGGTGGAGGTATGTTGATTCGTCTGCCGAGTTGGGGAGGGGGAGGGCTGTTTGTCGGTGGAAGTGGAGCATCGGGTGGGGGAGGAGGTAGGAGGTGGTGTAGCCTATCGTGAAGAATGCTGTTGCGAGGAGGGCGAGGCGGAGGGTGGTGCGGGTCGCGGTGGAGGTCGGTGCAGGTGGAGGGGTGGTGCAGACAAAGCGGGTTAGCCGGCGAGGCAGGTCTGGTCGTATTCTTGGAATCATGATTGCTTCCCGCCGCGGTTTTTCTTTTTTCCTTCTCGAGAGCCTGAACGTCGTCGGTCAGCGCGCGCGACGCACTTCGGCAAGTATCACGGCACTTCCCTCCGCACTTCGGCAGTTATCGCGGGCCATCTTCTCTCCGCGTCGTCCCCCACACAAAACCCGGCACCCTACCCTCACCCTTCTCTTCTAACCATAATGTTCGATCTCCCATTCTCCTACACCGCAAACCCGTCCCGCGTCGTCTTCGGCTCCGGCACAATTACCCAGCTCCCGGCAGAGCTGGAGCGGTTGGGGTTGAGTAAGCCGTTGCTGTTGACCACCGCACAGCAAGTATCTCAAGGTGACCGGCTCGAGGAGATCCTCGGCGGTCAAGAAAGAGTAGCGGGAAGGTTTGGGGAAGCGGTGATGCACACCCCAACCGGCGTCACCGAGAAAGCATTGGCGTACGCAAAGGACGTGGGCGCAGACTGCGTTGTGTCTATCGGTGGTGGCAGCACCATCGGTCTGGGAAAAGCAATTTCAGTTCGGACGGGGTTGATGCACATCTGCATCCCCACGACCTACGCAGGGAGCGAAATGACCCCAATCCTCGGCGAAACCGAAAACGGCGAGAAAAAAACCCGAACAGACCCGAAGATCCTCCCAGGCGTGGTAATCTACGATGTCGATCTAACGATGACACTCCCCGTCAGTATGTCCTGCACGTCCGGAATCAACGCCGTCGCGCACGCCGTGGAAGCAATCTACGCAAAAGCCGGAAACCCAATCATCTCCCTCCTCGCCGTCGAAGGAATCCGCTCGATCACGTCCGCCCTCCCTACGCTCGTCACCTCACCCTCCGATAAGGACGCGAGGAGTAAGGCGCTTTATGGGGCTTGGCTTTGTGGAGTGTGTTTGGGGAGTGTAGGGATGGCATTCCACCACAAACTCTGCCATACCCTCGGTGGCTCCTTCGATCTTCCGCACGCTGAGACACACACAGCTGTATTGCCGCATGCGTTGGCATACAACCTCCCCTCCCTCACTCCACCCCAAATCCGCGCTCTCGCATCCTCCCTCTCCCTCCCCGACACCGACACCGCTACCCCCGAACAAATCATCGACGCCCTAAACAAACTCTATGACGACCTCCCCGTCGAGCGCGGCGTGCAAAGGTTTGGGATGAAGGAGGAGGAGGTGGATAAGGCTGTCGATATCGCGTTCAGGAATCAGTATTGGAATCCGAGGGGGTTGGAGAGGGAGGGTGTTAGGGAGGTTGTGAGGAGGGTCACTGCTGGGGAGAGGGCGAGGGTTGATCTTTGAGTGGGTTGAATGTAGGGAGGTAGAGGGATGTGTGACGTTGTTGGCCAGAAGGTCAAGTCAATTGGAGGTTTTGGCATATGCATATTGATATTGGCGGACAGTGGGAGTGTGTGGCCTTGAAGGCTATACCTAGCCCAGGAATTAGGCCTTGCACGTCAATGAAAGCACATGTATATCCATCCTACACCTCACCAAGTCCAGCAAAGCATACCATTACTACTATCGTCATGATGCTGTGCTCGAATTCTCGGGCGCGTCCGGGTTGACTCCCCTCATATGCGCTGCGGATTGTGCGGAGTGTAGTGAGCACGCGTCAACGGAGAGATCACTCAGAAGGAATGGGTCAATTTGATGTAAAAGGACGTATAGAAGACCGTTTTCACTTCGGGTAGGTTGAACACTGTGGCACGACTTGAGCTTGGTAAACGAGAGCATCGGCGCCAATTGTGAGAGCAATCGATCCTCCTTCGAAACACTCTCAAGGTACGTCAATTGCGAGAATCACCCCGAGAACGTTTCCGCTCTCGACATTTCACATCCCCACCAATTTCTTCATTTCTTTCCACCGCCCCATTCTTCTGCGGCTCACTGCACCTTCGCGCGCGCTCCCTCAGACTTGAAGCAAACCTGCGCAACTCAACGCTGCCTCAGGAAAAATACGTGGACTGGATCAAGCACCAACTCAACAACAATCATCACCCAGATCAAGCGACAGCAACAGGGCGGTTTCCTTACGAGCACAAACAGAGGATTATTTTGACGGACGGGAAGCAGTCGGGAATAATCTTTGGTAGTGTGTAACTCGGAAAGGGTGCGCGCCGGGTTTCTCTTTGATCTATCAAAGATATACGTGTTACGTTCGGATTTGGTTGGTGCGAGGTGATCAGAAAGTCAAGAGTCGCCTGGTTGCGTTTTTGACGAAGTATACAAACGACCGCAAGGATACGGATCAATCGTTGAAGCTTGCTGCGCATGCGTGAACGATCTCGATCCATCACTCTCTCCCTTCTCGCTCGAGATCGGTTAAGGGGGGAGCAAAATCAACAACAAAGTCATACATCACAATCATATACGAACCCCTTCTCAACCGCCTCATTCCTTTCCTCGACCCAGCAGCCGTTGTATCCCAGACAATCAAGTCAATCTGCACGGCATTCTCCTGAACCACCGAGACGGATTATCGACAAAACTCCATTCCTAGCACCAGCATGGGGTGGAGAAACCCTCGAGTCGTTCAAATTCCAGTTAACAACGGACACGACGGGTACCACGGGCGCCCCAAGCATCCCAACCTTCGCCCCCCTACCTGAGATCGACGACCAAGCCTATCTCTCCGGCTACTCCTTCTACGACGACATCCCGCCCCTCTTCGACGGCGAAGCCGGCTCTGCCGCGGATGGTCCCAATAAGATGTTCACGGGGTTAACGACGATCGGGGATGGCGGAGTAGAACAAAGTCCGAGTCAGGCGCCAATGGCGAAGAAGAGACGTATCGCGACGCCGGAGATCGAGGGCCCCGTAATGGGGTTCGAGGAATTCCTATTCGGAAGAACTGGAGCAGATGGGATGGAGGTGAAGGTTGCTACTACAGCTGTGGCGGGAGATGGTGCCAGAGTCCTTTCGCCTGATATGGCGACCCGAGACCCGAGCCCGACCTCATCTTCGCCTGCGAGAACAGGATCAATGGCACAACCCGGCACGACCTCCTCCACAGCGTCAACAACACCCTACCTCGCAACCCTCTCCTACTCCGGCACCGGTACCGTCACGCCCCTCGCACCCGGTGATCCCTCCTCCACCGGCATCCCCCCAATCGGTGCTGGGAATGGAGACGCAGCAGCTGAGGATCCACTGGGCGCAGCCTTGGCGAACATCGATTGGAGTAATGGACAGGGAATCGATCAGTGGCCGGATTTCTTGCATCATTTTCCGTTGGATCCGTTGTTTGTGCAGCCGGGGTATGATCAGTGGGGATTATTGGCTGGACACCAGCAATCACTCGACCAGCCTGGAGAAAGCCCAAAGGATGGCACACAGGAAGGTGGCCTGGGACAGATGCCAGCGCCGATTGTGGCACAGCGCGTCCAACCCTCCATAACAATCTCCCATGCCCAACAACCCCAATTCCTCTCCATCCACAACCCTCAACCCCAACACCGCCTCTCCCTCGTTGCACAACAACGCCTCCAACAACAACAGCGTTCGTATACCGCGCAACAACCGGGACGACAGGCCCCGATGGCGTCATTGTTCGAGTATGCTCCCTTTGTGGATCCGATGAATACGCCAACTGTGACCCCGCCGCAGGGAGTATCACCACCTTCCACCGCAACCCCTCCCCCGACAACCGTCAATGTACCGGGAGCGGGAGTGGGTGTGGGTGTGGGTGTGGGAGTGAGGGCACAGCAGTTGCAGCCGAGGCAGGGCCAGATGGCGGTTGTGATTCCGGCGAATTCACCCGTGGGGGGGCAGGGCATGACGCGTATTCCGTCGGCTGGTGGTACGGCACCACCAAGGCCGGGGGTTGGGGTTGCTCAGCAAGGGCAGCAAGGCACGCAGACCCAGCAGCACATCGCACAGCCGAGGGTACAAGCACAAGTACCACCGGCGCAACAGCAATTCCCGTTACAGCCATTGCAGCCCGGACAACAACAACAGCGTCCAGGTCCCCCGCAGCAACGTCCCTCCTACCCCCTCCCACTCCCCCGCGCCATCCCACCCCCCGCCGCCAAAATCGCACTGGCGCCCCTCCCCGCACAGCCTACACCCCCTCCAATCACCCCGTTGAGTTCTGTGGATCTGGATGATATCACGGTTGCGGAATGTAAGCGGTTACTGAGACAGAGGACCTTGTGTGCGGTGGGGAGGAAGGAGGTTTTGGTTGGGAGGTTGAGGGAGTGGGCGGGGGAGGGGAAGGTGTGATATGTGAATTCAAGGGAGCAACAACAAAGAAGACGGAAACCTGATGCAAGGAAAATATCAGAACGTGAAATGTGTGTGGCATGGAGTGGATCGAAGCAGTGTGGAATATGACAAAAATATGGAAGTAAGGACAGAATTAGGTAATGGGATGGAGTTTGGGCGTTCTTTTTTTGGATTGGTTATTGGGACTGGGTAAGTCGAGTGGTGGGACTGCGACGAGCAAAAAAAGATACAGGAAGGACAACGTGTTGAGAGCGGTTTCGCGATGACTCAAATTGCTCCGAGGGAGCCTGGTACTTGTGGGCCATAGCATACGTAGCTACAGGAAGCGTCGGACACTCGTATTTGTAACTGAAGTTTGATATAGACAAGTCGCATATGGTCAATCGTTTTGCTAGAATAATGACATGATGCATCGATAGCAAAACCCACGCCCTCGTACTGGTACGCCAAGCCCAAGCTCACTGACCGATTCGACTAGCTATAGTACTCTCCTTCACTCCTTAGGAGGCAGAGGTCCAACCCCCACCCCCCTCCCATTAACAACCCCATCGACAACCCCCACCCATCCCAAAACCTCCTCATCCAACCCCTTCAGCCCAGTAACCTGCAACCCGGCCGGACCCCCCCTCATCCCCTCCGGATCCCACCCCTCCCAATGTCTCCGATCTTCCTCATTTACCGGCATATACTCCCACGTGGCGGAATCGAAGCGTGGGTCGCAGGAGATGGAGTGGATTGGGAAGGTTGCGGACGGGTAGTCGAGGAGATTCCAGATTGAGGTATAGCCCCAGTATTTTGATGTTCCGAGGCGGGGGGCGGTGCTGGGTCCGACCGGGGAGAGGAGGCAGTCAATGTGGTGGGATTGCCAATGGTGTAAGTACCGTTTCCGGAATTCGTCGCGGCGGGCGCAGAGGTCCCAGATTTCCCTGACACTGTGGGGTCGGCAAAAGTGGTTGCCGTCGGGGGTGTCGCCTAGGATGTGGGATGTTAGTGGTTCGGGTTCCTCGCCGCCTGAGGCCAGGATATCCCGGATTGTCGCGCCGCCGTCGAGGAAGTATAGTTCCGCGATGAGTTTCCAAGCTTCATAGTGCTCCAGCGGCTCATACTCCACGATCTCAATCCTTGACTCTTCGCTCAATTTGTGAATAGCGTAGGAGAGCGCGCGCTGTATCGTGGGTGTGGGCATAACGACTCCATCCCACCTCATCACGCCCACTCTAATCTTCTCCTTCCCTTTCGGTTCTATCTCGACCTTCCGCCAGGGCATGCGAACACAGGCCGGATCGTACATCCACGGCGCCCCGTCGATGACTGCACGCATCGCGACTTCGAGTCCCGCGACGGAAGAGGATATGGGACCCATTACGCCCAGGATTGATTCGGCGCCTGGCATGCTGCTCTTTACGCCAGATCTGGGGAGTCGGAGCGCGGTGGGACGTAAGGAATATAACCCGCAATTCGCGGCGGGACACCGTACCGAGCCCCCGATATCGCTACCAAACCCGAGCGGGGAGCCACGCATCGCCTGTAACGCCGATTCCCCGCCCGAGGAACCCCCGGGCGTGAGGTTCCGGTTGTAGGGGTTGGTCGTGACGCCGTACAGTGGAGACGACGTCTCGAGGTGCATCACACTCTGCGGTTCGGTCGTCCTACAGATAATCACCGCCCCAGCTCTTTTGAGTAGTGCCGCCAACTCCGAATCTTGTTTTGGTGGATCATGGGTTGTCCACGCTACATACCCCACCGAAAGCGAATGCCCCGCGAGCCCAATATGTTCTTTCAACGAGATAGGAAGCCCGTGCAGCGGACCCATCGGCGGCCCCGTCTCGATGACCGCATCGAGGAATTTAGCATGGTTGAGGGCTTCTTCAGCCATGAGTTCCGTGAGGCAGTTTACCGCGACCTGTGCTACGCTCGCGCGCCGGATAAATGCCCAAGCTGTCTCCACGGCTGTGATTTCCCTCGAGCGTAAGCGACGGAGTAGATCTTCTGTTGGGAGTTCGGTTATGGCGAGGGCTCTGGGTGTGAGTATTCCGGATTCGGAGGCGATGTCGATAACGTTGAGGCGAGAGGCGGGGATATGGAGGGAGGTGGTCAGTAGAGTGGCATCGCGAGAGGCTCTGACTTTTTTGATGACGGCGTTTGCGGAGCTGGTGATCGTGGACATGGTGGTGATCAAGAATTCTAAGATGAGACTGTCATTTGTACTCTTGCCTCAAGTTCCAGCAGCTGTCCCAATCAAACATTTATACAAGCCCTCTTGTCAGCAATTACAACGGCTGGTGTTTGGTTGAAATCATCTTCACCGTAGCTGGCCCACCTC